AGGGTTTCCTCCAGGTGCTCCGGTTTCCCCAATCCCTAAAAACATGTACAATATCTCTGCTCTTTTTGGCACCAGGAGTTGGAGTTGGCTGAATATTGTCAACTTGCATTCATGATCTCAATGGTTATCAATGGATCCATAGATTATGATACAACAGGTGAATGACTGAGCTCTATCATGAGTCTATTTTGGGAGAGCTAAAGTTTGACAAATATATTGTGTGAGTGGAGGCTGTGACTTTCACAATTGTCAGTAATCTTGTCTGATTACAGATGTTTTGTGTTTTCTTCCGTCTTCAGAATTGGTCAGTCCCTAGTTGTTATATAAGACTGCAATAATGGATCTAAAACTTTGAATAATGAAATTAAATTAAATTTATCTTTGTAATCATAACAAATCACACATTTCTCATATGCAATTCTAGACTATTTGGGTCAAACTCAAAGGGATTAAACAATATTGTGTATGAAGAAACAACAGAACATGTTCTTTCTGAATCCAGTAACGATTATATTACAACTTCTCTTCGACCCATGCATAGTTGTATTGCTCTAATTCACTTGGATAGTCTTAAAGGTGACATTGTTCCCTCAAAATCAGACCTGGAGTCGTTTTCTGATCAACCCGTACACAGATATGTAGCTCCGCCCCTTCTGTCTACAAGCTCCTGTCTCAGTCCTGTAATAGTATGATGTCATTGCAACACTATGACATCACAACAGTTATCTGTCTTTTAAAACAAAAATATTGTCCAAAAAATGTGTTGGTAACTTCTTTAAAATCGCATTATTAAAATCTGTAAACAACAAATTGAGCCTATCCCTCTGGTGGCAGTATAGGGGGTTACAGGCAGAAAGCTTTTTTTACCCTTCTTACTTGTTTCACTATATAGTTCTACTTCTGTACTATATTTCACATTCTAAAACATGAAATGACGCAGTTAACAATCTTATATTTTCAACATAAAAAACAAGGCATAATAGTTCTTCTTTAAACATTAAAGACACCTCCTATGTTTCGAACGCAAAATGTAAAAGCTAAAGTCTCACCATTCCACTGCTTGCTAGTCATATGCTAATGTTGTCTTTTCTCTGGCAGGTAGCTTCAGTTGTGTAACGTTTTAAATAATGGAAAACCCCAGTGCATGCTTTAATTGGTCTATACATCGAGCTTTTTGACACACGACTTCCATTTTGCACATTCCATAATCGGCACCTCCAGTTAAACAAGCTATATCCACTTAGAAGCTTGAATTTCTAACGACTATGTACATGCTAATCATTCCACACCAGCGACAGTGAGACAACAGTTTGGAGACTCATTTGTCACTATAGGCTGCTTAGCACACTCATTTATTCCGGTCTAATTGTAATTTAGATCTCAGCTGCTTGACACTCTCTCGCTCTCTCTGTCTCTCTCTCTATCCTCATCCTCTCTCTCGCTTTATGCACCCTTTCTATCTTTTTTTGCTATCTTTTTTTACTCTAATGTCTGCTGCAATGCATCACAATCCAATTTTAATTTAGCTCTCTCTGCCTGGCATGGAGCTCCACCCGACAAGCTCTCCCAATCCTTTCTTTCTCTTTCTCTCTCTCTCTCCCTCTCACAAGTCAAACTAGGACCGTATTTAACACTGTTCATGAATATGCGTGGAGTGTTACTTGGCAAAGATGTTGACTAAAGACCACTACTAAAGACTACAACCCTTTGAAGCCGTCTGCATGCTCCTTCTTTGCTTAAAAACCCCCTCCCTACGTCCTAAAATATCACATCTCATCTCCTAACTCTATGAACCCAAAGCACAAGTGAGAATTCCAAATCAATGTGTTGTCGGTCCCTCTGGATAACACCCGGCCCTTGTATAGCCTTTATTCTTTCTCTATTATATATATATATAATTATAGATATATATTCCCAGGCTATTTTTTTTAACTCATCCATCCATGGCTCTGAACTTAGCGTTACCATGGCAACAGGAGGATCTGGAATGAAGGGAGAAAGAGTGGGGACAGGGAATGAGGGAAAAGATTTTCAGCTTTTTGGATAGGCTGATATTTTTACTAGTGGGGATTTCTGTGTGTTAATACGGATGTGTAATTACGTTTATACGTACTTTCTGTACAGTAGTAGTATTAGTAGTAGTAGAAGTTGCAGAAGTATTAGTGCTAGCGGTTGTCGTTGGTAGAGGCAGTAGACTGCGCCATAGCTGAGAAAGAAAGCATATTTTATTTATTTATTATGTAGCAGTGGCAGTAGTAGTAGTCGCCATAACAGCAGGACTTCACAACTTTGTAAACTGCTGTTGTGTATTAGTTCTATACTTTAAATGAATTTAATGTAACTGAATTGTAGCAGAAGTAGAAGTAGCAGCAGTCATAGAAGTAGTAAAAAGCTAAATCATCTTCCACCAGTCCCCCTTATCTATTTATACAGTATATACTCTTTCTTCCACATAACCAACACAACCGAATGCTACTTTCACGCAGCGGCTTTGCACCAGTTTGAGAATCATTGTAGATTATTTTTCAGCCGTGAGCACGGTATCGACCTGGTGCTAAAAAGAAAAAAACGGGAGATTGGAATCGAGTGGAATTCCTATAACGAAAGCTTTGGGAAATGTGTATTTTATTTATTAATGTGAGCATCCTTCAGCCAAACGCAGAAATAATGAGAGCGCTTAGAATGGGAAACACAAACCTGGATAAAGAGAGAGGAGGGAGGGGGGTGGCTGGCAGAGGGTGAGGGTCTGAAGTGGAGGTAATAGATCTCTGGCTTCTCAAACACTACAGTCACCAATGTGACTTGTGTTTTTATTCAATGCGGTGTAAGGGATAACAATTAAGATTAAACCAGGTCTCAGTCAGAATACTCGAACTGTGTTCTGGTGCTAATGCTAATGAGAACACAGTATTAGTATTAGAGGCTAATCAGAATACAGTACTAATATTTTTATTATAACTATATATTCTAATACTAATACTAAATGTTCTGATGCTAGTACTGTGTTCAACCTGAGGGCTCTCAAGGAAAATCAAGACATTTTTATTTGTATAGCACACAAAGAGAACACATCCACACACTCACCCAATAAATGCATAATTCTCAAATTTACTAGCATTAGTTTGTATGTATGGCCTTTAAGAAATCAACAAGACCAATGAACTCTGCCTGCCATTTGCTGGAGAGAAACATAACTAATATAAAAGGAATTTTATATTTGTGTTAACAATATCTAGTCTAATCACACGTATTGATTGATTTCATTATACTCTCTTACATATAAGTAAGTAAGTAAGTAATCTTTATTTATATACCGCCTTTCACAGACCAGAGTCACAAAGCGGTTTACAATGGTTATTTTTTGGGCATTTGTCCTCTCACTCCACACAGAGATGGGAGTGGGGTCGCCAGACCTATTTTACATATTTTTAGTGGTAGGGAAAACTGGAGTACCCGGAGGAAACCTACGCAGACACGGGGAGAACATGCAAACTCCACTCAGAAAGGCCCTGGTCCGACCAGGATTCGAACCCAGGACCTTCTTGCTGAGAGGCGAGAGTGCTATCCACTCAGCCACCGTGCCGCTGAGTGGTGCTGGACATAAGAATGTCCAGCACCTCTAACCCCACTTATCACCTATTTCTACTTCCTTCTCTTTCCTTCCAACTTCCATTGACTTCTCTTGGCTTATATGGCGATAACACAATGATGATTTCGGCACACAAAAGCTGTGCACATGCATCTCTTTCCAAAGTTGCCTCCGTCTCCTCTTCTTCCTCTTCCTCCTCTTCAGATCTCTGCACATTTGGCTCTGAGCCCAGTGCTAACAGGCGGACATGTTAGTGACAAATCGGAGGAGCGGGTGGGCGATGGAGAGGAGTGCTATCTGCTCGCATATGGGCTAAATAAACACAAATATTCACAAATGTTGGCGTAATTATTCAGTCACTTCGCAAGGTTTTGGAGAACTGAAAGATGTAGGATTCATCTGATGGAGTTTGCAAAGTGGGTAGTTATTTAATCGTCTTTAGCAAGTCTGTTTGAAATGTGAGAGAACTGCGATGGATGGAGGACTGAGAACAACTTTACCAAAACTTCAATTTAAGTTATTCTTGTGTAGCTCTAAATCACAACCGTAGAAATCTCCAACACAGATCAAAAAATCAATCTGTTCAAACACAAGAAATGCAATACAAAAAAACACATAGAGCCATTGGTCCATAAGGGGCAGATGACCAATATACATAAATGTTGATTAAATCCAAATTAATATTCATGTTAGACTAGCATAATTGGCAATGTATGTAGTGTTTGTTAAAGCTGAGGTACCTAACTTTCAAGCCACATAAGATGGCGCAACAGTATGTGGTAAAATCCATATAGTTCCTTGCTCTCAAAACAGTTTGGTTCTATCACTATAGTTTTAACTCTGTATGTATTCTTGGCCAGTGTCACATCTTTAGATCAGCTTTTCCAATAAAAAAATAAAAAAAACAAGAACCAAGCTCACTCAGCCAATCAGCTCTCAGCCCAAAATGGTCAAATAGTGACTCATAGGGCTCTATTTTTATTATGGACATTGGTAAACTGCCCCTTATGGACCAATGACTATCTTTTATTGACATTGCATTTCCTGTCTTTTTTAATTCTGTGTTTTCGAATTGACAACTTTGTGACGACTTTCGAGGTGACTGCTGTTGTGATTTAGGGCTATATAAAGTAAACGGAATTGAATTGAGAAGTGGTTGTGACGATTATATGTTCTAAAAGATACTACTGTACTTAGGTACTTAAAGCTGGGGTACCAATCTTGTTTGATGTACTGTATGGTACATTGAGGTTTTGTGGAAATGTAAGATTGATAATGAATGAAATGTATTATTATTTGCTTGCTGCTGAACGGAATATATTACCTGAATGTGACTAATCGTGTGGTCCTTTTGTCACGTCTTATAAAATACAGAAATAACACACCGAGTTTTGTTTTGCTCTCTCCGCAGTCCACAGACGACCTCCTGGTGGCGTCAGCGGAATGTCCCAGCGATGACGAGGACATCGACCCATGTGACCCCAGCTCAGGTGAGGCTTTATATATAGACGCACACTCATCATCCCGACTCACTGGATCATCACAGACAGCGAAAGTCAACGGTTCAGGATTCAAGAAATGTATTTGTCATTTGTGCAAAAGCAAATCTCCATCGGACAGGAATTTTTGTTCATGGTTCAAGTAAAAAAAAAAAAAAATTGAATAAATGCGTCAAAGCCCCATTTTCACCAGCCCTACTCAACTCTACTCTACTCTACTCTACTTGCCCCTCATCTACGCTACTTGCACCTTATCTACTCTACTCTTCTCCACACTACTTAGCACTACTCTATGCTACTTCCCCCTACTCTACACTATTTGCCCCTATTCTACTCTACTCTACACTACTTGCTCCTATTCTACTCTATTCTATACTGCTCTACTCTGCATGACTTTATCTGGTTGCGTTTCCATTACGCATTAGTATCTGGTACCCTAGCAACGCACCCATGACAAAGTATTCTGGTAAACTTGTGTAACCATGGCTTTCAGCAGCACTCTGGCCAATCACGGTCAGTTAGAACTCTTTAGTACCAGCTCGACTTGGACAGAACCAGGGCCAAGAGGTTCACCAGGGTTGATGGAGATGCTCCCAATTGGGGTAGAGTAGAGCCAAGTAGAGTTCAGGCCAGTAGAGAGTAGAGTAGAGTGGGGCCAAGCAATGCTGGTGGAAATGGGGCTTTTGTGAGAATAGCATACCAAATTTTATATATAGGAGTATTTGATATATAGGAGTATGTTGACAGAAGAGTGTATACCCCAATAAAGGAAAAAGCTGGAAAGGTATTTGTCTTAAATCAAAGATGTAAACACATTTATTTTACACATATATATGCGGAGAGCCGACATACAGTCTTGCATCGTGAGCTCTGCCGGGGCACAGCTACTGTACCAATACATATACTCAGGAGGCGCACAGCAGGGCCCCAAAACCGTGACGTCACATGGGCTGAGATTATCATGCAAACATCACCTTTTGTTTTAGCGCAAGACACAGGAAGGCCTTTGTCTTAGGTGTGAAAGGAGCAGACAGCAGAGGCCTTTGCAAACTCAGCATGGCGTCAGACGGCCGTCTCTGCATTGATTAAAGGCCCAGTCGTCCGTGTATTTGCTGCGACTGGTTCTAATTTAATTACTCTAAAAACTGTCATTACAAGAGGAAGGGGGGCGTGTTTGTCATAATATAATATGTCTTTTAAGGCAATATGAGCTCAAATGTTTATATATGAGTTTATCAACCAAAAAAATTGCTCTAATGATATCATAGAGCGTATAATTGTCATGTAATTTGCTGATCGCCCAAAGCACACAGGTCTTCACATTGTTTATTCCGAGCGCTCTGACTCTGACCTCTCTCACTTCCGAGATGAAAAGCAGACACAGGCAACATGCAAATTAACATGCTAATTATACAGCAGTAATTACAATCAGACGCCACACCACAATTATACCAGTAATTTAATATGTGATACAATATGACCTATCCCTGTACGCTTTAGACGTCGCAACATATGTGTATTGTACTTTTACTTCAGTGTTGCAACATATTCAGTGTAAAAGCAGCAGTAGCAAATAAAAATAATGCAGAAATAATTTAAATAGTCCACAATCTATACAAGGTTAGAGATTTTTCTAGGGATGGGGACTCTCTGCCTTTTTCCCTTTGAAAATGTGACAATGGTACTGACTAGGAACTTGGGTTTTTGGGGACTAGTTCTTTCTGTTATATGACAATGTCTAAAGCCTCATTCCCTATGGCACAAAACCACAGCAATCTACACCAAAATTCTACAGGATTGTTTAAGTTAGAATGGCGATAGACCTAATATGGACTCTCCTTAGACACTGAGCAACATGGGCTGGTGTGTCAAAACAACTTGCTGTAGTCCATTATTATGCAATTCTCTGGGGTCCTGGGTGCACTGCAGGAGGAGTTTTTGCATAACCTCGGTACTTTGATCGAGAATCACTGTAATACAGAAGGACGCATCTTTCTTTAGCCTTATGGCCTCACTGGAATAATAACGGCTGCACCACAGGATCTGGCTTCTTTGTGCTACAGTACATATCTTAAGAGCGGTCGTAATGTTATGCTCTATCTACACTCTCCTCCACACAGCTTTTTTTATTGGCTCCCCATCCTTTTCTGGCTCCAGCTCATTACCGCCGCACTAATTCTTGTACCCACAGCGGTTTTACAAGGCCATGAATCTCCCGCACCTCTGCTCTCCCTGTAGCCTGTTGTCATAAAGTGTCAGAGATCTCTAATAAAAATTGATAAACGCGACCCACACCTTGGCTCTCCCGTCGACACTCCCTTTGGCGCGCGGTAATATAATCTTTTAATGTGCCAATTCGCAAACAGCCCCAGCCTCCGAGCGACAGCCCACTCCCGCTCCACGGCTTGTCACATTAGACCGAGAAAGCATGTCAAATCATTTGCGGTGATGATGCATTGTGTTTGGGCCCCGGCAGCTGCACGCCCACGCCCTTCTATGAGCAGCAGCGATTAATAAAACAGGTTCAAGGCTGTAGCACTGCGCGAGTCATTAGCGAAGAGAAAACAAGGCATGGAATCACTGAAGGCGTGCATTTGTAACAGGAGTGAGCTCAAGTTTTTGTCCTGTTTTTGTGGTAAGACATATGGGGTCATGACATGCAGAGTTGGTACAGCATTGGTCTTTGAACCTAATGGGCGTGTGTTACTCCCACTGATGTCTTCTGTCCATTTTGTTTGCCCATTGTCTGTTGTCAATGGGCAAAAAAATATTAATTATAATTGACAATACAAACATGGTTAAAAACATTAGCATTACTAAACAGAACTGGGCAGAGGTGTTGGGGTGACTGGTCATGTGCGGAAAGAAAGTTTTGAGTGAGATTTGAGTCTGGATTTGAACAGGGGAAGAAAGTGGGTGTTCGATGGTCAGGGGGGAGTGAGTTCCAGAGCTTGGGAGCAGAGCGGCTGAATGCTCCACCCCCCATGGTGACAAGTCCGAAAGAGGAGACAGAGAGCTGGAGAGAGGAGGAGGAGGAACGAAGGGTACGAGAGGATGTGCAGATGTGGAGGAAGCTAGACAGGGAACGCAGAGACAGAAGGAATGAAGTCCATCAATCCATCCATTTTTTTCCGCTTTATCTGTTGCCGGGTCGTAGGGGCAGCAGTCTAAGCAGAGACGCCCAGACTTCCCTCTTCACACACACACTTTCTCCAGCTCATCCCGGGGATTCTCAATGCGTTCCAAGTTTCCCTGCTTTTTTTTGTGTGTGACATTTTTGTTATTTCTTTTCAAGTTACCAAGTCATGACAGGACACAAGAAATATATTTGACAACAACGTGAGTCTTTATTCTAACTCCATTGGGAAATAATGGAAAAAAGTCTGAAATCAAATCCTTCTGAATACCATATAGAAAGTACTGGGATAGAACAGAATATTAGACCCATCTGCACAACGTTTTCTGGTATGAAATATGAATAGAACAATGACATAAAATATGAAATATAACAGTGGCCGACATCAATCTAACCAAACATCTCTCTCCTCTGTATGTAAATAAATACGCTGGTTTTGAAATGCCACATAAATCACTTTTTCATGAATGCAAAATGAATGTTAGTATTGGTTTATTTGTGGCACTTTGCTGCTTCGTTACTATTCATTGCCTGATGCTCTGATGACATTTAGCTCTTATTAAAATGACAGCTGAGTTTTGGATTGGGGGAAAGGTTTGAGTTTGGACGGTGCAAGTGAGATCCATTAAAGTCGCAAACTCGGCTCTTCGCAGCTTTTCCCCGTGGGATAAAAAGCTTCCCATTGTCATTCTTACACTAAATGTTGTTTCAAAAGCCATTCATGAATATCTGTGTCCCTTCTATACTCAGATTCTCTTCTATTTGAAACGCCATTAGCTCCTATGACACACCCACATCCTTTGTTCACCAGTTTTTGGGGATGTTGATACTGTGACAGGGGCGGAGCACAGAGCGATATGGCTAGACTGAATACGTAAGTGCTTGGACTTGTCTCAGTTATAAAAAATCAGTAATGACAGCACTGAGAGACACAGGCTGGTGTGTCAAAACAACCCCGTATTTAACCCGCCTTGTGTCCTAGTCTATTTGTCAAGGCGTGTTCAGTGTCACATAGCAGAATTTTTGACGACAATAAACCCAAACTGATGTATAGCCTAGGCAAGGCAAGTTTATTTGTATAGCACAATTCATACACAAGGCAACTCAAAGTGCTGAACAAGATAGCATTAAAATCATAAATAATCACAGAACATTAAAAAGAAAGATAAAAACATAAAATCCCTCAGCTGTATGCACAGCTAAACAGCACCGTTTTAACCTGGTTTTAAACATTGTCAGAGAGGAGGCCTGTCTCACATCTTCAGGAAGATTGTTCCAGATTTTAGCAGCATGAATCTGAAAAGCAGCCTCCCCATGTTTAGTTCTGACTCAGGGCACTAACAGGAGTCCAGTCCCTGTGCTCCTCAGAGTCCGGGCTGGTTCATATGGGACTAACATGTCACTAATATATTTTGGTGCGAGGCCATGGAGAGACTTGTACACAAGCAGAGCTGTTTTAAAGTCTATTCTCTGAGCCACAGGAAGCCAGTGCAGAGACCTGAGGACCGGACTAATATGGTCGTACTTCCTGGTTCTAGGCAGGACTCGAGCTGCTGCATTTTGAATGTACTGCAGCTGTTTTACAGCCTGTTTGGAGAGACCTGTGAGCAGGCCATTGCAGTAGTCTAATCTACTGGAGACAAATGCATGGATAAAAATCTCCAGGTCTGCTTTAGACACTATGTTTTTGATCCTGGCAATGTTTTTTAGATGGTAAAAAGCTGCTGATGTTACTGATTTGATGTGGCTATTAAAATTTAAGTCTGAGTCCAGTATTACCCCTAGATTTCTGACCTTGTTTGAAGGTTTTAGGGAGAGAGACTGTAGATGACAGATGACGCTCTCTCTTTGTTTCTGGGGACCAAAGACAATCATTTCAGTTTTGTCTGCGTTTAGCTGAAGGAAGTTGTTTTGCATCCACTCACTGATCTGTTGGATACATTGAAGGAGTGAGTCCACTGGTCCATGTTCTCCTGCAGTCAGTGAGACATAGATCTGAGTGTCGTCTGCATAGTTGTGATAGGACACTTTGTTTCTTTGAATATTCCAGAATTAAGGGACATGTTTACTATCTGTGTGAGTGAAGATAACAGACTGCTCAGAACAGACTTTAGAAATCTAGTGGGTAGTACATCCAGGCTGCATGTGGAGGAGCTCAAACTGGAGATTACCTCTTGGACAGTTTGATCATTTACAGGTGCAAAGTAAGTTAGCTCAAAGAGCCTTTCTGGTTGTTGGATGGTTATCTGTGGATTGGAGACAATTGTCCCTTGGAGACAATTGTCCCTTCACATGTTGTGAAGGGACAAAAGAAGATAAGAAAACTTTTATTTGTCCCTCACTGGGGAAATTTCAGTGTTGCAGCGCACATACAGGACAGTAGTAAGAGCACACAAGTAGCAGACAATAGAGAATAACAGCGTTTAGACCAAAGCTTGAGATTTTGCATGTGGCAGCTCTTTCCAATAGTGGTTAGCGCTCTTGCTTCTCAGCCTGAAGGTCATGGGTTCGAATCCCAGTTGGAACAGGGCCTTTCTGAGTGATGTTTGAATGTTCTCCCTGTGTCTGCCTAGGTTTTCTCCAGGTGGTGCCACTAAAAATATTCAGTACGGGTCAAATGCAGTGTAACTTAACGTCATTTAACTTAACATTATTAGGTTGTCCTTGTAAAAAATATGTGGGAAATAGGTTTTTTTTTTTTGCTCCATTTGGAAAGACATAGTCGATTACAATGCCGTTCCCTGGATCCCTGATTGCATTGTGTTGTGAGAAACCTGATTTTGAAAGACAGGAGTTTGTTTTGAACCCTTTGTCTAGACACGTTTCTGTATTCCATGTGTTGAAAAGCTGACACGGGTCTAAATAAACTCACCCGCCTTTTCCACCCTACCCCCGGCCCCACCCCACCCAGTTCATCCCAATACCCAAAAACACTGCATTAGAAAGAAGCCTATAGTTTCTCCCTCTGCTGCAGAAGGAGGTTATATCATTCACAGAGCTATCCACTTCTTTGTGTGAATATTTCAGTGGATTTGCCCAAGAATAGGTCTGTAAACATGTGACAGTGTTTGGGCGCTTGTGCAACCTGCCTGACTCCGTTACGAGCCGTCCAAGCGTAGGCGGCTGTATTTTTGATCGGCTTTTCAATGTTTCCTGGCCTCTCTACAGTTTCCTCCGCACTGTCGACAACACTCAGACTCATGTCCAAGAAGGAGAACGTTCAGAAATGTCAGAAAAAAGCGATTCTTCGAACTTGGATATAATAGATCGTGTGGCGCAAATATCATTAAAACTCATTTAGTTCTTTGCGGTTCATCAATCACTCAGGAGCATGGGAACGAAAAGGACGTTAGACGATTCTAGCTGCAGTTTCCTAATGTACACTCGGCCATCTAGAAAATGATCATAATTTATCTTCTATCTAAATGCTCCTTTTTTACAAACTGGTGATGATCCCGGACATTTATCAAAATATACGGACATTGGTCATCTGCCTCTTATGGACCATTGCTCTATGTGTTTTTAAGCATTGCATTTCCTTTGTGTGATCACTCCGAGATGATTACAGTTGTCATTTAGGACGGTACAAAAATACCTGGAATTGAATTGAATTAAAGTATTGCCTCTAAAATAATGTATTCATTAACAAACACACACAGACACACACATAGGTCCAGGATAGAAGCTATGTAGTTTTCAATGAATGAATTTCAAACACACACAAAATTAAATTGTGTTCAATACCTTTTGCATCTTTGTGTGTATTCTTTTTTATTATTGAAGTGTAGCAGACCCATCAGTACAAACCAAATTTCTATTGAAGGAGACAAAATAAATCTTGATCTTGATCTTGAAACAGTTTCTCTACTAGTTTCTCCTTAGACCCTCCTGTATTGGTTTCTGATATTGTTTGGTGAGGGTTAATTATTGTTGCGCTAAAACCTTAAATGCCGGAGTAAATAATCTCAAGACCATGTTTAGAGGCCGAAACCAACACAAAGTAATGTTCTAGTTTATATTTCACACCTTTTCTTTTCTGTTTTCCCGCCCGCAGCCCGTCCGCCGCTGCCCGAGGTCAAAGTCTTCACGGGTCCGGTGGGGGAGGTGCGCGAGAGCAGCAGCACGACCGGCATGGTGGTGGGAATCGTAGCCGCGGCCGCCCTGTGCATCCTCATCCTCCTCTACGCCATGTACAAGTACCGCAACCGCGACGAGGGCTCCTACCACGTGGACGAGAGCCGCAACTACATCAGCAACTCGGCCACCCAGCCCAACGGCAGCGCCAAGGACAAGCCCCTGGGGATTGCCAAAATCTCGAAAAACAAGAAAAACAAGGACAAGGAGTATTACGTTTGAACAGTGGGGAGATTTATATATTAAAAACGCTATGTGTACATAAAATGATATATCCAAACATACACGCAGAAGCACAGACGTCTCCCACAAGCACACAATTCCAGACGAAGCACACACACACAAAGACACACAAAAGGCGAAAGGACCGTTCATTGTACAGTATCAATCAATGAGGAGCCTCTACGTGATGAAATAGAGGTTTTGTTACTTCATTCCGGTTGAGGAAAAAAAAGCACCAAAAGCGACGGCCACGCCAGACACAAATCCTCAAGACTTTTTTTTTCCTGGCGGTGGATGCTTCCAAGCTTCCAAGTTTGACGGACTTGCGCAACGCCGGATGTTGAACAAAAATAGACGTTATACGAACTTGGAAAGACTATATTAATGCTACCTACAGACCGCAAGCACACACAGATACCACATATCTTAAATGTTAAATAAAACAATCAAACGCAGGCAATTTGAAGGACCCAAAAAGGCCATCGCCGGACTGAGAGAGATGGCGGGAAACGACCATTGAATCGTGATGGCGAAATGGAAGAACTTCGGGGAAGGGAGGGGTCCAATGCACGTGAAATTATCATACTCCGTGTGGTTTATACAAAAGAGTTTGACGCATTACAAGACATCTTTGGCTTCTCCCGACAACTTGGGGGGAAAAAACGGTTTGTAGCCAATGGATCGGAGAGGTTGTTTGTGTGTGGAGAGAAATGTATGTATGCATGTATGGATCAACGGACAAAAAGGCGACGTTGGAGCCGAGTGAATGAAGCCCTGTGCTATCGACGTGACTCGAAAGGCAGCACAAGACATCCAAGATCATAGAATTTATTTGATTTCCCACAAAAATATATATATACAAATCTGTAGTGAGGTTGAGCGCTGGAAAATTGAGTTTCACAGAAAGCCACAATCATGTTTGACACTGCTAATGTTGCAATAAATGGAAGAAAGTGGAGAAAACGTTTTAAATTTATGGGTTGAATACAGCAAGCCAATTGATCCCAAATTACAAGTTGCCAAGTTGTCAGATCAGCTGTACGAATATGCTTCTTGGATATCGTTTAAATAAAACTATAACTAAATGGGGTTTTTTTCCAGGCCTTAACATATAACTTGAGAGAATTATTATTATGTGAAATTATATGATGAAAGATAAAGACCGAAAAGCTTAACGTGAAGTATAGTTACTTTTCAAATATATGTTATAATGAAAAATACTTAATAGAGATGATATTGCAGATCATATAGATAAAAATGATATAGAAATACAAGACTTTTAAATGAAGACGTGGCGAGAATGAGCGACACTGCCACCCAGTGATAGAAATGGGAAATTGCCGTCTGTATGATTTAGATTTATACAATTGTGACGGAATTGGGCTGGAGAAAAACTAATTCCGTATATTTTTGCTGTGTTTGCTGTAATAATTTGCCAACAGCTTAACAAATTGGGAGAAGGAGCATTTAGACAGAAGGGGTGGGGTTATGCTTTTGTGCAGTTCCTGATATCAACATGGGTGGATCTAAAAACAACGTATTGTATGGTACCCGATGGTTAAAAGCTCAAACAAATCTGCATAGTACGTGCCCTTTAAGTTACGATGACATGGCTGAGGCTACATCTCAGTTATCGCACAACCAGAAATGAAGTTTACACACTTTACTGCTTCATTTCCCCAAATCCTGATTAAAAACTGTTAACCTTTCGCTGCGACACCTCCATAAAGGATCTCATCTTTTCCTCATTAACCTGGAGTCAACTTTTGTAGCACAGGGCGAAACAAAGTGCGATTTTCGAAAGGTTGTGTCCTATGTTGCTTCTTGGGCTGCGTTCACATTTGCATTCACACACACACAAACATACAGTATTATTGGGACTAAAACTGGGCAAAACCAGGTCTAAACGATGATAAATGTGAACGCAACCTTCGCCTATAAACTTGACAGATCACTTCAAGATAAAATGAAATAAATTGTATCTCTAAATAGTGAAAACTTGGCTTCAAACCTGAGTTGCTCTGAGTTCAATTGCTCAAATCTTTGCCGACGGATATGTATGATTTCCTCTGGGCTTCGTTTCGGTTTGATGTATCTTGGAGATTTTTTTTTCCTTTTTTAAGTGTTGACTCTTGCTAATTGTAGCTGCATACATAAACAAACTAATCAAACAAAAACTGTGCCATGACTTGAACAAATGAAGCCCCACATTTTTTGGTTCTTCCAAGCGACAAAACCAATTGAATGCATGCGAAACGAGATCGGAGAGAGACTTGCCCTCTGCCGGGGGGGGACTGCTGCGTACAAGATTTCGAGCGAAGAGCCGCTTTCGGACTTCCTTCTCCCTAAATGTCGCCCTCTGGATTTCTTTCTCTTGTGTTGGAACAAAATGGAAGTGGAATTTTACATCTCTAGGTGTTTTTCATTAACCATGTTTATTTTCTATATGTACAATTTTTCTACAGTATTTACTTTTATTTTTATTGTTACGGTTCTTTGATGAACATAAAGTGGAAATTTATTATGAAAAATAGTTTTGAAGATTACTGAGTAAATAAAATATTACCCAAGTGAGCCGAGTGCGTTGGTTACTTTTTGGGTTTTGGTCAAAGTGTCTCAGGCTGGGTTACCTAACTTTATTTATGAAATGCTCAATATTTGAACCAATATGGCTGCCATTCAAGCCGGCTGTAAACTGGGAAATATACAAGAGTGTGTTTTTCAATTCAATCAAACGGTTCAAACACAAGAAATGCAGACAAAAAATGACCAATGTCCACTAATGTTGATAAATGTCCATAAATGCTAAGTGTCCTGTATTATCCCCTCTGTCCTGTTCGTTAGACCCAGACAAGACTCAAACAGACCCTCCTGCATCGGCAAGGAACAAACCCAGTGGAAAAAGGTGAGAAACCACATTGAGAGAGGGATCCACTCCTCACGGACAGATGGGCTATGCTGTAGATCCAGAGTTCAGCTTGTAGAACGAGGACCGAGGCCACACAGTGCAGGATTCCGGTTGTAGAACGAGGACAGACACGATACAGAACATTGGCCAAAAGTATCCATCCAACTTTATTCATCCCAGGCTGTTCACAACCCCTGTGTCTCCTTTTAGTTGTACTTCCTGTTTCCTGATTACTTGCCCCGCCCTCATGTGTATCACCTGTGTCTCGTTAGTCTTGTGTATTTAAACCATGGATCTATTCTAATAACTGGATAGGGTATTACTAGCTTGGAGCTGAAGGACCCATGTGCTCGGAGGATTCTCGCGGTACTGCAGATTAAACCAGACTAAAATCACGTGGGCTAACCAGAAATTTTCCCCATATAACTGAATGTAAATTAAAACAGCTTGATCTCAGCTGACAGAGAACCTACAGCTTTAATAAAGGTCGGATTTTGTGGGGATTTTAGTGTCCCTTGTCATCCTCAACTTTTTTTCTTCTAAAATCCTTCGGTTTTCTTTAAATCCACACGTATTCATTTGAATACGCCGCCATCTTGGATCGCCTTAAACCTTGCGCATTCCTTCACTCATTGTCATTCCACGTCTGTTTCGGATCTTGTCCTCGTTCCGTGTTTGGTTACTTTATGTGGTGTTTTAGCTGGATTTTATTTTATTTTTTTGTAGTTTTGCGTTTTTGGGTCCTCCCTTTATTTTCAACATTAGCGTTACCGTTTCCATAGAAATGATTATCTCTTTAAAAACCACAAACGATATTTTTTGAACAAGAAAAAAACCTTCAAAACAGGAGCTGAAACGCTTCCTCGACACAAAGCTCAGAGCTGTTTGAAGTCTGTCTCAACGCTCTCCAGCTTCCGCACACAACTTCTTGTCATTTTCTTTTTCTCTATTCATTTTTAAGTTTTGTTGGGATGAAAAGACAGAAACCCCAGGGCCCACACAGAGTTTAGTCCTTCGTCCTCAGGTGCGAAACAGAACAACAGCAAAGAACTCGACAAAGACGGGTTGTTTTTTTTTTCCCCTCTTTCAAAATTCCTCAGGTCTTTGCTGAACAGTTTGTGCTCCGGAGACAGAGAAGGGGATTATGTAGCCGCAGCTGCCAGCCTGTCCTTGACCAGGTTTGACTCCAGAAACATAAATATATCTTTAGAAATACATAGAAAATAGAGCTAAATATATAGAGATATGTGGCTGGGGGGGATTCACTTGTAAAACAGAAAACAAAAATGACCATAAAGGTACATTATCGGGGTAATTACACTTCCAAACGTATTTATTATATTTAAATTTTTTCACGTCACCATAGATATCAAAAATACATTCTTGATTTCTTGAAAGTGGATTTCGCAAGAATCTCTGCAAAGGTTATAAATGGGGTCCTAGATGTATAAGCTTTGGGAGTTCAAGTGTTAAAATTGCGATATAAAAGTGAGAGTCAAGAAATGCACTGAAAAAAACCTGAATTCTTTCATAATTATACTTTGTGGTTGAAGAGAGGTTTGTGCTTCTCCTAACAGCACCTGTCTGCAGCAGTAATCGCCACACGGGAAAGACTATAGACAACCTGTCCGACAAACTCTCAGATACTGTTGTCGTTCGCCCGAGTTCCAGCTTCACATCTTAAAGTTTAGTTTAGTTTTTGCTGCAGAACATTTCACCTTTTTACCCTTTTGTGCTGAATCTACCGTGTCTCCTCTGGGCACTGTCTGACCTGCCTTCACTCCAGTCCTCCGTCCTCCACTCTCCGTCTCTGCCAATCCGTCTGTCTCCACCTTCATTTCAAAAGAATCACTTTACGCTCTCTCTCAGCTCGTGCCGCACCCCTCCTCCTCCCCATGCCTGCAAGCAACAACAGTGGGACAGTGGTTCTAGCGCCGGAAGATTCATCTTGTCTTGAAGAAAGTGTGTCTGTGTGTGTTTGTGTGTGCATTCATGTGTGTGTGTGTGTGTGTGTGTATTTTGTGAGTGAAATATGTGTGTGCTGCATGTTTTTTTGTGTGGTGTGTTCTCTGTGTGAGGGATGTGTGTGAGAGTGGTGTGTGTGCGTGCATGTGTTATTTTGTGAGGGAATTATGTGCGGAGGTGAGTGGTGTGTGTGTGTGTATTTTGTGAGTATGTGTGTGAGCCCAATAAGTATTTACTTCGTCAAACCCGTTTCCAATCTGTATTATGTCTCGCTGTTTGAAAAGTATACATTTCAAATCAATACCCACTTCTACCAAAAATTTTCTCCTCATTCGGTTCGAAACTACGTTGTGTTTGAGCCTGAGCCTGACGACAGAGACACAAAACCCGGAAAAACCAGAGGGCCGTGTCGTAAACAAACCATCCTTGATCGGAAGAAAACATATTTTGTAAACATATTACTCAGAGCGCCTCGAGAGCCTTGACCAATTTCATTCCACACGTATCTCACTCGAGTCCTCATTTATCTATTTATAGCAGTGTTATTCATTTGTATTAAGTTACCATGGAGACAAGTGAAAAAATTCATACGCAAAGACAAATATTATAAATTATATATATATAGAAATATATCTAAACATATAGAAATTTGTTCAAAATGTAGTAATTCTCCATCTGCAATCTTCAACACGGGTCGTTAATGGCCGTCATTTTGAAGGGATTTGCTCAAGAAGGGGTGAAACCTTATTTGCATAGCACTAAAATATGCATATAACGATTTTTATTTTTTAAATTTAGATTATTTATTTAGAACCTGCACAACATAAATCTTCAAAGACATCAATATAACAGAAAAATAAAAAGTACGGGGTTCAATAAAGGGTTGGACAAAAGTAACTGCTTATTTGATTCTTAATGGATTTGATTTGATTTGAAAAGAACTGTTTGTAACTTGGATTTGAAGATTGTCAGAGAAGAAGAAGTCTGTCTCACATTTTCAGAAAGACGGCTTCAGACTTTAGCCACATGAAAACTCTGCCTCCCCATGTTTAGTCCTGACTTGGGGCACCAGCAGGAGGCCAGTCCCTGTGCTCCTCAAGAGTCCCAGCAGGAGGCCAGTCCCTGTGCTCCTCAGAGTCCGAGTTGGATCATATGGCTCTAACATGTCACAGAGTCCATTCAAAGTCTGTTCTCTGAGCCAGTGCAGAGACCTGATACACTGGACTAGCGTGATGGTACTTCCTGGTTCAAGTCAGGACTCGAGCTGCAGCGTATAAAGGTTGACTGATTGTTATTGTTGACATGTACCAGTATCAATCAATCAATTCAAGCTAAAGAGATGTCAACGATAGATATTTTTTACATCCAGCACAAGCTCATTCACAGAAAAAATACCACCGTGCGCCACCTTGCATTTCTTATCGCTCGATAGAGCAGCTGCGAGTTTTCCCTGATGAAAAACCTGTTCCTGCCTCTCCCGCGGGCAGGTGCAACAAATGAATGTGCAACCTCCAAAAAAAGGAAGAAAAATACCCAATATAAATCTATTCTTTTTCTTTTTTTCTTTTTGTGTTCCATCTGCTCCACTCCTCTGTGCACCTGCTTTATCTGTCTCCACCACCTCTGTCCTTCTATCTCCCCAACAGCGTGGGAGAATAATCCTATGTTTTTTTTGGCCGTGTGCGCTCGTGTCAAAAGCCCAAGGTTATATTTTTTCTTATTTTGTGTTTGAAAAAAATCAAAAACAAAAAAAAAGCTCAGTTCGTTTTGGGTCATTTCACTTTGTATCGTTGAGTAAGCGACAGTGGCGGGCGGATGGCGGGCGGGTGGCGGTGGGTGTGTGAACGGTCGTGTCCTTGTGCGCTGAATTTAAGAATATTATGTCCGCTCCAATCTGTGCGTGTAGATATACAAAAATACAAGACTTAAGGAGACAAAACACCACACGTTCCCTTAGAATGTGCAGCATTTTAAGTTTGGCCGTTACATACATGGACGTCCAGTGAGGGGTTAGGATTTGGAGCTGTCACTATGTGTTAATAAAAAAATAAAAGTATTCGTTTTGCCGCAGTGACGTGTGTGGAAAAAAACTTTCTTCAGTTAAACAACAAAGAAGCAAAGAGTGAGATCGTTTTCTGTCACCTCCAATCCTGTATTATGATTGAATTGCAGGATCTTGTAACGGTGGCTCCCCCCCTAGTGGTAGAAGTGGGGAATGACAGTCTGCTGTTTTAGTACAAATCCAACATGGCTCGGTGTTTGATTGGAGGAATGCAGACTAAATTGGAAAGGAATTATAAATCTCTGTCCATAGACCGAGGATCACAAAATAGACACAAGATTAAGATTAAGATTAATTTGTCCCTTGGTGAAGGAATTTCAAAAGGGGCATCTGTTTTATTCTGAAGGACCAATGTAAAAAACCCAGAAAAGACCAAAAAAACAGTCATTTTGGAAGTTGCTCTATCTTTGCCTCTCTCTCTGTGTCTCTCTCTCTGTCTCTCTCTCTGTGTGTCTGTCTCTCTCTGTCTCTCTTTCTCTCTCTATGTCCCTCTCTCTCTCTCTTTGTCTCTCTCTGTCTCTCTCTCTTTCTCTCTCTATGTCTCTCTATGTGTCTCTCTGTCTCTGTCTCTCTCTCTCTGTCTCTCTCTGTCTCTCTCTCTCTCTCTCTGTCTCTCTCTCTGTCTCTCTCGCGCTCTGTCTCTCTCTGTCTCTCTCTCTGTCTCTCTCTCTCTGTCTCTCTCTCTCTCTCTGTCTTTCTCTCTGTCTCTCCAGTTGTCTCTCCCTCAAACCAGGTCAGAAATCATGGGGTAATCATGTATTTTAACAGCTACAACAAATCAGTAACATCTGCAGCTTGTGTTGAGTATAAAATGCGCTATACAAATAAACTGGCCTTGGCTCACATTCACATCTTATTGATGGCTTTGATTTCCTTCCCATTCTTCAACACGGCAAATACCACAAATACCACATAAATCTGATACTGATAACGATGACTCCTGAACTGACATAGAAAAACAACAGTCACGTTTGCAGCCTGGGCCTTGGCCTCTGGTTCAGTAGAGAGAGAGAGAGAGAGAGAGACCAGAGGGAGACTAGAGAGAGAGACCAGAGAGAGACCAGAGGGAGACCAGAGAGAGGGACCAGAGGGTGACCAGAGAGAGACCAGAGAGAGACCAGAGAGACCAGAGAGAGACCAGAGAGAGAGACCAGAGAGAGAGCAGAGAGAGACCAGAGGAAGACCAGAGAGAGAGACCAAAGAGAGAGACCAGAGAGAGAAACCAGAGAGAGACCAGAGAGAGACCAGAGAGAGAGACCAGAGAGAGAGAGACCAGAGAGAGACCAAAGAGAGAGACCAGAGAGAGAGACCAGAGAGAGAGACCAGAGAAGAGACCAGAGAGAGAGAGACCAGAGAGAGAGACCAGAGAGAGACCAAAGAGAGAGACCAAAGAGAGAGACCAGAGAGAGAGACCAGAGAGAGAGACCAGAGAAGGAACAGAGAGTACTCACAAGCGGGGAACAGATTTAGCATGAAGGGCGTGGCAGCATCATCCTGTGGGACTGCTTTTCTTCAGCAAGGACAGAGGGAGAGAGGGGAAGGTGGAAGCACAAAATACCAAGCGTAAAAAAGACCTGATGCGTTCCTAATTCAAGATCACTTGAACAAAGTTGTCGTACAGTGGTGTTTTTGTTTTTGAATCACTGAGATAAAGAATATGCACACATGACGCATACCCAAACAAGGACAGCTGTATTGTGTTGAATATGATAAAATATGGTTTGATTTCATCCATGGTTCTGGCTTCTCTGTGACATAGGCCTCAAGGTTTTACCCCCGACAGATTTCTTACAACAACAAAGTGCCGCATGCCCACGGAGACGTCAATACAGGTCTAAACTGGGGCCGAGGCCTGGATCCAGGACCAGCAGGACCAAAGGGGGACTGGAGCTGGACGAGAAAAACCCAGGATTTTTGTGGTAAAGAAGAAAAACAGCAGACTCTGAGGAGCACAGGGACTGGCCTCCTGTTGGGACTCTGAGGAGCACAGGGACTGGCCTCCTGCTGGGACTCTGAGGAGCACAGGGACAAGCCTCCTGTCAGAACTAAACATGGGGAGGCAGCGTTTTCAGATGTATGCAGCAAAAATCTGGAATAGTCTTGATATTGCAATGTTATGAAAATAATAAGTAAATGTACAGATAACTCTGGAATTTAGAATACTTTTTTTTAAGTTAATCTACTCCTGTAATTCTACTTACAATGTGAAACTAATGTATGAGAGTCCAATGAGGTTCATGCAACATGTATTGTATGTATTTTATTGTGTAATGTTTGGGTGCATTTTTAAGGAAGTACTTCTAAACTAAAACTCAAAAATAACAACAATAAATACGTAGTTATTGCACATAAACTTAATAATAATTAGGTACATGATCTGATTTCGAACTATCCACACACACTGGCTGGGCACTGTGGCTCGCTTCTTAGCAAGAAGGTCAGGTCCTGGGTTTGAATTATGATCCGAACAAGGCCTTTCTGAGTGGAGTTTGCACGTTCTACCTGTGTGTGCTTAAGTTTCCTCCGGGTGCTCTGGTGTCCCCTACCACTAAAAACATGTACAATTGGTCTGGCGTCCAATTGGTCTGGCGTTTGTGAGTCTGGTCTCTGAAAGGAAGTATATAAATATTTTACTTAATTATGACTGCATTAAAATTGCCAGTTTCATGCTTAATTTTGAGTGTCCCGGTCTGAAAAGTTTGGGAGCCCCTGCTTATAGGCCACGTGGTTCTTGAGGTTCGTCGCCCAAACAGATATGGTTTCTGCCTGCGCCGACGCAAATCACTTCTTAGACGTACCTAGCCTTGAAATCCTCACGTTTTTACATCGCTTCTACCTCACTTCCTGTCGAGCCTCTTCCCTCAAACAGACACAAAAAGCGGAAAACCAAAACGCCTCCGGGTCCTCCTCCTGATCTCTGCCCACATAAAACCGTCTCTCCCGCCTCCAGACCACCACAAACCTCACACCGTCTGGACCAAAACGAACTCACGCCGCTCACGTTTATCAACCCATGTGATAGTTGTATATGCTGTAAAAGTGCAGGAGCAATGATGCATGCTGGGAAAAGGCTCTGGAGGTGTCTGGCTCTGGCCCTGATGGTGAAGTCCGTGCAGGCGTTTGGAACCGAACAGGGTTTTTCTTGTTCGGCTCGACTCAATTCCAAATGTCAACTTTGGGGGAAAGACGTGGAGGAGATTCCCGTCAACATCTCCCTCAACACCACGTATTTGTAAGTATCGCAGTACATAAATATATATATATATATACTGTGGAGTTTAGATACTATTTTTCCTGTTTTTATTCCATCTTCATACTTTGTGCTGTGTTTTTTGATTCTATGTTTTGAAAATTGTTGATAATATTTGCAGTACTTTTTATACTTCAAGTTTGATGATATTTGCAGTACGTTTTATACCTTAAGTTTGATAATATTTGCAGTACTTTTTAATGCGTCAAGTTTGATAGTATTTGCTGTACTTTTTATACTTCAAGTTTTATAGTATTTGCAGTACTTTTTATGCCTGAAGTTTGATAATATTTGCAGTATTTTTTATATTAAAGTTTGATAGTATATGGAGTACTTTTTATACTTCAAGTTTTATAGTATTTGTGGAACTTTGTATACTTTTAAGTCTGATAGTATTTTCAGTACGTTGAAGTACTTTTCCATTCATTCCAATAGTACAATTTCTACTTTTTTTTTTTTCAAGTTACAATAAAAGTCTGCATGTATTTTTGGAGCGTTCCATTTACAAGGAGCATAAACAAGTGACAGACCCAAACATGTGAAAGTTAATTATATAAAACCAGCAATACTTAGATGGATTTTAACATTTATTCAACGTTTATGTGACTTTCTCATAGTTGTAAAGTTAGAGTTGTCTTTTTAGAGGGTTTTGAGGCCCAGAAATGTCTTGGTTGAGATTTGGGATAATAAATGAAAGTGAATGGGCGCTTCTTTAGAGATTGGGCGAGGAGCTCAGTCACACGGGAGGAGCTCGAAGTAGAGCCGCTGCTTCTCCACGTTCAGAGGAACCAGTTGAGGTTTTTGATACTTCAACATGTCTCACCGGGAGGAGACCAAGGGGAAGAACCAGGACACGTTGGATAAAGCAGAAGAAATTGGAATGGAAAGTTAGGTCCCCCAGCTTTAAGTAACAACAGTTATGCTTGTTCTTGGTTTTACTTGAATCCATATAAAAAGAAATCTATCACAAATGTATCATAATGAGAGAAGCCTTCAGAACTCAGTCTCTGCCATTTTTTGGTCCACTTTGATGACCAAAGTGGACCTGCAGTGCAAAAAATGATGTAACAAAAAAATGTAGCTTAATTTTAGTACATTAGACTGCCTTAAAATGAGCAAAAATATCTTGTTTTAAAATTATACAAGCAATGTCCCCCTTGGAATGAAAAAAAATGTCTTGAAATTATAGGCTGAATGGCTTCATCCCGTTTATGAATCTTGCCAGAATGTGGTCAGATTTAGACAAAAAACCCTTGATCCAAACAATTATGACCTCATATTGTGTCTCTTTTGGCAGAATTGACCATATCTGCCTCAGAATGGTCACGCTGAGCCAGAATAGGATGTTTCGCCGGCGTTTATCGAGCGCACGCAAATAATAGCCTGTTGTTTTTGCCGCTGAACTGTTTTTAGAAGAATCTCAAGGTTGTCAGACAGAAGCCGAGAGGAGGGAGGGAAACACACACAACATGACACGGTTTACCTCACTGTGCGTACGACAGGCCCGGAACGTGATTGGACCAGAACTTAGACATGTTTTCGTACGTGGCTGCGTTCATGTGACTATTTAGACTGTGTTAAATCAGGTTTTCTCAGACATTTATGGCATGCAAATATATGTTTTTGTGCAAATGTGTAAGTACTGACATATAGCTAACACATGCATGGATTTCAAATGGCTAGACAATTATTAAACTAGTAATCTACAAAATAATTACATTTTGAAACTAAATTGTATTTTGGAAGAAATCTGAGCTTCTTTAAAAACATGTGTAGCAAAATGTGAGATTATAATTGCTGTAATTGCATGTTTTTTATCTTAATTTTGTGTCTTAAAACAAGATTGGCCAATGGGAAAAAAGCTGTTTAATTGTTTTAATTGTTAATTGTTCTTCCTCATTCCAAAGGAGACATTTCTTGTATCTTTTTAAAACAAGATAATTTTGCTCATTGTCCCATTGTAAAAACCAGTAAAAATTGTATGACTTATTTTTCATTACTTTTTGCAGTGTGTAGTGAATAACTCTCACATGTTTTGCACCAGTCTGTGTCAGTGTGAGAATCTGCAAAAACATTGTAATTTATGACCGTGTTCTCACTGGATCTCTCTCTCTCCATCTCTCGTCATTCCCAACATTTCATCCAGAACTATTTATGAGCACATTCTTCTGACAGATACAACCCTCAGCTGTGAAAATACAACAGATATCCGTCTAAATTAGTTTCTGAGAATTTCTCCGGTCAAATGTTTTTAGATATGTGTGTGTGTTCTGTACAACTATGCACTTTCAATGAGTTCAGGCCATGCTAGATTCCCAAATATCGCAGCGTGTCATAGAACTGTGACGGTATTCTATCCTTTTTATTATCTATTTTATTATGTTTTTTAGTATTCATTTATGTTTTTCTGATTTAATTCCATGATCTAAAGAAGTGACAGAAGTCAGATATACATGAAAACTAGTGAGCGAGACAAACCATTTTGATACGTGGATAGATACATAGATTGATTTTGTGTGAAAGTTAGGCACCCCAGCGTTAATGAGCCAACACCACATCATGTCTGTTCTTTAAATACCCGACGAGGATGAGAAAGGGACGCAAAAAAGGGAAAAGTGGAACTCCCAAGACGTGTGTGTTCTGTGGGGTTTGTCAGGTCAAGGCTGGAGACGGAGGTATTTCCAGAGCAGAGAACTCAATGGAGCTCAAAATAAACCAGGAGTAGAATCAAATTATACTTTATTCATGCTGAAAAACACAGATATACAGAAACTCCAAAAGTGTGTCAAATTGATTGTAATTGTGTGTTTATTATCTAGCTTAATGAATGGGCTGATAACGGTAATTGAGTGGTTATTTTATCATGTTAGTAAATGTGTTTCAGTTTAGTACAAATGTTTTAATCATTGTTGATCCTTTCATGTATTTTCAGTATTGTTGTGTACAGTAGTCACACATTCTTGGTGTTGGTGTAATGAAGGTTACATTAGAATACATAATTATACAAATAATGCTTTACCTTTTTGTCGACAAGGACAAAACGGTAATATAGAAATAAGGTTAAATGTCTATATGGATAACAAAACCATGGCAAGGGGAATTTATTTGTATAACACAGTTTACAATGCAACTCAAAGTGCTGAACAAAACAAGATAAGTGGGTCTAAACTAGCTTGGTCTTACCTTACCATCGTACATATTTCATTTAGGTCAGGATCTGGGAAGGGTTAACTCCTTTTGTAGATTGAAACGATTGGATCTGAGTTTGCTGTGACGTGTATCATGCACCTGAGTGAGTGAGGCATTTAGCATTTAGCATGTAGCCTAGCTTTAGCCATCTCCTTTACCACTAAACGGAGCCCGTGGGGAGTAGCGCCACAACATCTAGAAAGAGGATTTTTTTGCTAAAGATTCCTCTTGCTCCGGGTTCAATTTCTCGATATTCGGAGCCGAACCAGAACAGATTGCTTTACTATCACATTCGCCGCCATTGCCAAACTACAACCAGCAAATTTGGCGCAAACTCTCGACGTCACCGACACCTACCTACAACACCCGCCTCCCCCGCTCGCTGATTGGTCGGATGGGATTGATCCAAGGTAACTGCAGACACTAGGATCAGACCCAGACGTACAGTACATGTAGGAAATAATAATTGACCGGAGTTGACAGGACTTTACAAAGTTGTCAATTCACCAACACAGATCAGAGAATCAAACGCAATGCAATGTTAACAAACACGTAGAGCCATAAACGGCAGATGACCAAAGTCCATAAATGTTGTTGTGTGTCCTGGATCATCGCCACTGTCCTTTGACCCTCCTGCATCGCCAAGGTACAACTCAAAATAAAAAAAAACAGTGGGAAAAAAAATCCCAAAGACGCCTAAAAGCTGTGAAAAGGTCACTAATTCCTGTTTTTTCAGACATAGCAATAACATCTCGGTGGACAGAGGTGGTTACGCAGCTCTCTGTTAGCTTGACCTTGCCGTTTACCACAGCGTTCAGAGTCTATTGTGCTTCTTATTTGAATGTCTGTCTGTAGAAATTATTTTTGTTTTGTGTCATAGAGAGGTGATTGAGACCAACGTGGCTGTGATCCCCGGAAGACGCCTCTCCAACCTTCAGCGTCTCCGAATACTGTGAGTTTTCTTGCAGCAGTTAGCATTTGGTGGCAGTTTTTTTTCTGTGGTTCAAGTTATAATAGCCAATGAGTAAAAAATTGTTTTTATAAATGTCTTACTTTTAATCAAATTGATGGGGAACATTCTGAATATAACCTAACTAATGTAAATTTCTCCTGTGTGAGAGATTAATAAAGTACATCTTATCTTATCTTAACTACTAACAATAGAACAATGTTTCTCTCTAAAGCTCTCTAAGCTCTCAAAAAGTAAAATAGTGACTCAGAGGGCACAAAAGGCCATCCGTGCTGGTTTGATTTGTTCACAACTTTTTACTTCTACAAGACTCTTTCTGTTGGGACAAACAAAATTAGATACCCCAGCTTTAATCAAGGCAACACTGTGTCTCATTTGTTACAATCTGACACCTCCCCTTTAATATGATTCTGTTGGAGCCACTTTTCTCACAAACAAGACAGATGTATCCGCTTTTTTGTCTTGCTTTTATATTGTTGTTATTGTTCGTTCTTTGTACATATTTTATCTTATCCCTTTGGTATCCTTCAGATGTTTTGAAATGTGCGATTTAAAGTAACCACTAGTTACTTTTTAATTGTGAAGAGAGAGTGAAACGTTTTGAAGACAAGCACTGGTTAGACCCGCCCCTGCTCACCCCTGCCGCCTCCTGATTGGTCAATATTCATTCAAATCCTTGAGGCCTCTCGTCATTGGTTTAACTTTTCTCCTTCAGTTTATCTTAACGTTTGAATTTATGCCAAGAGAAACGATTATTCTACATATGTTTTTGTTGAGAAATACTTACTGTACCATAATAGGACAGGACAAGGGACATTCCTTGACATTTTTTCGACAAATTTGTAAAGTTCTCCGAGACGACTGCGGTTGTGATTTAGGCCTATAAAAAAATACATTGAATTGAATTGTGCAAGTGTCAGAAATAAAAATTATTTGAATTCACTGACATTTATAGTGCCACATGACTGACTTTGCTGTAAATGTTGATATTTTGATTTGTGTGTTGCAGCGATTTCCGTTTAGCTTCTGCCTGTTCCTTTTTTCAAGTGCCTGAAATTGTAAAGATTGTGACAAACGTCTTAAATAAATATATAAATTGACCAATGAAAGAACAATGACCAATATAAATATAGACAAACCACAATTGAAAACAAAATCACAGTTTAAAATGATCCCAGCTCTGTGTTTGTCTTTGATCTCGCAGCACCATCAGACAGAACAATCGGCTGGAGACCATCGAAGAGTCCGCCTTCTCAGACCTCGCTCTTCTTTCCTCCATGTGAGTGTTCTGCCATCTTTGTTTGGTCTTTCAAGCAGAACCACAGGCCTCTGCACCAGGGAGCCTCTGCACCAGGGAGCCTCCGCACCAGGGAGCCTCCGCACCAGGGAACCTCTGTCCCGCGCCATACGAATAAATAGCTGAGAGTTTATGGTTCAAAGTAACACCGATAATGATGAGAGCTAGCTGTTTTTTTTAAGTTAATTAATACACGGCACGGTGGCTGAGTGGATAGCACTCTCGCTTCTCAGCAAGAAGGTCCTGGGTTCGAATCCCAGTTGGAACAGGGCCTTTCTGAGTGGAGTTTGCATGTTCTCCCTGTGTCTGTGTAGGTTTCCTCCGGGTGCTCTGGTTTCCCCTACCACTAAAAACATGCACAATAGGTATGAATGTGAATGGAAGTCGTTGGTTGGGGGCTGATGGTCCAGTGTGTTTGCCGACTCGTCATCACCGTGTGTGGAATGATTGGAACAATATCTGAACTCTTAACAATGTAAAGTGCTACGGGTGACCTTGGTCTGTAAAATAAACATGACTTACTTACATTACTTGCTTAGAGAGTTTATTCCTGCTTCTGTAGTATGCTAAAGCTAGAGATGTTTAGAGACTTTATATACTTTCCCCACTGTGGGACGAATAAACGATCTTTTAATCTCAATCTTCAATCTTGTTTGGTGTCACGCTTCCTGTTTTCTCACAGAACGGTCTCGGGGCACCTGGCGCTGAGGAGAATAGAAGCGTTCGCCTTCTGGAATCTTCCAGAACTCACCGAGATGTAAGTAGGAAGTTGTCAGACGAGGGTTTGGCCCCGAGCCCATGGACTCCCACTTTCATTCTGTCTCATTAAACACAAGAAAGTATTTGCATCTAAGTCAAGTGTTGGGACTGCACCTGTAGATTTGTCTTTTTTCTGAAGCTGAGCAGGGATGGGCTTATATACAAAAGAATATAACCCTAACCCTAGATTAACAGTTTTACACCGTTTGAAAGGGGTTGGACGAAGCGGACGTTTCTTTGACTCCAACCTTCTCAAACTTTACACAGTGCTGTAGTTTTGTTCAGATACTTTTTGCCCTGAAGGAAGAAGCTGAAACTAAACGTGTCTCCTTTAAATTATTGTTTAAGAAATTATGTTTTTGTGCAAAATAAATGCCAAACCAGGACCAATCTTAGACTGGGCTACGACTAACCCGGTATAAACTAGAACCTAGTCAAACTTAAACCAGAAGTTTGTCTTTTTATTTTAAAATTTTGAGCACAAACAATGACACTAAAAAGGAGTCAAACATCTTGTTTTATGACAAGATGGCAAAGACCAAATGTACTAAGATCAAAGTTTTCCAATGGGACGAGCAAAAATGTCTCACTTGCAAATTCAGACTTCAAAGAGGAAGAAATGCCACTGTACTTGAAAGAAGAAGTATTTAGTTTGTCCCTTTGGAAAATCTTTTTTTTACAAAATATACTTGAACAAAGATAAAAGTTTCCATTATTTGATGCATAAATGTGATCACTTTAGCCGTGAATATGAGCTGAGGGAGTAGAGTAGAGTTGTTGATTCGCCAACTCAAATCAAATAATCTCTCACTGCATTTGTGATATGTTTATCAATATATGTCTGCTCTGTACATTTACTTCCTTATTTCTAAAACATGAAACTTCAAAATAAATATTCTAAAGATCCTGGTCAGACCATCATATCTGGTTTATATTTTCACAGGGACAGTGTACAATAAACATTAAGAGGAGGAATGCATTGTGCCCAAGCCTCGGTGATCCAAGATGGCGCCCTATTCAAATGAATGGCTCGTCATCAGTAGAACATGCAGGGACACACGGGACTGAGAGATTAGCAGAACTCGCCTGTATTTGGCCATCGTCTGGTCGTCCCGGTTCTGCGCAGTGGACGAGCTCCCATGATGCGTTGCGCCAAATACGTGTGTGTGGTTCTCATGCACGTGCACAGAGGGGCTCGGCCGTGCTTTGACCAAACAAAGCTGCTGATCAGAGCGGAGTCAGAGCGGAGGGAAAGGAGCAGAGTTCGTGGCAGTAAAGTGTGGATTTAAAGAAAACCGAAAGATCTAAGAAGAAAAAAAGTTCAGGATGACAAAGGACACTAAAATCCCCTAAAAATCCGATCTTTATGAAAGTTCTCTGTCAGCTGAAGTTGAGCTGTTTTAGTTTACATTGAGTTCTATTGGACTTTTTTCTCGGTGACCCGCGTGAATTTAGTCTGCAGTACCACGGGCGCCCCCTGTGCCCATGGGTGGTACAGCTATAAGCTAGTAATACCTTATCCATGATTGTACCAGGTTGTAGCTGCAGTGCTAATTTACTCCTGTAGTCCCTGAGCAGGTGTAAAACAGTAGAAGATGGATGCATTATCTTACATTATCAGAGAGAAATTACAATTTATTTTACCGTATGAGTTACAACAAAACCACCCAGACCCCAATCATCACTTTCTCTCAATACATACATTTATATACACACACACACACACACACACACACACACACACACACACACACACACACACAATCACTAGAGAGTTTCCTGAGAGATCATTGTCTTCCAGAACCATCACCAATGCCAAGCACCTGCAGAGGATCGATCCCGGTGCGTTCAGGAACATCTCGAAACTCAATATGCTGTGAGTATACCTCCCGGAACGCAGTGTGCGGAGAGAGAACGGCCAGATAGATCCTTCCTTCCGATTGTTGCTTGTAAAATCCAAATTGGGTCATGGGGGTTGAGGCAGGACTATTTTGGATGCTCCCCTTGCATCATTTTTTAATTAGGACGGATTCCTCAAAACGCAAACAGTGTCAAAGGTTCCTCTCGTCGCTGTGGGAGACTTCACCCTCAGTCCGCTCCGTGCTTTTCCAAAGAGAGTGGATTTATGACATTGTTACTGAGTTCGCTCCCAGTCCCTCTGAGCTCCCAGCTTTATACACCATGATGTTATTTCGTTATTGAGCCTATGTTTTTACGTGTTTATGGTATTTTTGTGTGTGTTTTTGGGGTGTATGGTAATTTGGGCACATCCGCTGTCATAGATGTAAGCTTGTTGTTGCTGCAGATTCCAACCATAAATAAAAGCGGTGAGAATGTTACAGACACAAGGAAGATGTCAAAAACAAAATCTATATACAGCGTGAGCTTGTGTTGATGTATTTGATACTGAGAATATAATTTTTTTTTTGGAACCTAGCTGTATACTATACACATATATATATATTGTAGATTACTTTTATTATGTATTTTAATGAACAGAAAGAGTGTTATTTTATATGATCCTGTCTTACCCTAACTCTCAGTATTGTTTGTTGTTTATCCTCATTATCCCCATTGTAATCCAAAAAAAAAATTAAAAAAAATAAACAATACATTCATTAATTCGTTGCCATCATATTAAAGGCATAGATCAAATACTTAGTCAAAATAAGCAAACAACACGGGGGGAAAAACAGACATGAAGGCTTTATAATGATACTTTGCACATTTAAGATTTGAGTTTTCTTTGATAGATCCATCCATCTCCCTCGGCGGCCCATTCCAAAGTTGAGTTGCTCTGAAAAAAAACAGTCTTTGAGATCATAAACACGTCATAAACAAGTTCTTCCAGCCAACTTCAGCTCCACCGACAGAGACATGGCACCTGGTTGTAACGCTCAGAACATTTGGAATCCAGCCGTTGACTTTATATACACTGACTTTTGTTTATGACTGTGAGAAAGGAAACAAATGTCTTATTCAACCAAGTTCAAATCTGCTCATTTTAAATCTAAGCCAGCCCAAATCCAAATGAAATTATTTTTTGTTTAGCCCTAAATCACAGCAGTCATTTGGTTCAGTTAAAACACAAGTAATGCAATGAAAAATATAGAGCCATTGGTCCATAAGCGGCAGATGACCAATGTCCATAAGCATAGATAAATGTCCAAAAATGTAGATAAATGTCAAAAAATATAGATTAATAGCCATAAACATAAATTAATGTCCATAAATATAGATAAATGTCCATAAGTGTCCTGGATCATCACCACTGTCCTTAGACCCACCCAACTAAAATGGCCCCTGCACTAAAACATTTACCCACAGCTGGTCTGGGGGCGACAGGTGAAAAATCTCTCTGACAGTATATACCCGACCGGGACACATTTTGAGTTTTTTCTCTGAATATTTGATACTTTGGACTTAGCACTGGCCTTACCCAACCCGATCAGAGCTGCCTGTTGAAGCTGACATAGTTGCAGATTTGGGAACATGGTGTGATGGAGTCTCGGCCAAAGAACTACACTTGTTATAATTCTGTTTCACTGAGAGATCCATTGTCTGATCTGGGCTCGCTCCGTGTCTGTGGGCTGCCTTTGGACCGAGCTGCCATGTTGTAAGTGTTGCAGTTTGAAGGACAATTTCCATCCGCTCTGCTGCACAAAATATCTCAAATTAAAAGTATAATCAGTTACTGTTTAGGTAGGGAGTATGTACCACCTGCTTGTCTTTTGGTTGAGATGGTCTTTCTTATAGTGTATACTGCAAAAAGTGATGAGAAAGTCTAGAAGAAGTCAAAATTGCGAAAAAACGAAGATTCACTTGTTCGTCAAAACAGTTTTTTTGTTTTTGTTTACAGAATCATCTCCAACACCGGTCTGAACGTGTTCCCGGATGTCGGACTGATCCACTCCATCTCGACTGAATTCATATTGTAAGTAGTCAATCTCACAATTGAGACCGATTAGTGATTTATAAATACAATTTGAACTGGTTTTTCTCAAAACAGTTTGGTTCTAGCTGTTCGAGTTCCACATAGTTGAGTTTGTTTATGACCAGAGAAATTGACCATAATTCGGTGATGTAATATTTACAGTCTATGGATGTAATAGAGAGAGGGAGAGAGAGAAATGGTGCGAGAGAGATAGATATATATATATAGATAGAGGGATAGATTGATGGAGGAAGATAGACTGTTTGGTTTTATCAATAGTTTTCGTATTTTTGGCCTCTGTCACATCTTTCGATCAGCTTTTTCAGACAGAAAAGTGAAAGAGAGAGGACCACAATAGCTCAGCCAAAGCATCAAACAGTGACTCACAGGGATCTCTACTCATCTGTGCAAAAATAATCTGAATTAAAGCCGCAAGCGGCGTCGAACGGCCCTCGCCGCACCGCGCGACTCCCCGCACCGCGCGCACCCCCCCGTTCCACGCCGCCCTGCACCAAGCCACCCCGCACCAAGCCACCCCGCACCACGCCGTCCCGCCTCACGCCGCCCCAAGCCGCAACGCACCGCTCCACAACGCCCCGCACTACGCCGCACCACACCGTACCACGCAGCACCGCGCATAGGAGGTGGCGCCGCCGTGTGAGGATTGGTTCCCGTAGCCATAGAAGAACTTAGTCAAATTGTAATGAATATGATAAGTAGAGCTGGTTTGGCTCCCCATGTAAACTTTGACTCAGTCTTTAGGGGGCGCTAATGGGCCAATTTCAAATATTTCACTTTCACCTGACCTAAACCCTGGAGTTGAATAATGGATTCAAGTTTAATGCAAATCAGTCTTTGTTTGTGCAAACGGGAAAAAAATGTATGTTGTCAAAAACGGCCAAAAAAACACTCAGTTTGCCGCTCGGCTGCTCAAACAACGTTTCACTGATAAAAATTCCCTGAGGTCATTTTGAAGGTAAATGTTTTGAGATAATTTGGAGCAATTTTGAGGCCAATCGGTGAAACGGCCGAGGAGGAGTCGCTTTCCAACCGACATGTATGAAAATGATTGGTTTTCATTTTTCCATTTTGCAATGAAATTTATGGGCTTCCTCTTTGTCAGAGGGCTTAGCCATACTAACATTTTTTCCATGTCTTGACTTTAGGAACATGTGTACCAAATTACATGGTTCTACAACAATTTTGACCTCAAACCCTTCCCATAGGCATTTTTAAATTGGCTGTTGTAGGTGGCGCTATAGAGCCAATTTCAAATTTTTAACTTTCAAATGACCTAGACCCAAGAGTTGAACCATGATTTCAAGTTTTGTGCAACCCAGACTTTGTTTGCGCAAACAGAAGCAATTTTTCTATTGTCAAAAATGGAAAAAAAATACGCCACTTTTTGGCGCTCCGCTGCTCAAACAACATTTTACTGATCAAAGGTCTGTGAAATCAAACTGATGGTACATGTGTTTAGACGATGTGGAGCGATTTTGAGACAAATCGGTGAAACAGCCGAGGAGGAGTCGCTTTCCAACCGATACGTGTGAAAAGGACCATGTTTCATTTGTCCATTTTGAAGTGAAATTTATGGGCTTCCTGTTTGTCAGGGGGCGGGGCCATAACAACTTTTATCTCATGTCTTGAGATGAGAAACATGTGTACCAAATTTCATGCCTGTACGACAAACTTGACCTTGAAACGCTCCAATACTAAAAACTTTGACCCCATCTCTAGGGGGGGGTAACGAGCCGAGTTCAATTATTTCACTTTCAAATGACCTAGACCCTAGAGTTGAACAATGTATTAAAGTTTTGTGCAAATCAGACTTTGTTTGTGCAAACAGGAGCAAATTTAATCTTGTCAAAAACGGCCAAAAAAAGGTCACATTTTGCCGCTCCGCTGCTCGAACAATGTTTCACTGATCAAAAATCCCTGAGGTCATTTTGAAGGTACATGTGTTGAGATGATGTGGAGCGATTTTGAGGCCAATCGGTGAAACGGCCGAGGAGGAGTCGCTTTCCAACCGACATGTATGAAAATGATTAGTTTTCATTTTTCCATTTTGCAATGAAATTTATGGGCTTCCTGTTTGTCAGAAGGATTAGCCACAATAAAAAAATTTCCATGTCTTGACTTGAGGAATATGTGTACCAAATTATATGGTTCTACGACAATTTTGACCTCGAACCCATCCCATAGGCATTTTTAAATTGGCTGTTGTAGGTGGCGCTATAGAGCCAATTTCAAAATTTAAACTTTCAGATGACCTAAATCCAAGAGTTGAACCATGGATTCAAGTTTTGAGCCAATCACACTTTGTTTGTGCAAACGGAAGCAATTTTTCTATTGTCAAAAACTGAGAAAAAATACGCCACTTTTTGGCGCTCCGCTGCTCAAACAACGTTTCACTGATCGAAATTCCCTGAAGTCATTTTGATGGTACATGTGTTGAGATGATGTTGAGCGATTTTGAGGCGAATCGGTGATACGGCCGAGGCTGGTTTGATGTTTGTGTGAGGTGTACATTTGCAATGAATGGGGGAGCGTTTCTCGTCGCCACGGCAACAGGGTAAAAAATAAGCCTTGGACCCAATCGACTTTTTGAATCAAGAGGGCAAAACAGATGTATGTGCAAAATTTCAAACATTTTGAAAAAACTAAATTTGAAAATGCCCATTTAAAACTTTGAAATAGTCTGTAGGGGGCGCTAATGTGTCAATTTGAATCATTTAACTTTCAAATGACCTAGACCCTAGAGTTGAACGATGTATTAAAGTTTTGTGAAAATCAGACTTTGTTTGTGCATACGGGAGCAAATTTAATGTTGTCAAAAACGGCCAAAAAAAGGTCACATTTTGCCGCTCCGCTGCTCGAACAATGTTTCACTAATCAAAAATCCCTGAGGTCATTTTGAAGGTACATGTGTTGAGATGATGTGGAGCGATTTTGAGGCGAATCGGTGAAACGGCCGAGGAGGAGTCGCTTTCCAACCGACATGTATGAAAACTTTTGCTGTTCATTTTTCCATTTTGCAGTGAAATTTATGGGCTTCCTGTTTGTCAGAGGGCGGGGCCATAAGAATATTTTTTTCTTGTCTTGACTTGACAAACATGTGTACCAAATTTCATGACTCTATGACAAACTTGATCTCCAAAACTCCCATAGGGGTATTATTTTGGCTGTTGTAGGTGGCGCTGTTCCGTCATTTTTTGAGTCCCATAAAAATAAACACCAAAATATCAAATTTTTCGCCAGGTCTGATTTTTGGGCCAAAATTAACAACTTTTCATGCATGTTCAGGGGGTCAAATTAAGGCTCAAAGTGCAGAAGAAAAAAGAAAGAAAGAAATAAATTAAAGCCGCAAGCGGCGTCAAACGGCCCTCGCCGCACCGCGCGACTCCCCGCACCGCGCGCACCACCCCGTTCCACGCCGCCCCGCACCAAGCCACCCCGCACCACGCCGTCCCGCATCACGCCGCCCCGCACCAAGCCGCCCCGCACCAAGCCGCCCCGCACCAAGCCGCCCCGCACCAAGCCGCAACGCACCGCTCTCCACAACGCCCCGCACTACGCCGCACCACACCGTACCACGTAGCACCGCGCATAGGATGTGGCGCCGCCGTGTGATGATTGGTTCCCGTAGCCATAGAAGAACTTAGTCAAATTGTAATGAATATGATTATTAGAGCTGGTTTGGCTCCCCATGTAAACTTTGAATCAGTCTGTAGGGGGCGCTAATGGGCTAATTTCAAATATTTCACTTTCACCTGACCTAAACCCTGGAGTTGAACAATGGATTCAAGTTTAATGCAAATCAGTCTTTGTTTGTGCAAACGGGGAAAAAATTTATGTTGTCAAAAACAGCCAAAAAACCCTCACATTTTGCCGTTCCGCTTCTCAAACAACGTTTGACTGATTAAAATTCCCTGAAGTAATTATGAAGGTAAATGTGTTGAGATGATTTGGAACAATTTTGAGGCCAATCGGTGAAACGGCCGAGGAGGAGTCGCTTTCCAACCAACGTTTATGAAAATGATTGGTTTTCATGTTTCCATTTTGCAATGAAATTTATGGGCTTCCTGTTTGTCAGGGGGCTTAGCCATAATAACATTTTTCCCATGTCTTGACTTAAGGAACATGTGTTCCAAATTACATGGTTCTACGACAATTTTGACCTCAAACCCCTCCCATAGGCATTTTTAATATGGCTGTTGTAGGTGGCGCTATAGAGCCAATTTCAGAATTTTAACTTTCAAATGACCTAGACCCAAGAGTTGAACCATGGATTCAAGTTTTGTGCAAATCAGACTTTGTTTGTGCAAACGGAAGCAATTTTTCTATGGTCAAAAACTGAAAAAAAATACGCCACTTTTTGGCGCTCCGCTGCTCAAACAACGTTTCACTGATCAAAATTCCCTGAAGTCATTTTGATGGTACATGTGTTGAGATGATGTGGAGCGATTTTGAGGCGAATCGGTGAAACGGCCGAGGCTGGTTTGATGTTTGTGTGAGGTGTATATTTGCAATGAATGGGGAGCGTTTGTCGTCGCCACGGCAACAGGGTAAAAAATAAGCCTTGGACCCAATTGACTTTTTGAATCAAGAGGGCAAAACAGATGTATGTGCAAAATTTCAAACATTTTGAAAAAACTAAATTTGAAAATGCCCATTTAAAACTTTGAAATAGTCTGTAGGGGGCGCTAATGTGTCAATTTGAATCATTTAACTTTCAAATGACCTAGACCCTAGAGTTGAACAATGTATTAAAGTTTTGTGAAAATCAGACTTTGTTTGTGCAAACGGGAGCAAATTTAATGTTGTCAAAAACGGCCAAAAAAAGGTCACATTTTGCCGCTCCGCTGCTCGAACAATGTTTCACTGATCAAAAATCCCCGAGGTCATTTTGAAGGTACATGTGTTGAGATGATGTGGAGCGATTTTGAGGCGAATCGGTGAAACGGCCGAGGAGGAGTCGCTTTCCAACCGACATGTATGAAAACTTTTGCTGTTCATTTTTCCATTTTGCAGTGACATTTATGGGCTTCCTGTTTGTCAGAGGGCGGAGCCATAATAATATTTTTTTCTTGTCTTGACTTGAGGAACATGTGTACCGAATTTCATGACTCTACAACAAACTTAATCTTCAGAACTCCCATAGGGGTATTATTTTGGCTGTTGTAGGTGGCGCTGTTCTGGCATTTTTTGAGTCCCATTAAAATAAACACCAAAATATCAAATTTTTCGCCAGGTCTGATTTTTGGGCAAAATTTAACAACTTTTCATGCATATTCAGGGGGTCAAATTAAGGCTCAAAGTGCAGAAGAAAAAAGAAAGAAAGAAAGAAAGAAAGAAAGAAATAAATAAAAAAGGAATTTTTTTTTCGACGTCTCGAGCAAAAACAATATAGGTTTCAATGGCACGTGATACATCATTTTAAAGCTTTTGAGTTTACGCACGCAACCGTCACGTTTTGGCGAGTGACGGGCGCTGACGCGTCCGTCACGCACCGCCACCATTTGTTTTCACCATTGTGAAAGCAATAGGCCCTTACCCCGTTCGGGGCTCGGGCCTAAAAAGGAATTTTTTTTTCGACGTCTCGAGCAAAAACAATATAGGTTTCAATGGCACCTGATACATCATTTTAAAGCTTTTGAGTTTACGCACGCAACCGTCACGTTTTGGTGAGTGACGGGCGCTGACGCGTCCGTCACGCACCGCCACCATTTGTTTTCACCATTGTGAAAGCAATAGGCCCTTACCCCGTTCGGGGCTCGGGCCTAATAATGTCAGAATGTGCGATAAAGAACCACATGTGTCCACTGTCCCTGTGTCCCAGACCCTCATGCTGCTAACACGTACCCATGTGTACATACAGCTAAACATTTCTTGCACTAGATTATACTGTATTTATATTTATTATGCACAGTGGACACATGTGGCAAGGCAAGTTTATTTTTATCGCACAATTCATACACAAAGCAACTCAAAGGGGTGGACAAAACAAGATAGAGGCAGTCACACATGGTTTCATTGTGTCTGAAATGTGCTATTTAAAAAAAAAAAGTCTTCTTCTTTTGATCAAGGGACAACACGAACCTTATAGACCGTTACATTCGAGCTGGAGAAAGTTTGAGAGCCGGGACAATCTTGCACTGACAGACTTCTAAAGCCTAAACGCACAAATAAAACATGGAGACAGACAGACTGTAGCTTTGACTTTTAAATCAAACCAGTGGGAGGCAAGTTATATTTTATAGATGCGACTCGTAAACAACGTGTCTTATGAATTTTAAAGACTTGTGTAAAGTTCAGAGAGGGCTACAGTTTCTACGGCTTCTGCCCCAACTTCTCTGGGGTTATTTACACGTCCAAGTCGCTCCATTGATCCTTCTCTGGGTTAAAGTGTGGCCGTGACTGTGTGAGAAAGCCTCCTGGCAGATTACAGAAGCCAAGCAGGCCAGGGGCTGGTTAGTCCTGTGATGGGAGACCTTTGGGAACACCAAAAGAGAGAGAGTGTGTATGTGTCTCTCTCTGTGTACGTGTGTGTGTGTTTGTGCGTGTATGTGTATGTGCATGTACATGTTTTGTCTATAAGTGTGTGTTTGTGAATCCGTTTGTGCGCGTGTGTGTGTGTGGCTACAGTAGTTGTGGTCTGATTATACTTTTACCGGACTCTTTCTGTTGGTACAAACCACACCACAAAAGTTAGGTACCCCAGCTTTAAATTTGTGACTTAAAGTGTATTTTATTTCTCTTTCTTTGACAGTGACTTCCGTGACAACATCTACATCACTGAAGTTCCTCCCAATGCGTTCAAAGGCCTCTGCTCCCAAACCATCGACCAAATGTAAGACAAAATTCTTCCGCTGCTTATGCCATATTCAGGGCTGCTTTGCCCTGCAGGCTCCGCTCAGACCGCAAATTAGGTTTTTTTTCCTCCTTTGAGCAAAAAGATAGTTTGTTGTGACCAGGGGAATGGACCGTGACACTAGCCTGGCCTTAGCCATCCGTGCACTCCGCTAAATTATCATTTCCCTGAATGTAACGTCTGGGTCTGATCCCTGTGTTAGCGATTACAATCGCTTGAATTCCATCCGACCTATCACCAGGCGCATTACATACGTCACGGTAAACTCAGATTAGGGCTGGGCGATATGGCAAAAAAGTAAAATCTCTATTTTATTTCCTGCTCGGGACAGTTTCGATTTTAAATCGATTTTTATTAACGTCACCAAAGACAGACTTTGCCTTTAAAAACATTTTTTGTCTTTAGTTCAATATTCAAGTTTATTCAAATTTCCCCCAATACTAGTATTATAAAAGTCTGTACAGACTGTGCTGATATTGCAAGTATAATTCATGTGCTTCTGGAACTCTTACAATATTCTTCATTCGATTTCACAATTTTCACATTTTTCACAAATTCGATATTTTCAAAAGCTGATTAATTGCCTAAATTTGATTTATTGCCCAGCCCTAACTCAGATGCAGAAGGAGTTAATCCCTCCCACCTGTTCACGAAGCTCAATGGTGCACCTCCAGACCTTAGTACGAAATGTAATTTGTACTATGGTGTGGTACGACCAAGCTACCATAAAGCTGCAAGAAGCCCTTGTTAAGTTTGTGAGCAAGGATCCAGTGATATAATAGAGAGACACATTTAGAGAAAGTGAGAGAAAGAGAGAGACTCAGAAAGAGACAGAGAGATAACCAGAGACATAGATAGATAGATAAAAAGATAGATGGGTGGATGGATGGGTGGGTGGGGATCTATCTATCCATCCATCGGTGGACGGATGGACGGATAGATAGATAGATAGATAGATCAGTCGATAGATAGATAGCTAAATAGATAGAGCGCTGAATAGAAGGAGAGAGAGACATAGAAAGGCAGACAGACAGACAGACAGACAGATAAACAGAAAGATAGAGAGAGAGAGAGAGAGAGCTGAATAGAGGAGAGAGAGACATAAACAGACAGATTGGTAAATTTCTTTTTGATTAAATTGACTCGCTCTCATGGTGTGAGACATGGGCATGAACAGATGCATGCGCAAACAGATCGGTTCTTTTTATTTGCTGTGTTTTAGCAGACGCACTGCCATCTGGTTCATGTGAAAGTTCACTCCTGATTGGTCAACTGCACCTGTCACTCACAGAAGAAGACAGGCAGACCAAATGGGAACGGTGGCAAAAGTTTTATAGTTGCTTTCGCTTCTATACAGTCTTGCATGTTAGACGTACCTGTTTAAAATCCCACAAGACGCCGTTGCTTCTTTGTGGAATCTGTGCATTGCCCTACGGAGATTAAAAAAGTGCACATTTACCTTACCTTTACCTTTATGTTTGAGCAGCGTCAAGGGAAAACACAACTTGATCTGTCTGATCTGTCTTGATTAGTCTGAACAGAGACTGCAGGGTGTTTTATTTGACAAAAAATAATCGAGATTGAATTGATGCACTGTCTTAAGATAAGAATTGATAATATAGGGACAAGCTGCATATCATAAGTGCAGTTCCAATGTATTTCTCATCTTCCCAACAGAGACATCAATATCAATAACAGTATATTTTTGTTATTGATATTGAATGATCATAAAAAACAGAAAGGGAGGGGGGACGCAGAGCAAAAACACAACCCAACATAAAACTAGCTAAATGTCACCAAACACTAAAACTAAATCCAGCACAGAGCCACGTCTCTAATTAAATTTGACCATAAATCTAGTGCTAATCTTTGCCTTGCTGCTTTCTATATCTCTGTGTGTATTTGTTCTTTTAAAATGACAGACGTCTGAGCGAAAACGGCCTCGAGCGAGTGGCGAGCAGCGCCTTCAACGCCACCAGGATGCGGCGACTGTGAGTCTCCTGCGCATCAACACTGTACTTGCATATAGCATGTGCATTTCTAAACGTGTGTGTCTGTGTGCATGTCTGTGTGTGTGTATGTTTGTGTGTGTGCATGTTTGCCTGTGTGTGTGTTTGTTTGTGTTTGTGTGTGTGCTTGTATGTGTGCATGCGTGTGTGCTTGTATGCGTGTCTGTGTTGTGTGTGTATGTTTGTGTGTGCGCATATGTGCCCGTGTGTGCTTGTATGTGTGTGCGTGTGTGTATGTGTGTTTTTATGGTTGTGTCTTGTTTGTGTGTGTGTACGTTTGTGTCTGTCTGCCTGCGTGCTTGTATGTATGTGTGTATGAGTATGTTTTTTGTGTGTGCGAATATGTGCTTGTGTGTGCTTGTGTATGTGTGTGTGTGTGTATGTTTGTGTATGTCTGTGTGCTTGTATGTGTGTGTGTGTGTCTGTGGATGCACTTGTATGTTAATGTGTGTGTGTGTGTGTGTGTTTGTGTGCATGTGCATGTCTCTGTGTGTGTGTGTGCGTGTGTGTGTGTGTCACGTACAGGTTCCTGAACCAGAACCCTGCTCTCCGTGACTTCAGCGCTGATGCGTTCGCGGGGCCCAGTGAGTTGGAGTTACTGTAAGCACGACACTAAAACACAAAATGCATTTTAAAGGAGACATATGACACAAATTTTACTTTTTATTTTTTTACTTCTAACCATGTCACAACACTGCTCCTCATCAATAACCATAGCCCTGGAGTTAGACCCATTATCAGGAACTTCTGGCACAAAAATCTAGCTCCACACTCTCTATCTAAAGCAGGGAATCAAACGTCTTTTGTTGTGTTTTCTATATTACCAGTATTACCTATTTCCTTGTCATACACAACATTCTCTCTGGCCCTCAGCCGTCCTCATTAATACCTTTGAGTGGTGACAACAAACCAGACGTGAAGCCAGAGCTGCCCGCGAGCGGTTTAGTGCCAAATTATTACAAACACTCACTGCCAAATATTTCCCTAGAATGTTGAATATATGAATAACAGAAGCTACAAACCATATATTATCAAACTGGGCTTTGATTTTTGGAGCTAGATCATAACGTTCCTTTGTGGAATGTTGTTTCACATGTTCTCTGAAAAGTATGAAAATGTTTGACCAATATAGAAAAGATTGTAGCTGAAAAGAAGTGTTCTGAGAATGACTTAAAGGGGATGTCAGTGGGGCGGGGTAGTGGCTATTTCTCAGTGATAAATCAGAAATCATATCATATTAAAGGGGCTGTATGTAATATATATATATGTCTTTTCTATAAACTCCTGAGCATTGATGACTGCTGGGGTTTAGCTAGCAAGTAGCAAGTGAAGTTATGTGGATTTATATATTTTACATTTGTCATTTAAAAAACAAAAGGATAAGAATCAAATCCGCGACCCGGCAATGAATGAAGTTGAAAAAAATGGATGGATGGATAAGAGCCATTTTAATTTCAGATAAGGTTGAAAATGATTTGTACTCAACCTGTTATCTGGGGATACATACAGTAAAACGTATACGTGATTTAAATTGAAAAGAATCCATGCTGTCCCGGGTCAATGTACTTCTATTATTTAGTCATTTTGAATCAATTGTATCTGTGACACAAGAAAAATTTTACTTTTTTTGAATTAATTCTTAATACTAAATAAATATCATGCAATTGTACAGTAAGTCTCCATTCATAAAAATAAACAAATTAACAGCAAACCATTTGTCCGTCTCTTTGCAGCTGGTGAAATCAGAATCAGCCTTTGACTCGAGTTCTGCAAGAGCACCGCAAACGCTCGCCTTGATAACCAAAAAAAAAAAAACATTTAAAAATCTATTAAAAGTGGAGTCTTACATTCTCAGCCCAAACACAGCGTCTGGATCAGATATCGAATGGCGTTTCCATGGAGATAGAGATGGTTCTATAGATGCGCCTCTGTAAAAAATATGAGTAGTCAAGGCCAATCCACTTTACTCAGTGGATTTCTGAAGACGCACAATAAAGAAACTGGAAAAGTGTTTGTGAACAGTATGGCGAAAGCGGCAAGGACTCCCGGACTCTCTGTGTTAGCCACGAAGCAAAGCTAAATACTGTTCTGTAACTTGTAATTAATGCAACACTTAAACTTACCCAGAGTGGGACGAATAAAGGATCTCTAAAGCTAAATGTTTATATGTTGGTTTGATAAGTGAAATCGAGGAGCGAAAAACAACTCCAAACTGAAGATTATCCATATGATTTGTTTTTAAATATGGTTTCAATCTGCCGTCTAAGATTCTGCCGTTTGAATGTGTCTTCTCCTTCTTAATTGAACCAGTCCGATGCGTTGATGATGATGATGATGATGATGATGATGAGAATGATGATGATGATGATGATTTATTTTCTCGTTTCCTCAGGGACATCTCGCACACAGCCCTGAGCTCCGTGCCGGACTCCATCCTCGGAAGCCTTCTGAACATCATCGCCAAATCTGCGTTCAACCTTAAACAGTTCCCCCCCTTCACTCGGCTGAAAAACGCTGAGCTCACCTTCCCCTCGCACTGCTGCGCCATCAACAGCAACAACAACAGGTGAGAGCGGGTGACACAGGCTCGACAGACAGGGAAGAAACGTGGAAGAAAGTAACCATTGATTTAAAAAAGAAAAATCTCAAAAATTTAAAGGGGTGCCCGATGATTTCTGCTGGACTCCATTTTAATGATGTCTCTGGTCTCTGTATTTTTCACTTTAGGTCCAAGTTGACCGATTTATGCTCCAACCCCGATGTGCACAAAGACGACCACTTTTACGGAGAATACTGCCAGCCCTGCACGCCGATGCCCGACGCCTTCAATCTCTGTGAGGACATCATGGCCGCCGTCTCCCTACGGGTGCTCATCTGGGTCATTTCTGTGTTGGCGCTCCTCGGAAACACTGCGGTGCTGCTGGTTCTCTTGGGTATGGAAGGAGAACGGTCAATTATACTTGTGATGCAAGGATCTCTTCATCTTAATCTTTTATGCAGTAGCCTCATTCACATAAACGCCCTCCTAAAAATACTGGAATATTGGAAAAATCATAATACAGACTATTTCCATTAATTTCTTACAGCATCCAGCTAATTTTCCCAAATCACCTCAACATTTGTATCTAGATATTATGCCCATATAGTAATCTTTAGTAATCTTTATTTATATACCGCCTTTCACAGACCAGAGTCACAAAGCAGTTTACAATTGTTATTATTTTTTGGGCACTTGTCCTCTCACTCCACAGAGATGGGAGCAGGGTCGCCGAACAGGAGGCGCATGCCAGAACTATTGTACATATTTTTAGTGGTAGGGGAAACCGGAGCACCCGGAGGAAACCTACGCAGACACGGGGAGAACATGCAAACTCCACTCAGAAAGACCCTGGTCCGACCGGGATTCGAACCCAGGACCTTCTTGCTGAGAGGCAAGAGTGCTATCCACTCAGCCACCGTGCCGCCACAGAGATAGTAAATAAAAGGACACAGAGATAGTAAATAAAAGTGAGAAAAAAAAAATTAAACCGGAGTAGTGAACATGAGGTAAGCAGATGGAAGCAGATAAGTGTTGTCGGACAGTATGTAAGTAGGACGGTCAATTATATGCAATAGTCTCATTCACATACCCCCCCCCCAAGATAACAGACAGGTCAAATGAGGCACAGTTAATTTCCCTGTAGACACCATTCACAAAAACATTCTAGAAAGCAGATAGAATAGAAACTTTTGGACATAATATTTGTCATTTTGAAAGTGCATTCAGTGAAGAAGCACAAAGAAACAATAGATTAAAGTGTTGTAGTCTTCTGCTATGGACATTCACCAAAACCTTAATTAAAAACGGGGTTATTTAAAATGCAGGAAATGTGAAAATTCAGCTGATCACACTTTTAAATAATGTAGCAGTGTCTTGAGGCTTTTGTTTCATATATTAAAGCTGCGGTTGTGTCTCCGCTAAATTAAACATGACCAAAACGATCATCATTGGGAATTCCATTGGAAAGTTAATGAATGCAAAGTTATAGTTCGACTTTTAACGTCTGTTTAGCATTTTTTGATTGGTTTTTGTCCTCTTTGTGTAATATTTTTTTTTGGTTTTGGATGGTTACCAAGATCTGAATTGGAGTGTAATTTCAAAAAACCAAAATGCACACACTTTTATACTGGATTTTGCATGTGTTGTTTGATGTGTATCTAAATTACAATAAATACATTTCTAGTAGTTATCTAGGATATGTGAGCATAGACGTCGGAACTAGGGGTGCGGGGGGTGCGGCCGCACCCCCTCCGCGTGTGCCGGGAGCGAGAAGTTATCACTATCCTGCGTTCCTTGCAGCCCAAAACCCGCTCCATGCTGTCGGAGAAGCTTATGAAGCTCTGTCTGGCTAATATCTGTCGCAGCCTCGCTGAGCGCTCTGTCTCAGCCTTGCGCAGATTAAAGACCTGGCTACACCAGTGACGTGCGGTGGGGGATCAATCATGTGTTCATATGATTATACATCATATAAACCAACAGGACCTACAGGAACAGGAGCGGCTTATACACAATTTGTTTGGCTACAGCAGAATATGATTTAATGTCTGCATTGTTTTCTCATACAAAACGCAAACGTTTGTAAAAAGTACAAAGTGTGTTATGGGCCTTACCTTAGGTATTAATGAACAGCACAGACCACTTCAGTTAGGACCAGTTTCATGTTTAAGTCCAGATAATAGTTTGGGCACAGACATGTAATCCTCCATTTGGAAATAAGTTCAATGAGTTTTAAAAAGTAAAAAAAACGGGTGTCTCCTCCGTAAACTCCGAGTTTTGCTGCAGCCGACTCCCGGGTAAATCCAATTTCTAAATTCAACCTTACCCTTCACCTCCTTTTCTTATGATTCATATCATCATTGGAAGCAAAACATTACTCTAAGTGCATTTTAAATTATCTTAAAATGTATTATAGGTATGTTAGCCAAACCTGTAGCTGCCCTTAGCAGAAGAAGAACAAGAAAGGAGCTTTCTGATGGAATTGGATGCAGCCAAAGTTTGGGCTCACAAGCGCCCCCTTGAGGCTTTCCTCACTTACAAGCTGTGGTTGAGCGCGATTAAGACCCATATTTGCTTCAAAAACACAATTTATGAGCCATCCTCTTAAATGTAAACATGTTGATTGTAAATTAAATATTTTTGAACTTTTTAAACTGTGATAAACAGGGAAAACAGTTTGATAGCACCTCACAGGACTCTCCCTGTGAACTGTTGCTTTTTACGTCTCCCAAGAGAGGCTCGCCTCACAGCACCGCTCTGTCAAATCTGCGATTTCAAGGTATAAATAAATGAAATAAGGCACAGCACAAATCACTTGATAAAGTGACCAAACATTATGTATCCATCTTTATTACTTTTCTTTCTATGATCTTAGGTGAGGGCCTTGCCTGCCTCATCTGACCGCACGTCACTGGGCTACACAGTACACTGAAGCCGCCGGAGAGACTGACGCATGAATGCGTATTGAAAAAAAAAAAGTTCAGTTTGATAAGTGACTTGCTTGATATATATTGTTTATTTTGTTTTTCTTAACAATTAAGATGGTATGTTATTATCCAGTGTAATCCAAGTATGAGTCTCTCCCTCGACTCTCCCAACAAAAACCCGCCCCCCCTCTCAGAAAATAGTTCCGACGTCCATGTATGTGAGTGCGAGGGTTGGATATGTCTATAATAGCATAATACACACCATGCAGAACAATCCAGTACTTGTTTTTGTATTGTCCAGAATAAAGCAGTCGTCTCAATTCACATTCACATTACAGAATTGTCAAATCCCCAACATCAGTGATTTGTTCAAGGGACAATGGATTAACACAAGTCCATAAATGTCCAGAATCATCCTTTTTCCTTTGACCCTTCTAGATTAGCATGGGAATAACTCTGGGAGAAAATTACCGAGAAAGAGAATCCACAAATATCTTAAATCTGGAAAAATCCAGAAAGAGCACATCAGCGTAATCTCTCTAACTGTATATAGTTTTTTAGCCTTAGCCCCACACTGCAAAAAGTGATGAAAAATAAGTCAAAAATTCCTCAAATTTTCCACTTTGTCTATGAACCTACTTTGTCCTCAGGCACCAGAGCGAAGTTGACGGTCCCGCGGTTCCTCATGTGTCACCTGGCCTTCGCCGACCTGTGCATGGGAGTGTATCTGGCCGTCATAGCAACAGTTGACATGTTCACGCGGGGGAAATACTACAACTACGCCATCGACTGGCAGACCGGGCTGGGCTGCAGCGCCGCGGGATTCTTCACCGTGAGTTTGGACTAATAACATACTGTATCTGCATAAGCTTCTGTAATGAGGACTCACACGGACGCCAACAGGGACGGAGAAGGAGCCTAAACGCTTCCATCTCCACCTGAAACTAACTTGCAAACTCTGCTTTTGACCAGGCCATTGCTGTTTTTGAGATTAAGATTAACATTAAGAGATCCTTTATTCGTCCCACAGTGAGGACATTTCAGTGTTGCATCAGACGTTACAGACAGTTGGAATGAGGAGCCCACAGCACAAGATAAATTATTAATAATTAGACTAAAATCACATCAAATCTCTAAACTCTAGAATAAAGCAAGCATTATGAAGTTAAATATCTATCTTTATCATAGAAGGAAAGAAGTCTAAAACCTCACATTTTAGCAGGTTGCTGGTATCTTTTATGTGTCCCCAGATAACAGGTCAACATGTACAAATACATTTTTTGAAGTGCATTTATTCTTATACAATAGACATTACAATATTCATGTTTAGATTTTTCCTCCCCGTTGCCACTCGAGCCTCTGTCCGAAGCAGCACGTCACATCTTGCTACTGTTACTTTACTGCACTGCTAGATATCTTTTGTGTTAGCGCACTTGTATATAGTAGTAATTTTAAGAACTATTATGTAGATTTTATAAATTCCCTTTTTGCATGCCTTATTTCTAGTGATGTGCTGAGCGGACCGAGTCTTCGAAGCGTGGACCGAGTAATCTGGGGGCGTTTCTTGTGAAGTGTGGGTCGAGGCGTGTATTGGTCACGTGTGTGGTGACGTTCGAAGCCTCGCGTAGCGGCCGCACCACGTGACGGTCCATATAGTGCTTCATATAGTTCGGAGAGTGCATTGCTTTGACAGGTGCTTTGTGATCCGCGGCTGTACCATAGACTGTATGGCTGTCCCCGTCTGCCTCTGTGTGCGTACGTGTGTGTGCGTACGTGTGTGTGCGTGATGTGGAGCAGTCCTGTACTAAGTATAGAGAAACTACTTCATATGAAATACAATTAAAAACGTTTCACTTTAGTAAAACCTCATATATCAAGGCTTCAAGTTATTAGTAATAATACGCTGGATGATACATTTCACAACAGCTGTGTGGCGCAGTCGGTCTATGACGGACTCCGAAGCAGAAGATATAGCGTTCGAATCCCGGTCTACCCATAATAAATTTTGTGTTGCAAAGTAAATGTATTTATTTATTGGGAATAAATGGTTTGTTGTGTTTAATTAATCCACCTCTTGGTAGTTTTTCCTCCATTAATCACTTTCTGTAGAACTGTATTACTTTGGATGTGTTTGTTGTATCAACACAATTGACTGAAAGACTCAAATAGTTCATAGTTCATGAAGCATCATTTCAAACACAACACGTTAGACCATAGATTGTAAATATACATTTTAACATTAGATCTCACCATTCATTGTAAGCACTTAAGAGTGTTATGTATTTCTTTGTCCACATGATGGCGTAGTGGAGCATGATTCACCTTGAGCCTTCGACTCATGGGCCGAGTAATAGGCTGCTATCCCTCAAGGCTTCATGGGGCTTCATATTGCCATCACTACTTATTTCTGATTCTGATGTTGAAACTTGGTTTGGCCAGGACTACCAGAGCTGGAGGATTCTACCTGTTGTATATGGTGTAAGTGGTAGGGGAAACCGGAGCACCTGGAGGAACTCTACGCAAACATAGAGAAAACATTTAAACTTCACTCACAAAGGCCCTGTTTCACAAATTGCCGACATATGACAATAAACAAAACAGGTTGAACTTAGAAGCGCGGCTAACCACTGCAAACCTGTTTTTTACGTTGTTTTGCCATCTGCTTCATCCTTCTTTCTGCCAATTAGTCATTTTAAAATTTAAGAAAGTATTTCTTAGTGTAGTATTTTTTATGGCAGCTTTGTGGATCTATCCATCCATCCATTTTCTTCCCCTTAATCCATTTCTGGGTCGGGGGGGTGGCAGTCAGAGCTGCACCCAGTACACATAGCACCAGCCCCTCACTGATCCTCCTGCAGGTGGTGAGTCCACAGGAGCGCTTTGTGGATCTAATTGCTATCAAAAAATCCACCGGAATTTTTTTGACTTTCTCTTTCCTTCGAACCAAAATGTAATTCTCAAAATGAACGCAACCTATTCAGTCTTTTGCACCTAAACTAACCCCCTATCTTGGCCCATTGTCTGTCTGTGCAGGTGTTTGCCAGTGAGTTATCCGTCTTCACGCTGACAGCCATCACCCTGGAGCGCTGGCACACCATCACCCACGCCCTGCGCCTGGACCGGAAGCTGCGGCTGAGGCACGCCTGCTTCGTGATGGCCGGCGGGTGGCTCTTCTCGCTCATCGCCGCCCTCCTCCCAACACTAGGGGTCAGCAGCTACGGCAAGGTGAGGCTTTGGCACCGAGCGGGAAGAGTTTTAAACAGGAACGCAGTCCATTAGTGGAGAGGGGGGGGTGAGAGGTCGACAGTACGCAGGGAAAGGTTTTACTAATGGATTTAAAGCAGCTATCTCCAGCTTATTAAAATCTGATCACATACATCTATATCTGCCTTTTTAGTGTTGGAATGGGGAAATTGTGGTAGATTTGAGGCTGGTAGTGGCTGTAGTTAAGCCTCAGGTCAGTAGAGGCAGAAGAATGCTTTTCAATAAACTGTTTAAGCTGGGGTAACCAACTTTCAAGTCCCAAAATATGGAAATGTAATTAATTTCTATCTCAGTACTATCTCTCATTTTCACATGCATGCATTTTCAGCCTCTGTCACATCTTTAGATCAGCTTTCTCCGACAGAATAGTGAAAAAGCACAGGAGAGCGCTCACACAAGCAGTCGTTTCTCAGCCCGAAGTGTCAAATAGTGACTCACAGGGCTCTTCCTTATACGAGAATAATATTGATGCACATGGACAACTTTATAAATGAAAGGACAGCCCATTCGAATGCCCGATGCTGACACTGTCATTATGCAAAGTATTGTCCCTGGTGTGTAGTTTTATAACCTTCTTCCCCTGACCCACATATAAGCAACAGGCTATAAATCATCGCCATATTTCGTACACGCCTCAACAAAAAGACTATATAGGTCGTGAGGCGGGTTAAATACAGAGTTGTTTTGACACACCAACCTGCATCCCTCAGTGCTTTAGGGAAAGGCAGCTCCAGGGTTTTTTGATTGAACTTCCTGTGTTTTTGTGTATAGTGGGAATGAGGCTATTGAAGCTGTCATATCCTTTATACAGAAGGTTTGTGAATTAGCAGACTGAATGCATAATGGAGTCTCGCTCTTTCAGAATCCTATCGCCACTCCTCCCACTCTAAACTGGGCGTGTAACAGTTTTCCGTTTGGACTCCTCAGAGGGCGGTTTAGGGGCTGTGGGTTTGATGTAGCCTGCTTTGGTGAATATCAGACCAGCGCAGCTCAGGTTCACATCAGTTCACACATGTCTAATTAAGCCTCTACCTCCAAACCGCTCCCGAAAAGAAGGCTGCGGAGTCAGGAAAACTCTGCGTTCCAGCTGTTTTGCCCTTGTACAGTGTTGTCCCTGTCTAATTATAAAGCTTTTTCCTCAATTGCAAACCTGAAAGTTGAACTGCTGCACTGTCAGCTGATAAGTTCAGGTGTTTAAATGGAACTTGATATCCCAAAAAGCTGGAGGGTTTGCCTATTGTACATGTTTTTAGTGGTGGGGGAAAGTGGAGAACCTTTGCACAAGGGAGAACATGCAAACTCCACTCAGAAAGACCCTATTCCGGCCCGGATTCAATCACGGGATCTTTCTGAGAAGCGGGAACCAATGAATGTATGCAGTACACGTTACACAGGATAAGGCCTCTTTCTTTTTTTTAACCATTATGTTTATTGGGATAAAAAAAACGCACTCACAGATACACTCTAAAACACATACAGGGACACTCACACAGATAGACACACACACAAACCCACTTTCTAATCCATAACTCTCACAACTTGCCTCATCCAGGTGAGCATCTGCCTCTCAATGGACTTGGCCTCCACCGTGCATCCCCATAGCACACACAAACACACACACACACACACATGCTCTCTCTCTCCCTCACACACACACTCTAACCCACTACTCTCACATCTCTCTCCTCTCACATCCAGGTGAGCATCTGCCTCCCCATGGACGTGGACTCCACCGTGGCTCAGATCTACGTGGTCTCTCTGCTGCTGCTGAACGTGGTCGCCTTCCTGTGCGTCTGCGTCTGCTACCTCAGCATCTACCTGACCATCCGGAACCCCACCTCGGCCCCCGCGCACGCCGACACGCGCATTGCAAAGCGCATGGCCCTCCTCATCTTCACCGACTTCCTCTGCATGGCCCCCATCTCCTTCTTCGCCATCTCCGCCGCTCTCAAACTCCCCCTCATCACCGTGACCGAGGCCAAGTTTCTGCTCGTGCTTTTTTACCCCATCAACTCCTGCTCCAACCCCTTCCTGTACGCCTTCTGTACGCGCACGTTCCGGCGAGATTTCTTCCTGCTGGCGGCGCGGTTCGGCGTGTGCAAGGCCAGAGCGCAGATCTACAGAACAGAGACGTCGTCGTGCCAACAACCGGCCTGGACCTCCCCCAAGAGCAGTCACATAATGCTCTGCTCGCTGGCCAACACCCTGCACAGCATTGACAGCAAGCAGGATTTCTGACAACGGTATGTGCGCAATGTGTCGTGTGTTGGTACATTTGCAGTGATGGTGAAGAATGGGAGAAGCAGCAGAAGCCAAGAAATGATCAACTACTCTTATGTTGATAGTATAAAGGCAATCGAAGGACTTTACAAAACCGTCAAATTCTGCAACACAGATCAGAGAATCAAACAGTTCAAACACAAGAAGTTCAATGATAAAAATGACATAGAGTCTTTGGCCCATAAGGGATGAATGTTCAATGTCCATAAATATCGTTGGATGTCGATTGTCCTGGATCATCAGCAATGTGTCGTGTGTTGGTACATTTTCAGTGATGGGGAAGAATGGGAGAATCAGCAGAAGCCAAGAAATGCCCAGTTACTCAAATGTTGACTTTACAGACAAATGAGATCTGGTTGAACTGCAAGATTTGTTGGAATGGACTCTGAATATGCAAAATCATCTTGAGTTTTTGAGCTTCCTTGATACATTGGTCCAAATAAGTTTGTGTAAGCTCTCAGGCATACAGGGATTATTCAAAACAAAGGAAGGCTGCTCACCCATCATCTGTTCTTCAGTTAGCAAATATTCTCCTTCAGCAAATCCTTCAGGTGGATTCATTTTCTTCTGCTTCATTTGTGGCCGGTCGCTGGCTATGACCAAAACCTTTGAATTTAGTGAAAAATGCAAAAATATTCATAGTATTGTTAAGGCATGTATTTACTGCTTAAGATATCATTGCATTTTCTATAACTTTAACTGCTTAAGTAGGTCAACTAAAATCTTTTTAATGGAAACGAATTATGCATAAGGTATATTTTTATGTAATTACTGCTCCTCCTCCGATTCAGAAAAGACATTCTAGTTCAGAACTTGCTGCTGAATGACTAAAACTTGTGAATATAGTGTAAAATACATGATTGTAGCCATAGTTTTAACTTGTGCATAAACCTGTAGAAGTGTCTTGAAATCCTGTACATTCTTACTGCTATAGACTGATTATTGTTTGTGCTGTGTTTTTTTTACCCATATGGAAAAAATAAAGTTTAAAAAAAGAAATGTCAATGTTGTGTTGGTTTTTTCACAAGGTTTTGTTGCTGTTAAAATCTGTGTTTGAACTTTCTCGTTTATTGAAAGATAAGCTGTAGAGCGAGGAGAATACAAAGGAGATGTCTGACCTACATGACTTCATCTGACGCCTCTGAAAATACATCATTCAACAAAAACTTACTCACACCTGGAATTATGTAGGTAACCCCATTTCAACTTATACTTATAGAGGAGCAGAGTCCGAGGTCAATAGTCAATTTTAATCAGATATTTAAACATTATATATACAGTACATCTCAATTACTTTTCATCAGCTCTGTTAATATACTCGTTTTAGTTTTGTTGTAAAAATGAATAGAAATTTTGAAAACATGTGGCTAAGATCTAGTATTCATAACACCAAAAAGTGATGAAAAATGGCTACAATTTGGTGAAAGTATTGCCCTTGAATTAGTTTGGAACAATTCTCAAGTGAAATTAGATTAAATGAAATCAATCGATATTTTAAAATTATTACAATCTGTCAGAATATATTATGAATGTAATTTTGTGCACTAGCTTTCACATGCATGCATCGTAGGCCACTGTCACTTCACCATCAAATAGTGACTCACAGGGCTCTTTATTACAGGTACACAAAAGTAACAATGTCTTCTAGTGAAATTTTCCCACTGTAGGACGGATAAAGGGTCTCTTAATAAAACAGAAAAGTTAAGTTTAACACATCTCTTGAGTATATACACTGTAAAAAGTGATGAAAATTTGTCAAAAATTGCTCAAATTACAAGATTTGCCAATGGGACAATGAGCAAAAACATCCCGTGTTTAAAAGATACAAGAAAAGTCTCCCTTGGAATGAGAAATGAATACAACAGTTCTTGAAAATAGACTAAATGGCTTTGTCCCATCGGCAAATCTTGTTTTAAGACAGTCAGAATGTAGATCAAACGTTTGAATAATGAGACAGCAGCCTGCAGTGTCTTCCCTTAAGTATATACAGTACGTGCACATTGCCCACCTGTGGTCTGGCCTTGTGCGTTTGGAGCCATGGAAAACCAACAGAGACAACATCAGAAGTTCCCACCTATAGCAGCTCAATCTGGGTCAAAGAGCTGTCCCAGTTCTGTCATGGGCCCCTGGAACAGAGAGAGAATATGCAAAGCAACGTTCAAAATAAACCAGGCACAAAACAAGATTGTGAACAGAAAAATATTGTGTTCAAGGTAAAAGGGAAAAACCTGGCTAGACTGTGGTTGTGATCTATTTAAGTTACGTCAGAAAATAAGATGTGATTGGATAAGTTTACACAACCAAATCAACTATGTAGATTCATGTATTGATTTGAGGTTAATCATGTTGTAAAATCAATACTCAAAATGGTTCATTAGAAAGTTTACATATAGCTAAAAAAAAAAAAAAAAAAAGATCGGGCCTTTCTGTGTGGAGTTTGCATTTTCTCCTTGTGTTTTCAGGCTGGGTTTAGGTTGAATTTAAACTATTTTAGGTATCATCACAACTTTTTGCAGGGTATATCCCAGTTGCCCCAGGATGTGAGACTTTTTTGCTTCCTATCAACATACACAATATCATGAAGATACCAATTATAATTGAATTATTTCAGAAAAAACAGAGAAGAAAAAACATGAAATAAGCTGAATATGTGGTAAGAAGTTGGATGTATCCCAAATGTTATTTTTGAAATTCTGATCACCATGTTAACTTAATAATATATGTGGTTTGGGTCTGTTGGGTGGTCAGACTCGGGTTGACAGATGATGGACACTTGAGAGTGTTATTAACCAAATATAAAGCACTTTGTATTGCATTTGTTTGTATGAAATGTATTGATTTATTTTTTAAGACAACACCATAGCTGGAAAAATATATCTAAGAATAAATTGGACATTGTGGTCTAGCTGCAGCATATAAGTTGGTGAGGCGCTGTTAATAACCGGTTTATCTATTCAAATGTTTTTTCACTTAGCAGATAATTATTTCTTTATTAGTCAATTCAATTCATATTCAATTCTCAATATTTGCCTGAATGTTTAAAAGGCAATGTACTTGAGTGGAATGTTTTGCAGAACTCAGTCTGGACCTCTATTATCTTGAAAATGTGTCCTTCGCAGCATCCAAAGACCCAAGGACAGAGAGCAGCCCACCTCAGCGCTGTTTACAAAGGTGCAGCTGTTTTTTGCGAAGATCTAGCAGTCCACACTGGATCTTTTCAGTGGGTTTCAAGGCTGTAGTGGATAATGCATCGCTATCTGCTGTAACAAAGAGTCTGGGTGTATATGCACAGCGCCTTCTGGTGGTAGCAGAAGGGAAGCGTAGCATGCTGTTGTTTTTTTGGCCACCAGATGGGGCTGTGTGAAGCCGGAAAACCTCTGTAGTGGGATCTATCACATCACATTATTATTTACAGTCTATGGATCCATCAACTTGCACTATTGTTAGCTAGTCAGTTATTGAGAAGTCTATCCATCTATCTCTATCTATCTATCTATCTACATATCTATCTATCGATCTATCTGTCTAACTACTACATGCAAAACTACATTTGTCAAGTACATTTTTTCCATCAATTTCTGTGTGTTAAAAATAGCTCACTTATTTCTATATAATCTGTGCTTCCTCGTGTTATTTTATTGATGTGTATGTTTGTTTTGGGAGATATGGGTTAAAGATACTGGTTAAATGGGACAATGAGTATAGAGACTGGAGACTGGTGCTAGGTGAATTGCGAAATGAGTGGTTTACAGTGTCTGGAAACGGATAAACAATGCCTGCATAAATGAATGGAATAATCAACGTTCTAATGATCTGATGAGTTCTATGTATAGTATACAATAACTAAGGATGACTTTCACTCTGCACTAAAGACACAAGGAAACAAAAGGATTAACTGAAGCAATAGCTGAAATTCTATTAGTGTGTGTTGTACAGTCTATCAATTTGCTGCCTCCTGACCATATTGTATTTTTCTTAATCTTACTGGCATTTTTTCTTTCATAAATACATACTAGTAATATATTACTTTGACTGGTTTATATTGAGAATGGAACCGTCTTGACCTGTTCATTGGATTACCCATTGATTTCCCCACAAAACAAAGCCTTGACGTTGTTCCATTAAATCCTTATATGACAGTGCCATCTAGTGGTATCAATTAGGCTCTTGACATTTCTAATTAGTTTTTGAAGAATTAATACATAAAAAATGAGTTAGAGTTGTTTTACTATGTCAAACTGAAACTTGCAACATTTAAGGTCTGAAACTATAAAATAACACAGAGCAAATAAGGGAGCAAAAACAAAAGACCCGAATGAAACTGACACATATCGGGCAGCCAGAGGACCAGCAAAGGAAGCGGACTAAAAACACTAGCAATTTGTCTACAATACGAGTTGTTAATTTGTTACATTAATAAAACATACTTTTTATAGTGTGCATTATTAGTAGGTGGTTTATTGCATTATTCCATCTTTTAATTTGGTTTAACTTTCCATTTTGTGCTAACTCCTTCCCGATTTGCGCCACAACAGGGATGGTTGTCATGGCTGCTTGCTACGCTGCTTCTGATTGGTTGCTGCGGCAGTTAATTATACAACAAGCGCTACGATTGGTGCAAATCCTAAAATGGCGAAGGCGATTGGTGGAAAAAGCCTTCCCTCTTTGGTTTTATTTTTTTCTGTCTCCCGTGTGGGTTAATGGTGGCTCCTCCTGCTACGGTCTGAGCGGAGCTGGCAGCGGCGAGAGGCGATTCGGGGGGGAGCTTTGACATCGCTAGCACATACAAAACTGGCTGTTAAACCCCGAATACCGGCGTAATCGAGCGGGTAGAAGGTTCACCAGCTCTCGGGGTTCATTTCGGGTGCAAGGCATTTCCTCCCCCCCCCTAAAAAACATAAACCAAATGAACTCCCTGAGAGCCACGAACCGGAGACCCAGGCGAGTTTCCAGGCCGCGCCCGCTACTGCCTGAAAGAAACAACGGGGAGAGAGGTGAGCAAGGCCCGCGCTGCTAGCTAGTACCACCCATGTCATGTCTGCGGAAACAGCGCATTGACTAACAGGCGATACCCCGGCTTGGTTTATCCTCCATGTGTGAAGAGAAGCAGGAAAACCCCAGGCTTTACACAGCACAGGCCGCGCTTTGTTCGGCTTGCTTTGGTCTAGGGCTGGGGGGTCGTCTCTGCGTTAATGTAATGCAGTGAAATGAGACCTGTATTCATGCTAAGTCTTGCTAGTGGTGTTTTGCGGTGTTTTAGAATGTCTCCTGGCCCCACATTCCCAGCTGTCACTATTAACTAGGAGGGTGTACATCTGCAGCGCGTTTGAACTGCCATTTTTGGGGTGTAACAAAAACATTAGCTTGCGTAGTAGCACCGATCCGGGGGCAATGCTAACTAACCCGACGGCTAGCGCACATGAATCAGCTGTTGTGGCGTTCGTTTGTGTTGCTTTCGGCGTCGTTACACTTATTGCAAACCCCAAAGACTACGCTTCCAACTCTCTTCTTGTGCGCTACCAAAATTAGCCTCTAGCCTCATTTGTTTACACCGCGGATTTACGCTACTACGCAGTTGAGTTTGAAGCCATTAACCAGCTACTACTCACTTAACATATGGTTATTTTGCACATGACAGGTGCTGACGTGACATGCATTGCTCGGATCAGTATTTAGTAGTTTTAGTGTGTAAATTATGACAGGAGGAATGTTGGAAATAGTCATGCGTATTCGCTCGTTTCAATCAGATGGCTTTGTCTATGTTGCCGGTCTGTCAGCCAGTGCGGTGTCATTATGCATGTGATATGAATGCAAAGCTTTGTGTCTAAAATATACCCCCCCCCCCCCCCCCCCGCCTCCAGGGAATGGTTTTTAGCGTAATAAAATTATGCGCAGTGGTGCACCTTGCAGCTAGCCATTTACAATTCGGTTCTGTTGTTGTGCATTGCATTTATGTCCAAATATGCAGCTTTCGCGTGTTGATGTTTTTGCTTATGTTATGTGTTTTATGCTCATAAGATATTAACGAGGGACAAAAGTCTTGCCAGGTCAGCTGCAAGCCAGACTAGTTTAATGAACGAGTGGTTAACATAAAATGGAAGTCTGCTTTGATTATCTATTTAATGCTTTTCAGCGGAAGTAAACAGACTCATTCATTTAGCTGCCAATAGAAGCTAAGAATAATCTCATGTTGATGGAAAAGGGGAAGCTGTCTTTGGTTGTGTTTATAAATGGAAATGTGCATTCTAAGAACAAAGTCTGCATCATCGGACTAACATTAAATTAAATCTGTGAAAATATATCTGCAGTGCTGACTGTACATTACATTACATCTAAGCTGGTACACATGCTTCAGATCATTTCCAGGGTTTATACATTTTGGACAGACTATCCTTGCTCTAGTAGAATTATTTGTAGTCATTCAATGTAACTTAAGTCTTGGTTCAAGTTCAACCGTCACAGCAGAAACTAATCAGTTGTTTTTATTGAGTTGAAGTTTTTACCCCTTTTTGCATAATTGAATATTTAATGTACAAAACAACGCATCAAACTTCAGGAGTAACTGGGAACTTATTTCACATACGTATGCATATAGCAAAAAATTAATGTGCAGTTATTAATATCATATAGTTGAAGGGGAAGATTTCAGGAATAGACTTCCATATTTTCTCTTTGAGAAAATAACTTCTTTCTACTTTGCCTTTATCATAAACTATATTATTTTTATATTATAGAGCTTGTGTTTTTATCAGGCTGATGCATATACTGTGTGGTCAAGGAGGCTGATAGGTGTCAAAATTCAAACGCTAACAAATGGAAAAGGAAATAGCTCCCACTGTATAGACTGGATGTTATGTAACTGCAGAATTGGAGGGATAAAGCACCGCAGACTAGATGGAGTGGATTAGAGGGTTAAAAACACCGACTTGCATTTCTCAAAGTGAAGGGCTCTGTTTATTGTTGATTTTGACCAAAATAAAACTAAACTAATCAGACTACTTTGTTAAACCACATACAGCGAGACCTGTCACGATGATTACTATATTGACTTATCATTCCATAATAGGATAAAACGCTGAAAGTATGAACTATAAATGAAATTCCCAAATGGAAAATTATTGTGTTGTGCTTCCATGAATGACAGTCGTTTCAATACTGTTGTTTATCGCAATCATGTTCTGAAGAACTGTATCTTTGCAGTTATTGTGATAGACTTACAGTGAGTAGCACTGACAACATGGACAGATAAAACAATAAACTAATGTGTGCATAATCTATGCATACATGTTTGTGTTCAGTTCAATTGTATTGCTGTAAAGGTCGACCCGTTTATAAATTGCACTTTGAAGATACTGTGATTTTACAACCTGACCTTAATCAGGATCTGAATCTGAATTATATTTATTGCCGTAAGTAGCAGAAAGTCACAAACTAGGAATTTGCTTTGGTATATGGTGCAAAACCGTTGTAATAAAAGTAAAACATTTATATAAAGGCCTGCATAAAGAAAACTTAATACAATTCTAATCTATAAATACACACAACAGACATTTAACTGTGCAGATTATCAATGAGTGAAGTGCCACACTGTTGTTGTGTCCTTAGGCAAGACACTTATCCCACATTACCTAGCATGAGTCTGTTGTGTGTGTGAATGGTTGATGGTGGTCAGACGGGTCGATGGCACATACTGGTTGCCATGCTTCTGCCAGTGTGCCCGAAGGCAGCTGTGGCTACAGTAGTAGTTTATCAGCACTGTGAATGGAGTGAATGAATAGTGTCATGTGACTCGTCTTTGAGTGTCCAAAAAAGCGCTAGATACAAAAGTGATGCATTGTTTTTAAACTACTTCTTACGTGTTGCACAGATGAGGAGGCTCCTGCCGCCGCTGCAGCAGAAATGGCCATCGAAGAGTCCGGTCCCGGAGCCCAGAACAGTCCGTACCAGCTTCGCCGAAAAACGCTGCTGCCCAAAAGAACCGCTGCTGCCTCTGCCACCGCCTCTGCCTGCCCCAGCAAGGGCCCCATGGAGGTGAGGGCTCTGCTTTCTGCCATTACTCTATCGGAGTTTACAAGTTACGACTCTAGAATTCAAAACTCAGTGGTTGCAAATGGGAAGTGTCGCTGACATTCATGAGGGCTACATAATTATGGGATATTTGGGGCCACTGTAAGAGTTGGGAATTTATGAATATAGATCTTGGGATCTAATATCTGCTCTGAAATAGGTATTAGTTGTATGACATTAAGACTATGTAATGCCACTATGAGGTTAAGACTATTTCACCAGCAGTTATAAGCTTGGAACAACTCTTTATCTATTCTGTAGTTACTTGCAGGATAACAAGAGGCTAATTATCACTATTTGATTCAGTGTATTAGAGAATAGCTGTGATTTGAGAGGAAGAAATATTTCTATTTTCAGTTTTTTCACTGGTGGTTCATCTCAGGTTGAAAGAGACATGGGCTCAATATAGCTATGATTATTTTTTGCACAACCTTTTCCCCTCCATATAATTGTTATTTGTGAAATTATAGTCAGGAGGAGCTTCTGTGAATAAAGTAATGCTGTTCTGAACTGTTGACAGTATTGTCACTGCCCAAAACATACATTTGTTTCTTCATTTCTATAGTAAATAGTTTTTGTGAGAGATTTGTGAGTTAGTTTCAATATTTTCAGTCTTGATATTTATTTAGAATGTGTTGTATAGTAATATCAATACCGCACTTTTTCAAAGGGCTCTCACGCAGGTGATAGTACGTCTTATGAATTGCAGTTGGTAGCTGTCCTACTCCTCATAACATTCTGAACCAATCTCATTTTTAGGAGAATACTTTGTTTATGCTTTGGGAATGCTTACTCCTAAAACACGGTCCTGGAGTATTGTAACCGTGTGTCCATCTGTGCGTCCGTCTGTGCTCAGGGAGCTTCCACGTCGTCGACAGAAGCGTTCGGTCATCGGGCCAAACGAGCGCGTGTCTCTGGGAAGAACCACGACCTCCCAGGTGAGAGCTGAGCCACTCGTTCAAACAGAATCATGTCTAATGTCACTTATTCAATAATCGCCTAAAGGCATCAAATGTCTTTTGAAGTCACTTAGAAAACTTCACATGATCTTTAACACCAGTTTAGTTTCCTTTTGGTTAGTTAGACTTTGCTGTATGCTGTTTCTTTTTGTGGTTGACTTTTTTTTATCATTTATTTATTTATCTGACTGTCTGACATTACTCTCTCAATTTAAACCTATTTTTTTTTGTTGCCATGGGTCAATTTTGGATTAATTTTATCTGCTATATGTGACAGTTCTCTACTGGTCTTTCTGTGGTTTTAAAGGAGTGAACCAATTGCATTCTTTGTCTTTTTGCTTATTTGCATTTAATCAAGTTGTGATTTCAATTATTCCTACAGCCTTAGTAAATTGGTCATCGTACAATCTGACAGTAGCAGGAAGGAAAGACCTGTTTAACTTCTCCTTTTTCACATTTAGTTCAGTTTATTTGTTGTCACATACACATTACATGCAGTGAAATTCTTATGTACCTCCAGCAGATGTTCAGTACACTATTCAGAACACACAATAACAGCACAACAATAATTGCACAGAACCAGAACAGTGACAGAGTTAGGCCTGGTTTAGCAGTCTTATGGCTTCAGGAAAGAAACTCCTTCTCCTCTCAGTCTTGGTTTTGAGAAGACTGTAGCGCCTCCCAGACATTGAGGCCTGAAGTGTTTGAAGAAGTACTTGTATAAAACTGCTTGTATTCTGTGCCCCGCCTCTGTCTGACCGCTGTGACCTCCTCCCTCCAGCCGCACCAGCCGAGCAGTACCTCCAGCAGAAGCTTCCGGACGAGGTGGTCCTGAAGATCTTCTCGTACCTCCTGGAGCAGGACCTGTGTCAGGCCGCCTGCGTCTGCAAGAGGTTCAGCCAGCTCGCCAACGACCCCATCCTCTGGTCAGTGACACGTTACTCTTAAAGGATAGTGAAGTGTGATTCAAGGTAGGGCTGGGCGATAAAACGATAACGATATATATTGCAATAGACACGTGTGCGATATCAATAGAAAACAGGGTCGATAGAACGTTAGATTGTTTAGAGCCATGGTTTAACTTCACTCCGTTCGAAAAAACAAACAAAACACACGATTTAAAGCCGAGTCAGAAGCGCGCTGCATTCTGGGGGATGTAGGCAGAGACTTCTAAAGATCGTGCCGTGTCAATGGTTGTACACGTCCGTGCGGCGCAGGAGAGTTAGTGGGTACAGAGACTCGATGCATTCAGCGAAAGCAAGAGATTCACTTTTCGGAGCCGTCACGGGGACACAAGACACTCAAACAGCCGAAACTGGAGCTAAACCATGACTAAACCAGGATTAAACCAGGACTAACTATGGGGGAGACTGCTTGTGAACATTTGGCTCCAGCCTCATTCTCCCGTGACTGTAAACAAGGCTGCTAAAATGTGTTAGCCGACACGACAAACGTATTTATTTACGTTTAAAAAAATAAATAAACAATCAATATATATATCGTTATCGACCGATATGAATTACTTGTATTGTTATATAGTTTTCAGCCATATCGCCCAGCCCTAATTCAAGGTTTTCTGATTTAGGCTTTTGTGATATAACGACTGCTGTTTTAAATGGTAATCGATCTTTTACATTTTGCACCAATAAAGCCTGTGTATGAAGAAATGTGGTAAATATACAGGAAGTTGAAATCATGTGGATACGCATTCACAATGGATGAGGCTTTGATCTTGAATTAATTAATTAATTAATTATCGGTCATAAAACTTCTTCTCAGTAAAGTCTATGTAAGGTTAACAAAACGATTAATTTCAATGATTAATTAGTTGTGAGTTAGTTGCAGTCCTAAATTGAAGCCACACAGTTGTAAAGAAATAAATTCTCCTGAAGGTATGATTTAAATTAATCTGAATCTTGTTTTAAAATGCTGAATACTGCTCTGACTATGAACTAATCCTAAGGAATTGTCACACACTTAAAGTTTGGTGTGTGTGTGTGTGTGTGTGTGTGTGTTCGATCAGAATCTCCTAATAATAGCCTGGACGGAGGGCTGATTTTTTTTTTTTATGAGGCAATAATTTTATGACATGGTTAAAAAAAGACCTCTATTCTGTGTGTGACTAATTCAGCCTGAATGCTTTGTCTCCAGGAAGCGCCTTTACATGGAAGTGTTCGAGTACACGCGTCCCATGATGCACCCTGAGCCTGGACGCTTTTACCAGATCAACCCTGAGGAACATGAGCACCCTAACCCCTGGAAGGAGAGCTTTCAGCAGCTGGTGAGTGACCAGGACCCCATAATTATAAAATTTGAGTGCTAAAGCAATGTTACAAGACGTCTTTGGAAGCGTCAGTTAAAGTGCCCCATTTTCTTTTTTAGTTTTTTTGCTTGCTCTGTATTCTTATGCTTTGTAAACATAATCAGAACGTTTTGCAAAAAAGGGCCGACGTGGGACCAGGGCAACAGTGGCTTTTCCAAAACGGCAGCGAGACCGTTCCAAGTTCCATATGTATGCTCAAACATGTTCAAAATTCAATTGTCGCCACACAGATTATACAGTCATTGAATAATGCATGAAATCATTTGCAACATTGAGCGCCTGGAAGAGCGCCAGATAAGTCTAATGCCTTGTTATTATTCATCAAGTCAAGTGCATTCAAATACGCATATATTTTGCATTCATTTTGTTTCTATTTCTGCGTGACATAAAAAAGTGACCTGGATTTGTTCTTGATATCAATAATGGTTCGACTGTGTCATCCTTTTTTTTGATGCGAGTTTTGAATTGTTTTATTTGCCCTTTTGGAGAGAAGGTATTTCTTTCTATCTGTTCCATGACAGCGAAGGGGGACGAAGCGCTTCTAAAATCAGTCATTAGAGGTTTTCACTGCTGTGCTTCATAATCCATCAACTATAAATATAACATGACATTTTTCACTCTAATAATGGTTTTATTGGAATTGCATTGTATTTTCTTTATTGACTATTGGTGACAAAAGGCCATGAGTGATTGTTTGATTTTAAAGCTAATTTTGTCAAAGAAAACAACCACGTAATTTCATTCATTCTAAATATTTTATATATATATATATATATATATCATGCCATCGTAATAATTCTATTTTACGTTTTATACCTTAGAAGTGTATGCTGATTTTTATTATACTTTACACTATTCTTTACCTCTCTTTTCTGACTGATGCACCGAGCCAAAGCAATTTCCTTGTCTGTGACTTCCTGTTACTTACATGGCAATAAAAATGATTCTGATTCTTCTGATGCCGAGAAGAGGTTTTTTGACTCCGATAATTTTATGATTATGGAATGAAATGAAAATGTGATAATTTTTAATAAAACAGTATTTTAGTGTCATGATTTCTATGGAAATGTTCTCATCACTCGGTGAAATGTATACAGTAAGTCAATTCACTTTATTCACTGATCTTTCTGGATCTAAACATAAATAATCATGATAAATCATTATTTGCACAGTACTTTTCAAAGGCGATGCTTACAGTGCTGCACAGTCGACATAAAAATTTAAGTCAATAAAAACAGTAGACAAACGATAGATTAGTCTAAAGAATAATAGCCCAACAAATTGATTATCAAAATAATCGTTCATAACAGCCCTAGCTAAGAAACAATCGCTCCTTTTTGTCAGAAAATTCGACCAGAAAAAAAATTATATCCAAACTCAATGAAAGCTGAGATTACCTAACTTTTTAGAACAGAGACAGAAGCCAAAAATACATGTATTACAATTTTCACATGCATGGTTCCGGCTTTTTTTGTTTTGTTGGTTTTTGTTTTAGGTACTCCCAGATTTACTTACTTGACAATACAAGAATCGACCCTGACAACGATTAGTTTGACCCCCGCAGGTCTAGCTCGTCATATCCAAATGTTTCCTGCACAAAAGCCGATTCTCTGCAGACTCTGTGACCCATGTTTTTTCCTCTTCACATTCTGACGTCTATCATCGCCATTATTTATCAAACAAATTGCGTTCTGGCGTCCTGAGCAGCTGGTCAGGGTCCACTTTTGTACGTGTCTTCTTTTGTTTCGCCTCCATTGTGTCTGCGCTCCCTGAAGTGAAGGCTGCTCCAATTAACAGGCACCTGCACTTTCACACTGGGCACAAAGCAGAGACGTCACTAAAGACAGTCTGTCCCATGTATCACCACAACATTCTGCAATAGAATCTTCCATCATTTCAGCTTTTAATGATTTGATAATTGATTGCGTAAATGAAGTGGCATGCTTTCCTGTCGGAGAGAAATTGACAAAACTGCTAAGAAGTATATAAACTTTTTAATGTTCCCCTTGTTTCTGGATTATGAAGGTGTATTATGAATTCCTGCCTTAAAATCTTGCTAGAAACTTGCTCTGTTCTGAGTTGTGATGTTCTTTTTGACACTGTGGCTCATTTAAATATATTGTACTTTTTGAACTCCCAAGATTGATATAAAACAAATTCTGCAGATGGAAATTAGCCTAAGGCTATAATCTGGCATATTAAAGCCGTTTAAGCAATGTGAGTAGAAATGTGGTCACATCGGTGGGTTAGATAAAAAGGACACATACCTTGCACAGTACTGCAGAATCCTCCTTCTATCAATGATTCAGAAAAATCAACGATAACCTTGGCAAAAGTTGTTGATAAGGACAACCGTTACACATGTGTTTTAGAAAGGCCATTTTGAGGGTTAGGGTTGACTGATTTTCGGTCAATATTAATCTAATCTTATAGTAATAATTCATTTTGTATCATAACTCAATGTAAAATAAGTCATAAATGCACACACTGTAAACTTGTACTTTATGTTATTGAGGTCCGAAGACTCTAGGCCATTTGCTGTAACTGTCGAACCATTTCTACTCCATTTACACTGCCATGTAACCACATAAACCAAATAATACTGAGACACGGCAAGCAGATGCATTTGAAAACACAAGGAAATGTTACATCATATTAGAAATGTATGAATTCGGACGTGTATATAGGCGACTTCCTTATTTTGATCTTTTTTTTCCCTTGTTTGAGACAAAATTAGGAAACATGAATTGACTTTTAAATGCTCAAAGTAAACAAGTGAAAAAGTGCTTATATATATGTATATATATAATATATAACCTACATGTGATACCTATTCTATTCTAGTGCTTAGACAATGTTACAAGACGACTTTGAAAGCGTCACAAGGCTCAAGCGTCTGATCAATTGCATAATTTTTTTGTTTAGTCCTTCTATGTGATTTATGCTCCCACTGTAATCTTGTACTTCTTGTTTGTGTTGCAGTACAAAGGCGCTCATGTCAAACCAGGCTTCGCGGAGCACTTCTACAGTAACCCCGGCAGGTACAAGGGCCGCGAGAACATGCTGGTGAGTCTGTCCATGTGGCTATAGTAATGGCCAATCAACAAAAAAAAACACTTTGTGATGTATAGCTTGGTATGTGATATGTGACATTTGTTTTGAGTTGTGTCACAAAATCCCGTCTATGGCGCTAATGTAACTGGTGAGATTGCAAACATTTGTCATTCTGCCAACTTCAGCTTCAGTGTAGTAGTTTGCTCTTCTCAAGACCCTTTTTTTTATTTCTGTTATCCATGATTTCACATTCTATTTTAAATCTATTTTAGAATAAAAAATAAATAAAAACAGTTGTTCAACCTGTTTTATATTTAACCTTATGTCTGCGATGGCAAGCCCTCAGTGTGATCCCTGTGTGTGTGTTGTCTTCCTGGTCTGGGGCCAGCAGTGTGGATAGGGAAATAAGAGTCGATGATGGTAGAGGCTGAACAGACGTTACTCATTTAATGCCTCCATAAAAACAAAGAACTTCAGCGTTTAGTATCTGCAGAAGGCCTGTATAGTTGATAAATTAAAACGAGGGTGCCCTCTGCTGGCACATATGCGTATTACATCCTTATCTATGCACTAATAATGTTTTTCTCCAATGGTAATACTCAGTGCTGTATGTAGCCCCAGAAAAATGAATGTGTGCTATTGTTGAGCTAAAGTGGATCGTTTCTAACACGCGGTGATATAAATGTGTTTTCCTAGTACTACGACACGATAGAGGACGCTCTCGGGGGAGTACAGGAGGCGCATTTCGACGGCTTGATATTCGTACACTCCGGTATCTACACGGACGAGTGGATCTACATCGAGTCTCCCATCACCATGATCGGAGCAGGTCACAAGCGCCGCACACGCTTTTAATGCACGAGTGTATGTCTCCGTATTAATCTCACTTTTTTTCCTCTCTCCATTTTAGCTCCTGGAAAAGTAGCCGACAAAGTGGTGATAGAAAACACTAGAGATTCGACGTTTGTGTTTATGGAAGGTTCTGAAGACGCATACGTAGGATACATGACTATTAGGGTAAGCAATGTTTACAAATGCAGCTTCTTTTGACTTTCGTGTTTTGTTTAATAAATATATAGATAGATATATGATCATACAAAAAAGAGGCCAAACCTAGACAGACATATTTCATGTAGTAGTGGTGGTAGTAGTGGTGGTAGTAAAAAAAATAATTAATTGCTAAGTAAAAATGTCTATTTGAATGAAGATTGCAGGTGTTCTAAATCTGTCTAAAATAGTGAAAGGAAATAAAGTTGGTACATTACAGTAATATTACACCGTGGCAGTTTGCGTGCCTCCATTCCCATGCAACATCGAATTTCCATATCCGTTTCTTCATGTAAAACTATTTGTATGAAGCCAGTCCTTTCCCTGCTCTGTTTTCTTACGCTCCAATAACACATGTAAATGTACAAACGTGACTCTTGCATCCACCTCCAGGTTTTTGTATCGTGTTACTTAATTTTCTGTGTTACTCAAATCTCTCTCGTGCCTGGTCTCCACAGTTTAACCCTGACGATAAGTCGGCGCAGCACCACAACGCGCACCACTGTTTGGAGATCACCGTCAACTGCAGTCCCAACATCGACCACTGCATCATCCGCTCCACCTGCACCGGTAAAAGGGGCGGTGGGGGGGGGGGGGGGCAGAACTTGTAGAACATGCTTTACACATTTAGGTCTGTTGTAAACGCTCAGGAGTGACTATACATTTTTAGTTTTGGTTTCAGTTTATTTATTTCTGATGTGTCTGACAATCTGACAATTACAGGTACTTGGAAAAACATATGGTCGAAATAATGTCTGAAAAAGGAAAGGGCACAACGCTTATAGACACCTACCCGTTAGCATAGCATTTCTTCTTAAGTCTGGAATTATTCAATCAATCACTTTTATTCTTATTTATAGTGTTCATTACAACACTCAAGGCGACTAAAGTGCTTTACAATAAAATCACATACAATTCAATAAAACATTCAAGCAACCATAAAATTCTAATTATTCTAAACATTTATAAATTGTGTAGTTGTAAAGTATACGATGTTTTGAATTTCAAGGATATATTTTTTCACTTGTGCCACAATAGTCCCTGTATAAAGTGAGAAACGCCAGGTCTGTTCTAAGTGGTAAAGCGCTAAGAAAACTCCAGAAGGCCATGGCTTAGCAGAATACAACAACGTTCACTCATGATCAATCAATATTAGTCAGCCTTATGTCATCTTAGAATCATCAAATGTACAGGATTAAAACATTATTAGAATTCAAATGCCATGTGAGTGTGCTGCAGAGGGCATTAGGAGAACAGTGAGTTTCCCTGTCTCTGCGTTTGAGTGATATGTCGGTGAGTTCACAGCCCAGTCACCCCCATTATCACAGCAGCAGTGCATTAAATCACCCATAGTGCTTCCACCGATGTGCATCCTTCACTTTAAATGTATATTTTGATGTCCTAGGTCCTGTGTAGAGATATTACAGCACAAATTACTGCGGTGTGTCACTACATTTCACACCATAGCAGCTGTAGGATTATTATCTAATTGAGTCAAACAGAGAAGGTCAGTGGATTCACAGAGGCCTCCGTAGCCAAGACCAAACCTTGTGCCTTCAGATGTAAATGTGCCTTTTGCTACAATCTGGCGTTTTTACATTCTGTTGAATCACATAGGATCATTAACATTCCGTCCCAGTCAAATAAAGAAATGCGAATACAAATAACCAGGACCAAGAGTCTGATGTAGAGCCAGGATCAGAGCTGGAACGACAGCACCAGCGATAATATACTTTCTATGGACTCTAGTCTACAATGTCTATAAAATAATCCTCATATATGTGTTTGAATGATTGCAGTGGGCTCGGCGGTGTGTGTGAGCGGTCAGGGCGCCTGTCCCACCATCAAACACTGCAACATCAGCGACTGTGAAAACGTAGGACTGTACATCACGGACCACGCACAGGTGCCACTGAACTCTGTAAATATACGGTGTGTTTAAATATGAGAGGAGGCTAATACACCGTTCTTGTGTCCATCAGGGTATTTATGAAGACAACGAAATTAGCAACAATGCGTTAGCCGGAATATGGGTGAAAAACCACGGCAACCCCATCATCAGACGCAACCACATCCACCACGGGCGAGACGTCGGGGTCTTCACCTTCGACCACGGCATGGTACAGCTGCTTTTCTCTGTTCTTTTGATACTTCAAATTGGGAAATGACTGTCTGTTTCCACAATCAAAGCTGGGTTTACCAAAAACCTGTGATTTTCCGCAATTACTATGTCATCGGATAATCCAGTAAGGACTTGATGTATTTCAACTTTTTCCCATTGTTTTTCTTTATATCTTGGCTGGTGAATATTTCAAACCTCACACACAAACTGAAGCAATCCCAGGGAAGGGTTGTACTTTTCATTATTTGTTATTTTTTTATGGATCAACTAAACCAGTGCATTCAAGTAAAATGAAAGGACACAATAAAGCCCTCTCACTGCTACAAAATCATTAACTAATTTCTTATTTTTTATAGGATTATCCAGCAGCAACAATATCACACGCTACAATCCAGCGCACACACATCCACTATGACGACTGATCACACTACACTCAAAACTAAACTAAACTAGACCCCAAAAAAATCACCATTCAATCCAATGGAAATCCCAGAAGATCCCTAAAATATTTTACGGTTTTCACCTTCACTCACTTTCGATAAGTGCCAAATCTGATGAATACCACTTGAAATGCATGAGGAACAGTTTGTTGAAAGGCTAAATTATCGCTTCTGCAAGTACACACTGTGTTGCTATGGTATCAATACAATAATTTTATAGAAAAAACTACAAGTCACACTGTTATGAAGACCAAAAAGGTCTTTTTTATTGTATTATCGAAAAGCATAAAAACATTTATAAAAGTTCCCCCCTCTAAGACGACTAAAGGATCCTTAATCTTTTAACTTATTTTTTTCTCCCATGCATTTCACCAAACTAACTTTTTCATCTTCACGTGTCGTTTCTCTCAGGGTTACTTCGAGAACTGCAACATCCACAGAAATCGAATCGCGGGTTTTGAGGTGAAGGCGTACGCCAACCCGACCGTGGTGCGGTGCGAGATCCACCACGGTCAGACGGGCGGCATCTACGTCCACGAGAAGGGCCGCGGGCAATTTATAGAAAACAAAATCTACGCCAATAACTTCGCCGGAGTCTGGATCACGTCAAATAGTGACCCCACGATACGGTAGGATTTCTATTCCATTTATTATTGATTCTCTGAAGTGTTGGTGAATTGACAGATATACAAACAATTCGAACACAGCAAATACTTAGGGAACGAGAGGTCCATAAATGTCTCGGATCAACACTGTCCTTAGACCTTTTTGCATCTGCTCAGAACGACTCGAAAAAAGAACCCAGGACTGAGGCGGTAGACCCAGGACTGAGGCGGTAGACCCAGGACTGAGGCGGTAGACCCACAGACAATGGGTGAATAGCAATGAACAAAGAATAGTCCTAAAGCATTTCTTCTACACATTTGTACAGTAGTTCACTGCGTAGTGACTTGTAGCTGCATTCTGATAAGGTGAGATGAGATGGATAAAAATTCCTCAAAACTTGCATTGTCTGTGTCTTTCCAGGGCGAATGCAATTTTCAACGGCAATCAAGGCGGCGTGTACATATTTGGAGATGGGCGGGGCCTAATAGAGAGCAACGACATCTACGGGAACGCTCTGGCGGGAATCCAGATCAGAACCAACAGCTGCCCCATCGTCCGGCACAACAAGATCCACGACGGGCAGCACGGGGGCATCTACGTGGTGAGTCCGGGGTCGGGTCTCCTCCATGCTGCGGCTGTCAGACTGTACAATAAGGAAATGACATGAATTACAAATGCCACAAGTTTACATGCGATTAATGACATTGAAAACATTGGAAACAGCCATTTTGAACATTGCAGAGAGAGTTGTCAAGGGGACCAGTGTGGCATTAACTACGAGCCGTCATTTTGACTGCTTCATTCAAACCAATGGATTTCTCAAAAGTTCCCAAAAATATTGTACGGTTTGGTACCTTCACTTTTGATATGTGCCAATTCTGGTGAATACCTCTTGAAATACATCAAGACCAGTTTGTTGAAAAGCTAAATGCTAACTTATGCAAGTGAACAGTTTGTTGTCATTTTTTAATACAATTATTGTATGGATACCATGGCATCTACGTATAGATTTAGAAAAAGTCCCAATGTTATGAAGACCAAAAAGGAGCGTACATATGCCGATGAACTACACTTCCAAAATTAAAAAGCCGTCAAATTGACTGCTCTGGGAGTTGAACCAGGTGTTATTCCTGCTTGTTTCAGCACGAGAAAGGCCAGGGCGTGATCGAGGAGAACGAGGTCTACAGCAACACGTTAGCGGGAGTGTGGGTGACGACAGGCAGCACTCCGGTTCTGCGAAAGAACCGCATCCACAGCGGGAAACAGGTGAAGACTTAAAACACCACTTCTATGATCATCAACAACTGTAACGTGGTCAATTTTTCATTTCATTCCCACTTAAAATGTGTCTTTTCATCTGGATTTTGGCCAGACATCACAGCATTTATTTACCATCACTGCAACATTATTGAAATAATTGTAAAGAGGTTTAGTACTTAATACATAATAATACAGTATATCTTCTTCTACCACCACTTAAAACACTGTGATTTTGAAAATGTTTTGATCCTTCCAGTTACAAATGTCTATAAAAATCATTAAAAATTAGGCTAAAATCTGTTTAGTGCCATTATTACTGCAGTCTCAGCTGAATGTATGGACTTATTATTATTATTAATTATTATTATTCACTGCATTGAAACAGAAACATTGTCTTATGTGATGTTATTATATTTATTATTGCACTTTGTCGTTGCCTCATGTCGTCTTTGTCCCGTTTTAGGTCGGGGTTTATTTCTATGACAACGGACACGGAGTCTTGGAAGACAACGACATCTACAATCACATGTATTCTGGCGTCCAAATAAGGTGAACTAAAGAAACGGGCAGATAAGACCTTTTTTAAGCGGCTTCGAAGGTTCTTTTCTAAACAAAAGCGAGTATTGCGTAGATGCCTGACATATTTCAGCGTTAGACTAGTTTCTTTACACTTTTGTCCTTATTAAAAGAACATTCTAAGCCTACACCTTTTTACTCTTTTTGAGTAAATTAGAAATGCTAGAATTGTGTTTTTTGTGTCCCTAATTGTACGTGTAACATCTTGTCTGTCTCCAGGACGGGAAGCAACCCAAAGATCCGACGCAACAAGATCTGGGGAGGACAAAACGGAGGCATTCTGGTTTATAACTCAGGTGATTATAGATTCTGAAGAATGTGGAAGCAGCTGTTGGTTTGAAAGAGTTTTAGTCATTTCAGAATCAGAACGAACCAAGCCAGGGGGGGGGGGGGGGCAGGAGGATAAAAATAAAAAAATATAAAAGAACAATTAGAATGAAAACTAAATGCAATCATAACAAAAATAATGATAATGTAAAAAAAATGATAATAACAATTTTAAAAAGCTAGTTAAATTTTGATATTGCGAGTTCCTGTTCGCAGCACTGACTGTGTGTGTGTAAAAATGTTGCAGGTTTGGGCTTTATCGAGGACAACGAGATCTTCGACAACGCTATGGCCGGAGTGTGGATCAAGACTGACAGCAACCCGACTCTGAGGAGGAACAAGATCCACGACGGCCGAGACGGAGGCATCTGCATCTTCAACGGAGGCCGAGGTACAGCTCCAGGACCGGTCTACAGGCAGACCGCAGACCCGAGACCACAGACCCTGGTGTGGTCTGTACGGCTAGACTTAAAACATGCCATGGAGAGACCTGTACAGAAACAGAGCTGCTTTAACCGCAAAGACCCCAGACATAAAAAGTATTTTAAAAACTTGTGCTAACCGCATTCAATGATCAAATTTGGCAATGTAGCACAGTGTAGCTTCTTGGAGACACACATCCGTTTCTGCATTCAACCAAAACGCTGCACCTCTTTTGCCATAAACGTTGAACTTTATGCTGCATTTTTGTAACCGAGGGTTTTACTGGGTTAAAGTTTATTCTCAGTGATGGGAATAACGGCGTTACTAGTAATGGCGTTACTAGTAACGGCGTTACTAGTAACGGCGTTACTAACGCCGTTACTTTTTTCAGTAACGAGTAATCTAACTAATTACTTTGACTGTAACTATAACGCCGTTATCATTTCCGACATCCCGTTACTGCGCGTTACTAAAGACGCACAATGAACTTCTCTTTTTACTTCGTGATAGGACTCGTGCGCCTGTTGTCATGAGAGAAGGGAGGATGAGAAAACCTCTCAGCAATTATTGGCTTGTTGTAAAACATATTTCCTTTACAATCCACATGTCTACAGTTGAGAGGATGGCTCATAAATTGTGTTTTTGAAACAAATATGGGTCTTAGTCGCGCTCAACCACGGCTTGTATCACCGTGAGGCCTCAGAGGAGCTCATGTGAGCGCAGAAGTCGGCTGCATACAATTCCATCAGAAAGCTCCTTTCTCTTCCTGGTTTATCTGCTAAGGGCTGCAACAAGTTTGGCTAACATACATATAACACATTTTAAGATCATTTAAAATGCACTTACGGTAATTTTTCAATTACTATAGGAATGATAAGAAAGAGAGGTGAAGTGTAAGACGGTTGATTTTAGAAATTGGATGCACCCGGCTGCACCTAGCAAAACAGAGTAGTTTGCGGAGGACACACGCGTTTTGTTTTACTTTTTAAAACTCATTTCCAAATGGAGGATTACATATCTACGCTCAAACTATTATCTGGACTTAAACAAGGAACTGGTCTGAACTGAAGTGGCCTGTGCAGGTCATTTATAAGGTAAGACCCATAACTCATAGTTTTGCGTTTTGTATGAACAAACAATGCGGCCATGAAACATATTTTGCTGTAGCCAAACAAATTGTCCAGTTGATTTATATGATAAATATGTTCATCTGATTGGTCTGAAGTCAGTGCTTCACCGGTGTTTCCACATTAACGGTGGCGGGTGTTTGTATTTAGTGCTTACAGCACAGAGAGAGATGGAGAGTAAACAGGACTTCAGCGGCAAAACAGACTTTTCTAGATGGAAATATTGGCAATATTTCAAACTCACTGAGGTTAAAGGTAAAAATGCGCACCTCGAGTGCACATTATGTTCCAGAACAAAACGAAAAAGTAACGCAATAGTTACTTTTACTGGTAACTAGTTACTTTTATAGTGGAGTAACTCCGTTAGTAACTCAGTTACTTTTTGGGAGAAGTAACTATAACTAATTACTTTTTCAAAGTAACGTGCCCAACACTGTTTATTCTCTGAAAGACTTTAACCAGTGCAGAGACCTGAGAACTGGACTAATGTGATGGTACTTCCTGGTTCTAGTCAGGACTCGAGCTGCAGCCTTTTGCATTTTAGGCTCTTACAGTAGTCTGACCAATTGGAGACAAATGCATGGATAAGAATCTCCAAGTCTGCTTTCAACACAATATTTTTATTTTATCCTGGAAATGTTTTTTTAGGTGGTAAATAGCTGCTAATATTACTGATTTGATGTAACGTTAAAATCCAAGTCTGAGTCCATTGTTACCTAGATTTCTGACCTGATTTGAAGGTTTCAGGACCAGACGCTGGAGGTGATTGATAAATCTCTGTCTCTTTCTGTGTCTCTGCCTCTGTGTCTCTGTCTCTCTCTTTCTCTCTTTCTCTCTTTCTCTGTCTCTCTCTTTCTCTCTTTCTCTTTCTCTTGATGCTTCAGCTGTTTCTAAACACGCTCTATAAATAAATCTGACTGGATGTCTCTCTGTTCAGGTTTACTGGAGGAGAACGACATCTTCCGGAACGCTCAGGCCGGAGTCCTCATCAGCACCAACAGTCACCCCATCCTCCGCAAGAACCGCATCTTCGACGGCTTCGCTGCAGGTTCGTCTCGTACTTTTCCAGCAGCGAGGGGCGGGTCCATGTTCTGATGCCGTGCCGCTGGTGTTGTGCCCGGAAACAGAATTATCTCACGTCGCCTTCTTGCCTCTCAAACGCCTTCACAGCCTGATCCAAAAGTCCACTCTTGGCTCATCTGTGAAACGATCTGTGTTTCAGGGATCGAGATCACAAACCACGCCACGGCCACTCTGGAGGGAAACCAGATCTTCAACAACAGATTCGGGGGCCTTTTTCTGGCCTCGGGGGTCAACGTCACCATGAAAGGTAAATATTTATACAGGCAAGGCCGGTTTATTTGTATAGCACAGTTTATGCACAAGCATCTCAAAGAACTGAACAAAACAAGAATGATAAATGATAAGAGCACATTAAAAAGTGAAGATACAGTCCTTCAGTTGTTTGTGCAGCTAAACAGAACTGTTTTTAACCTGGATTTGAACATTGGAACAGTCTTCCTGTAAATGTGAGACTGGTATCTACTCTGACCGGGTTTAGCTGCATAAATCTGTGTCAGGACTAAACATGGGGACGCAGCGTTTCAGAGTCCCAGCAGGAGGCCAGTCCCTGTGCTCCTCAGAGTCCCAGCAGGAGGCCAGTCCCTGTGCTCCTCAGAGTCCCAGCAGGAGGCCAGTCCCTGTGCTCCTCAGAGTCCCAGCAGGAGGCCAGTCCCTGTGCTCCTCAGAGTCCCAGCAGGAGGCCAGTCCCTGTGCTCCTCAGAGTCCCAGCAGGAGGCCAGTCCCTGTGCTCCTCAGAGTTTGAGTTGGTTCATATGGCACTAACATGTCACAGATGTACTTTAGAACCAGGAAGTACAATCACAGTTCAATGTCACAGCACAGATGTACCCTGTAGTAAACACTGTATTAAACACTGTGGAAAAGCCTGATTGCTGATTGTGTATTTCTCGTTGCAGACAATAAGATTTTGAATAATCAAGACGCCATCGAGAAAGCAGTCAGTCGAGGGCAGTGTTTGTACAAGATCTCCAGCTACACCAGTTACCCCATGCACGACTTCTACAGGTGAGCGTCAGGTGGCTCTCGCTCTCTGTCTCTGTCTCTCTCTCTCTGTCTCTGTCTCTCTTTGTCTCGCTCTCTGTCTCTGTCTCTCTGTCTCGCTCTCTATCTCTGTCTCTGTCCTTCTGTCTCTGTCTCGCTCTCTGTCTCTGTCTCTGTCCTTCTGTCTCTCTCTGTCTCTCTGTCTCTCTCTCTGTCCCTCTGTCCCTCTGTCCCTCTGTCCCTCTGTATCTCTGTCTCTCTGTCTGTCTCGCTCTCTATCTCTGTCTCTGTCCTTCTGTCTCTCTGTCTCGCTCTCTGTCTCTGTCCTTCTGTCCTTCTGTCTCTCTGTCTCGCTCTCTGTCTCTGTCCTTCTGTCTCTCTGTCTCTCTGTCTCTCTGTCTCTCTGTCTCTCTGTCCCTCTGTCCCTCTGTCTCTCTGTCTGTCTCGCTCTCTGTCTCTGTCTCTGTCTCTCTCTCTCGCTCTCTGTCTCTGTCTCTCTCTAGTCTCTCTCTGTCTCTCTCTGTCTCTGTCTCTCTCTAGTCTCTCTCTGTCTCTCTCTGTCTCTCTGTCCCTCTGTCTCTCTCTCTGTCCCTCTGCTGTGAGTGAATAACCAGTGTTTTCTCTCCTCGCAGATGTCACACGTGTAACACGACGGACAGAAACGCCATCTGTGTAAACTGCATTAAGAAGTGTCACCAAGGCCACGACGTAGAGTTTATACGGCACGATAGGTAGGACCAGGGTTTATTATTATAATAGTCATCATAATCATAACAATAATAATAATACATTGTACTTATATAGTGCTTTTTGGAGAGCCAAGAGGCTTTACTAACGGAGAGGTTTAACACTCGGTTTTCTGAAACTACTAGAACTCCCAGAGCAGTCTTTTTGACTGTTCTCGCTCAAATCAATGGAATTCTGAAAATTTTAAGTGAGTTAGTTTTCCACCAGTTTTATGAAAAGTAATTTTACCTTTACTCACTTTTAATCATTGTGCAAAACTTGTGACGCCAATATTTTGTTGAGGCTGAATGCTGGAAAACCACTAGAGAGAGACAGTGCTTTGTGGTTTTAGTGCTGATGGGAAGTTTCAGGTTTCATGGATCATTTTGGGGACTTTACTTAAAGAGAATAATTACTTTGGTAGTGGTTGCTTTTATACTTTTCATCACATTGAAACCCACCTGTCAGAAAACTATATACTATACTAAAATATATGATTGTTTGATACATAGATGTCTTGTATTCTGTCACCTTTTACAGCACAAGACGGTGCTTAATTTTCCAGAAAGTACAGTACATGGATTTTATTACATAGTTGAGTTTGGTTTGAAGTCGGGTGCAGTTTTAAGAAGGAGCCACTAGAGGGAGTTGTGCCCAGATTAGCTTTATGTGTGAATCATTGTCTTTTCTCACTCTTGCCCGTTTCCAGGTTTTTCTGTGACTGCGGCGCTGGGACCCTGTCGAACCCGTGCACTCTGGCGGGAGAGCCCACGCACGACACGGACACTCTGTACGACTCGGCGCCGCCCATCGAGTCCAACACGCTACAACACAACTAGAAAACCTCACACCTCGCCCCCTGCCCCCAGAGACTGAGCTCGGGCCGGACGCAGCACCCGCACACTCCACCGGGGGGCAGCAGCAGCAGCAGTGGCCACAAAGAGATTCTCCGAGTTTAAAACACGCCCAACAACCCCCCCCTCTCAGTGTCGCCACTCACTTCCTGGTTTCCGGGCGCTGCCACCGTCCCATTGGCTGCCCAGCGGATGTAACTAGGCAACAGCACGGAAAGGGGGAGTGGCCTCGGAGAAGGACAAGCGTCGATGGTCGCGCGTGTGATAGAGCACTTGGGCTTTTTTAAGAAATATGTTTTGATCAATGGGTTTTATTTCGATGCTTTTCTCATGTAGTTTTGTATTTTGAGCGAAAAGCTGGCTGTATTTGAATGTCCTTTTATTTTATTATATTATATTATTATTTCTTTTTTTTTTGTTCTTTTTTTTTTTTGGTTAGCCTCCCCCTGACCCCTCACAGTGAAAGCAGAGCCTCGAGGTCCCAGCGGTTCGACTTCTTTCTGTGAAAGAGTTTAACACTAGCCTCTCCGGTGAAGGCAGTTGTACAGTGTGCGTGTGTGTGTCATTGTTGTGTATTTGTGTTAATGCAGTCAGTGTTTGTGTGGGGTCTCCGCCTCACACTCTCTGCGTTCACACGGGAGGAGAACACGGACCACTCAAACCTCAAGTCCAGTCCCTTAAACCGCTCCGACCTCGGCCTGACGCAATCATTCAACTCAATTTTATTTGTTGTAAAACCCTAAATCAGCCGTCTGCTCTGAGGACTTCACAAAGCTGTTGATTCGAACACGGGAAATGCAATAATGACAAACACAGCGGGATGACCAATGTCCAGAAATGTTCCGGATCACCTCTGTCCTCAGACCCTCCTGGCAACACTCATAAACCAAGTGGAAAAAAAGTGAGAAACCTCGGGACCACATTGAGAGAGGGAACAGCTCCACGGACGACCAGGCTGTGGATCCAGGACTCGGGCTGTAGAACGAGGACTGAGGCAGAAAAAGTGTGATAAACTATAATATTGAATACCTTTCCTTTAAGTAGAGTACAGGACGATTGCAGTCAAGCTTTTATTTATTTATATATATTCAAAGAATCAAAAGAAATGGGTCATAGTCTCATATTTAGACTCTTTCAAAAGTGAGTCCAGTCTGAACCTGGAGACTCGAGGAAATGGTTGGAATGCAAACCCGCAGCTCTTTGTGGAGGTGATCCCTGATCTACGACTAAAGCCTCATTGTTTTACAGAAAAATAGCAAAAAACCGTCCGGCTATTGCTAAAGAAATGTACAGACGATAAATGTATGTTTCATAATATTCAGTAGATTTTAGTATTTGTCGTGACAGGGCCTGGTCAGACCTCTCTGATCAGAGACGGTGAACTAGACTGTGTAACTCAAACTAAACGCTGCTGATCCAGTTGTGTCCTCTGTTTTCCTCACATGTATTTATTCTGTCTGTCCTGGAGCATGACCAGGAGGAGCCTCGATCGGACTGGGAGAAACTGGACTGCCTCAATCTCCCAGGTTTACATACATTTTTCTCGCTCTGGTCTAGTCCTGGTCTTGGTTTCTGGTCCATTGGGTCTCGGTCTCTGGTCTCAGTCTCCTCTCGTGTGAACGCCGTGCTGGGACTGTCGCTCTGCTCCCTGCCGTTTCGTGGTGACTGTGGCTCATGCGGCCTGAATCGTATGCATGTACCATAACATCTAGACTTAATATATTGTGAAGTATTCAATAACCATTATGTAGATGCTAGTGGAATTCAAAAAGGGGTATACTTTCTTAGAAAGACAAAAAAGAACAGGAAAGTGGCCATTTCTAAGAAAATAAAACTTTATTAGTTCAAAGTTGTGTCGTGTCGGCGTTTGTTTGTGGAACGTGTGGAATACAGAAGTGTTGAGACGCAAATGTAACAATCTGTAGCAAGGCTGTGATTTGAGAATTCATTAGATCCAAAAGGTCTGAATGGGGGATTTTTATATAAATTATCAAAGAGATCAAACACATGTGAAAGAATTCCCATTAAGGTAGTACAGACAGAAATAATACTGTAAACATACCATAGATGTGTGATTGAAAAGAATAGTGAAGATTCAAACAATTACATCAGTGGACCACTATTTTAATAATGGATTTAAAATGTTCCAGTCTTTGTTACATTGTTGTACTAAAGTAGGTCAAGGGGAAGACCCGGGACAGACAGGAGGGTCTGTTAGCCGGTCTGGGACTGTCCAGAGGAATCCCGGGATGGAGGTCTGTGGGGGATGGATCAAGTGGAAGAAGACAGATACTGAATAAAAGCATTAAAATAGTGTGATGTTATGGTTTTCTAGTGCTTTCATGGACATTTGCATTCTGCTGTGGAACATGCAATTAAGTCTTAATCCAGAACGTCAGAAAGCACTGTTTGAAGAATGGTGATTAAATGAAATAATTCAATTTTAGTACATAGTGAATTTGAATATTGATTTATATAATGTATCTCGTTAGTCCCAACACTGTTCAAACCTAATGTTCATGTCCTTTTTTACTATTTATCCTTGAGACTGAGCGATGACATGGACTGTGATCATTAACCACATCAAGAATAAAACTGTATATTTAGTGAATAGGGGTAAAAAAAACTCAATGACCTGTGTCATGTTCTGTGGCCTTCTGCTGCTAACCAAGTAACCATAAACACAGGTTCACAGTGTCATCCAGCCAACTTTAGCTCTGTCAACATGTTATACCTCATTGTGAATCTCACGATCTCTGGAATCCAGCTGTTGACTTTGACGCTTGTGTAGCCGAGTGAGTAAATATCTCATTCAGCCAATTTAATACTTGTCAAATCTGTACCATATGTAGAAGTCATACCTCATTTTAAATCCCGAATTTAGTCAGTGTGTGCAGGTCGGCCCTTGGATAATTTTGGTGAAATAAAGTGGCCCACTTCCTAAAATGTTTGGACAAACCAGCTGTCATACTGTCTGTGTAGTCCTTTCAACCACGCAGGAGCAACACCAGATTCCAATTCCTCAAGTAGGTCTAGTCTTGACCAGAAGACGAGAAATGGGTGGAGTCTAATCTGCTCCTGCTTTGAATTTCAAACCCCAGGACATAAACATGGTCCAAACTTTGATTGTAGATCATTGTGAAAATAAATGCCAACTGTTTTTATAAACGTGAAACACAAATCTATTTACAGATAAAACCAAAGGCCAATAATAAACTGAAGGGAAAAGTTTTAAAACACAAAAAGAAGCTCACAGGTGCAATTGCATTTATTCCATTAATACAAAAACATAAATCTCATCTATAAACTCTCAGTGACACATTATTTGACAGAAACACATCTCTTGAGGATCTCAGAGATGTAGCTGTTGTTCTTCTTCTCCAGTTCCTGCTTCATCCTCCGCAGCTCGGCCTTCACCTCCGCGTCGGCCATTTTGGAGACAGGAAGTGACCTCGCCTTCTCCAGGAAGTCCACGATCAGCCCTTCAGCGTCCTGCGGCAGAAGATTAGTTTTATTAATAAAGCAAAACACAAATCTTCCCTTCAATCGGAGCTGAAGTCTCTGTGTGGTAAATATGTGTGTGTTTTGTTAGATACTCGAGTACATGTGGATTGGGTCTTATAGAACCGGAAACACAGACTGTAGAGATGATGAAATGCAGGACTCGGGGTAAACTTACTTCCCGGAAAATCTTCAAATCCAGATTAAAAACAGTTCTGTGTAGCTGTACATACAGAGAATGTGTATCTTTACTCTTTTTAATGTAGTGGGATTACTGTGACTGTCTAACCTATTTTGTTCTGCACTTTGAGTTGCCTTGTGTATGAATCGTGCTATACAATTAAAACTCGCCTTGCCTATTTCCCCATCACTAACATGTACACCTCCGTCTCCCCAAAGACTCATTTTCAGTGTTGAGAATCGGGCTGAAAGAGCAGATATGAGAAAGTTTCCGGTCACACATTCCCCGCGGAAAATAATAAAGGTAGATTCGGATCAGCGAGTCTCCACGATCCAGACGGAACAGAGAGAGAGAGGGAGGGAGAGAGAGAGAGTGAGAGAGAGAGAGAGAGAGAGAGAGAGCGAGGCTGTGGAACGGTTTGATGGGATCGGTCACGGAGTCGGACCCCGCGTCACAAGAGCAGACTGGGACCGAAGCATTCTCTCTGCTCCCACTTCAATTGTTCGCTCTTTTTTCTTTCTTTCTTTTGAGGCACAATCGCACGCAGATCACGAGGCTGTGCGTGGAAGAAAAAAAAAACCCCAACGCTCCGAGAAAACCTTTAGGTAACTTCCAGGAAAATGTAATATTCCGTGAAAAAGTATGTCAAGGAAAAATAGGACAAAGAAATTGATTGCACGCACAGTAACGCCGGGCAGAGGTTTTGGTCTAGTTTTTTTTAAAATACAGTTTGGAGAAAAGCTCAAGGTACAATCGCAGCCAAAGAGTTTTATTAAGATTAAGTGACTCTTTATTTGTCCCACAGCGGAGACATTTCAGTGTTGCATCGCATCTAACTTTAGCATAATAAAGCAGCAAGTATAAGATCTCTAGTTTTAGCAAAAAATAAAAAAGCAAGAATTAAGAAATGAATTGTATGAGCGAAAAAAAAAGTCTGCAAAAAACACCTATACTACCGATTCCACAAGCCGTTTTTTACGGAAACCACTCATTCTTGATGGATTGATGGATGGAGAACAACAACAAAAAACATGTAAATTATGTACCGCCACAACAACAAAAATAACACAAAAACAGTGGTTGTAATAACACTGACAGTAAAACGAAGGAGGGGAGAGACCTTCACGGACACGGGGAGAACATGCAAACTCCACACAGAAAGGCCCTGAAGGTGGAATCGAACCCAGGACCTTCCATGTAGTTAGACATGGGCAGGTCTAATAAACAAAAGAGTTTACCAAGGAGTTCTAAAACTTACCTTTCTCTATCAATTTTTGCAAAACTTCAATTTCCTAACCCATATCAATCGCAGGTATGTCCCAAATGTCACGTCCATTCCATCAACTTTAACCTTGTTTTTGTGAAGGCTTTGAATTTGGCAACATTTTATGTTTTGTGCTGGAAAGTGCTGTTTTTGAAATTTTGTTTTCATATTTTTAACTCATTATAACTTTCTGTGGGCGGGCTCTAAATAACAATTGATTCATGGAAAAGGTCTCCCATCCATAAGCTACCCAGGCCCTGACTTGTTGGGCGTGGGGGGTCCATGTCTCACCTGTTTTTCGGTGCGCCTCCTCTTGCCCTCGGGCTCCTCGCTCCCCGCAGCGAGCTCCTGGAACTCCTCCAGGTCCGAGGCCTTTTCTCTCGCCGCGGCAACCACCGCCGGCGGAAAACAGGCCATCTCCGCCACGTGGATCCCGAAGCTCTGGTCACACACACCTGAGGAGAGAGACACACAGTCACACACTTGAGACCACAGGGTCACACACACATGAACACACACCTAAGAAGACAACCAGAGGTTGTGTGTCTGTACGACTGCATTCTACAACTGTCCTGAAGGTGGCGCTCTGAACTGCCTGATACCCGCCTCTTGTTGTTGCTTTGCAAGAAATGGATTTCAATCACATCTGTTGTAGTTTTAGTGTTTACAAAAAGGATCAAACAGTGAGAAGACACCTCTCCAAAGATAAAACTTGTATCTTTGTCGTGTGACATCACAAGCTGTTCACAAACTGTATCAATATCCTCCTGGAAACATTCAGATGAGGTCACCTCTAGGATATTGTCAGAGCAACAATCATTGTTTTTATGTTGATAAGAGCGACACTTAACTCCCCTCCTCTCCCTCATCCTCACTCTCCTCCCCCCCTCCCTCCCTCCTCTCTCCTCGTGCTCAGCTGTCAAACACACTGATGATCGCCTCGTGTCTCATGAGGTCTTTGTCTTTATGGTTAAGATAAAAAAAATATTAGTCCTGTTCTCAGGTCTCTGCACCGGCTCCTGTGGCTCAGAGAAACTTTAAAGCGGACGTCTCTCCATGGTCTCGCACCAAAGTCCATCTGTGACATGTTAGTCCCATACGAACCCACTCTGAGGAGCACAGGGACTGGCCTCCTGCTGGTGCCTAGAGTCAGGCCTAAACATGGGGAGGCTGCGTTTCAGATTCATGCAGCTAAAATCTGGAACAGTCTTCCTTTAAACGTGAGACAGGCTTATTCCCCTGCATGTCCAAATTCAGGTTAAAACGAAAAAAGATCTTTTTGGCGGTGCATACAACTTGGGCATTGTATCTTCACTATTTTTAATGTTCTGTGATTATTTATGATTTGAATGCTTTTGTTGTTTTGTTACGCACTTTGAGTGGCCTTGTGTATGAACTGTGCTGTACTTATTGTTCAGACCTCATCCTTAGGCAGCGGCGTTATCCTTTCATTGTCCTTTAGCCTTTGCTTTGCTACACCGCCCTTGTGACCGTATGAACTGTGCTATATAAAATCAACCTTAGTTTAGTTTACTTTATTTATTTGATCAGGGACAATGCACAAACAACATTAGTCTAAAAAAGAAGAGATGTCATGTGCCAGGTTATAGCAAAAATGCTAATTTCCACCCGCAGTCCCTGGACAGGTTGATGTTATACTTAAAAGAATTCATAAAATATATACAGAATAATACATAAACGCTTACATCATAAAAGCACTTTCTATCATTCACTCTCGCTCACAGTTTACAGCGTTCACAGTCATTCAGTGCGTACAGGTTCATTTTCAGACCTGCTTCATCTGCTGTCGGAGGCCCCTCGGCTTCTGGTTCTCACCTGGTTTGACCTTGTAGAGCATGGTGAGCGTGTCGTGGGAGGTGAGGGCGGTGACGTGCAGGTTGTGGACGGCGGGCTGCTGCCGGGCGAGCGCCGTGAGCTCGTGGAAGTGCGTGGCGAACAGACAGAAGCAGCCAATGTTGGAGGCGATGTGCTCGGAGATGGACCAGGCCAAACCGAAGCCGTCGTAGGTGGAGGTTCCTCTGCCGAGCTCGTCGATGATGATCAGGGAGCGCTGTGTGGCCGAGCTGAGGGCAGAGGAGAGAGAGCAGGGCTATTCATATTTTGTTGCTTAAGCATCTGTATTCAGTAGTAATTCAAGGATATACAAAATATCCATGGGAAAAAAAAATACTACTAAATCACTCTTCTCAGGTCAAATATGTACAGTGCCTTGCGAAAGTATTCGGCCCCCTTGAACCTTTCAACATTTCGCCACATTTCAGGCTTCAAACATAAAGATATAAAAATTACATTTTTTGTCAAGAATCAACAACAAGTGGGACACAATCGTGAAGTGGAACAAAATTTATTGGATAATTTAAACTTTTTTAACAAATAAAAAACTGAAAAGTGGGGCGTGCAATATTATTTGGCCCCCTTGCGCTAATACTTTGTAGCGCCACCTTTTGCTGCAATTACAGCTGCAAGTCGCTTGGGGTATGTCTCTATCAGTTTTGCACATCGAGAGACTGGAATTCTTGCCCATTCTTCCTTGCAAAACAGGTCGAGCTCAGTGAGGTTGGATGGAGAGCGTTTGTGAACAGCAGTCTTCAGCTCTTTCCACAGATTCTCGATTGGATTCAGGTCTGGACTTTGACTTGGCCTGGATACGTCTATTTGTGAACCATTCCATTGTAGATTTGGCTTTATGTTTTGGATCATTGTCCTGTTGGAGGATAAATCTCCGTCCCAGTCTCAGGTCTTTTGCAGACTCCAACAGGTTTTCTTCCAGAATGGTCCTGTATTTGGCTCCATCCATCTTCCCATCAATTTTAGCCATCTTCCCTGTCCCTGCTGAAGAAAAGCAGGCCCAGACCATGATGCTGCCACCACCATGTTTGACAGTGGGGATGGTGTGTTCAGGGTGATGAGCTGTGTTGCTTTTACGCCAAACATATCGTTTTGCATTGTGGCCAAAAAGTTCGATTTTGGTTTCGTCTGACCAGAGCACCTTCTTCCACATGTTTGGTGTGTCTCCCAGGTGGCTTGTGGCAAACTTTAAATGAGACTTTTTATGGATATCTTTGAGAAATGGCATTCTTCTTGCCACTCTTCCATAAAGGCCAGATTTGTGCAGCGCACGACTGATTGTTGTCCTATGGACAGACTCTCCAACCTCAGCAGTAGTTATCTGCAGTTCATCCAGAGTGATCATGGGCCTCTTGGCTGCATCTCTGATCAGTCTTCTCCTTGTTTGAGATGAAAGTTTGGAGGGACGGCCGGGTCTTGGTAGATTTGCAGTGGTCTGATACTCCTTCCATTTCAATATAATTGCTTGCACAGTGCTCCTTGAGATGTTCAAAGCTTGGGAAATCTTTTTGTATCCAAATCCGGCTTTAAACTTCTCCACAACAGTATCTCGGACCTGCCTGGTGTGTTCCTTTGTCTTCATGGTTCTCTCTGCGCTTTAAACAGAACCCTGAGACTATCAAAGAGCAGGTGCATTTATACGGAGACTTGATTACACACAGGTGCATTCTATTTATCATCATCAGTCATTTAGGACAACATTGGATCATTCAAAGATCCTCACTGAACTTCTGGAGTGAGTTTTCTGCACTGAAAGAAAAGGGGCCGAATAATATTGCACGCCCCACTTTTCAGTTTTTTATTTGTTAAAAAAGTTTAAATTATCCAATAAATTTCGTTCCACTTCACGATTGTGTCCCACTTGTCGTTGATTTATGACAAAAAATTAAAATTTTATATCTATGTTTGAAGCCTGAAATGTGGCGAAATTTTGAAAGGTTCAAGGGGGCCGAATACTATGGCAAGGCACTGTATATTCAATAAAAATGTGATTAATTACAAAGCCTGTAGGACTATATGATAGAGGTGCACCGATTCGTCGGTAACCGATCAAAATCGGTCGATCACGGCTTAATTTGCGCGATCGGTGACCGGTGAAATGTGCCCATCATAAAGACCAATCCTATGACGTGGGGGTTCGTTCGCACAAGTTACTTTCTCTCGTCAAAATTGCATAAACAAGCAACTCGTGCAGCTATCAGTTACGGAGATTCTACAGCCGCAACAACCATACAGTGATGACGGTAAGAAACAAAATGAAATATGCACAAATGTTATAGACTTTTTCCCCTGTGCCACTCTGGGCATGGAGTGTCAATGTGAGAATATACAGTTTGGTAAAAGGCAGGCAGACATCAGTCAAATATTTCCGCGATGGCATATTGAAGCAGTGGATCCATATAAGACATCGTTTGAACCCAGCGCTTGTCTATCGTGGAAAGCGCTGGGTTCAAACGATGTCTTATATGGATCCACTGCTTCAATATGCCATCGCGGAAATATTTGACTGATGTCTGCCTGCCTTTTACCAAACTGTATATTCTCACATTGACACTCCATGCCCAGCCAGAGTAACACAGCGCAGACACCGAACACACTCAGCAGCGAGGCGAGCCCCAGGCAGGAAACATGGATGTTTCCCGACACGGGAAACATCCCATGTCGGGACTTTGCATGTTACGTTCACAGAAATGCTGGAGGAAGATGAGTGTAGTGGTAGAACAGACAGTCCTACAGTGTCGCTTACCTACGCCTCGGAGCGGACAGCCGATTGTTTATTGGAAGGAAAATAAAAGCCACTTCCTTGCATTGGCCAAAGCAGCGCTTGCTTTCCTCTGTGCACCAAGTACAAGTGCAGACAGTGAACGGCGGTTTACGCAGCGGGACTATTCAGGATGATAAACGTAATAAACTAACCCCAGCTAATGCTGAGATGCTAATATTCCTGAAGAACAAACATTGCCTTAACTATCGCTTCTTAATCAGTTTACAAATCCAGCATGTACAGTATTGCTGTGATTCATAGCATTTTCTTTTTGTATGTATCTCAATGCTCTGTAACGTATACTTGTGGTTCCCAACCTTTTTGTCTTGAGTACCCCTAGGGCATTTTATTTATAATACCTGAAAGATTAGTTAAAAAGTGAATAACTAGTCCTATTCATTTATCACTAAAAATATCAATATTTGATCGGATTGGCAATGATCGGTATCGGCAGGTCAACATTTTAATGATCGGTGCACCTCTACTATATGAAGTATTATGAAGAATATATGAAGAAGAAGAAGCGGCACGGTGGCTGAGTGGATAGCACTCTCGCCTCTCAGCAAGAAGGTCCTGGGTTCGAATCCCGGCCGGACCAGGGCCTTTCTGAGTGGAGTTTGCATGTTCTCCCCGTGTCTGCGTAGGTTTCCTCCGGGTACTCCGGTTTCCCCTACCACTAAAAATATGTACAATAGGTCTGGCATGCGCCTCCTGTTCGGCGACCCCGCTCCCATCTCTGTGTGGAGTGAGAGACAAGTGCCCAAAAAATAACAATTGTAAACCGCTTTGTGACTCTGGTCTGTGAAAGGCGGTATATAAATAAAGCTTACTTACTTACTTACTTACTTACTATTGTCCATCGTGTGAGCATTGGTCCACAGGGTGAGGGATGGCCAATGTATAAATGTTTAGTTTGTACAGTTTGCACTGTTTTTTTATTGTCTTGAATATGAACGCTGTTGTCTTTATCCATCTGTAGCAATATGATTTAAATAAGTCTGTATGTTATAAAACCTTGACCTGAACCACATGTGACAAACAGGCTATAAAACTGTTTTACTGTCTAAATTACCGCTATAGTCACACTGAAAAGGACAAGGTCGCAAGGCGGGTTAAATGCCGAGTGGTTTTAACACACCAGCCTGTGTTGCTCCGGGTGTCAGGGAGACAGCAGAGAGTTTTTAGTCATAATTCTTGGGTTTTTGGACGTGGAACAAAGTTAGAGAGGGACGTGATGTTTTTAAAAGACTAGATACAGGATTGAGTGAAAGGATTCTTGAAAACATGCCCACAATCAGACCTTTTTGAACCATATTTGTACAGACTGACCTGAATAAAGACATATTTCAGACCAGAAATATACAGCATTGCATCGCTCCCTATGGACCAATGTGTTTGATTCTCTGATCTGTTGCTGGTGAATCGACAGCATGAGGAGTATATAGTCACCGCAGAATGGTGGCCGTCTCCAGCATCTCGGACATGAAGGTGGACACGCCTTTGACCTGACTGTCCCCGGCTCCCACGCGCGCCAGGATGCTGTCGATCACACTAAGCTCCGCCCTCTCGCACGGGACAAAGCAGCCGATCTGAGCCATGAGCGCCACCACGCCCACCTGACGGATGAACGTGGACTTGCCGCCCATATTGGGACCTGCGGAGAGAACGGCAAAACATTAGCAAACAACATCCCTTGAGAAAATAAAAAAATAAAACTAGTTATGAAAAGAAAAGAGGCTGTAGATTCCATGTCTGCATTGATAGAAATACAAAATGAATCATATTCGACTAGTTTCCACTTTGAAATCGCAAAGACTGCATTTTTCATGGTCAAATCCAGGTTCTCAAAACAGATCTACCACTGAAAGATTTCAAAATGCACTTTTTCAATGGATGCATTTTTTTAAATTTTATTTTATTGTTTCTTGTTTTGTAAGCATTTTGTGTTCGAGGATGCATCCGAAACAGACAGCACAGCTACCTCATCTGGCGCCGCTTACTGTGGAGGAGCAGCGTCTCTAGTTCAAGCTCCTTCACCTATTCATGCAAGTAGGGGTGGGCGATAAGTCCTAAAATTCATATTGCGGTATAATTTAGGGCACAGAGGGTAAATGGAATATATTGTGGGATAATTTGGTGTGTGAATTTCAATATAGGTCAAGCAGGTTCTTGCATAAAACAGTCAAGATTGTTACTTATTTAAAATTTCAATTTCAGAGGTGGATAATGTTTATTTATTTGATACTTTTAGCATTTCCTTGACATTTAGTGTGTGACCTAGAGAGGGCGCCATAAAACCACCCATTTGTAAGTTCCATTGTTGCAATAAACAAATGTAATCATTTATCAAGTTATCGTACAAATACAAACATAGTCAAGTCTCGATGAACTCATTTATTTATTAGTTAAACAAGTGAAGGACAGTGAATATAATCAAGAATTAAACTGTCTTTGTGTTTGCCTCATATGATTGTGCCTTTGAACGCATCTGAGCGCTAGCTGCGCGGCTACTAAAAGTATTTTTATCTGAACTTTTTTCCTCCATTTCTTGGAAAATAAACCTTGATACATATGAGCACAAATCAATAATATAATCTGTAGATAACAACACAAACTGTTTACATGTTTAGTTACACTTTTTGACATGTGCAAACTGAACTGAATCCAGCAGCCGCACTTCTCGTGGTTGTTACAGGTGTAACGTTAAGCGTGTTGCAATTTGATGACAACATGACCTATCGCAATATGTCGGTATAACAAAAATCTATCGTTGGCCAAATGCTTATCGCATACTGCTTTTACCGTTTATATCGCCCCGCCCTACAGTCTCCCAGCCATTCTGTACTGTGTTTAAAAGATCTAAAAATGTCCTGAAATGTCTGTCGGTTCGTTTTTCAGTCTTTACGATGATAAATTAAGCCATGATCGGATTTTTTCAATCGCCTAGGAGCACAAAACTCAGTACATTTAATTAGTTTAGAGGTTTTTTTAGGGAAACAGCAGGACAACGGACAGGGTTGGGGTGTGAAGCAGCTCCACTGATTTGTACTGGAAGCATTTGAGGCGACTGCAGAATAATAGTAAAGACGAGATCATTGGATCCACTTCTCTGAGCTGCGGTTGGCCAAATGTCAGATCTTTTTGAGAATACAGATAAAAGTCAAGTGGCTGAAAAAGCAGGCTTCTTTTCTTTAACTCATGCCTTCAGGGACATTTGGCTAAAGATTTGAACTTTCTCTCATTAATGAGGTCACCTGATGTTTGAGAAGAACATATATAACACTATATCATTCAAAAAGTGAACTGACTTGGCCTGGAACTCGCAAAGACAGTGTTTCAGAAGAATATTGGAACAGATTCAATAACTAAAAACAAACCAGCTCGAAAAACCACCTTTGTCTGAAGCTTTTGTTTTTGGCATCTCTAGCAAAAACATCCTGCCTAGGGTCGAACGATTATTTTGAATTTTTTTGTGGACACAACGAGCAAATCACAAAAACTGCAACTATCTAGTTTCTGTGAAAACAAGGGAATAAAGCTAAGACCAAATGCATGTTAATTCAAGCACATTTTAAAGATTTGTCAATCTTTTTTGTCTCGTTTTCGGGCAGAAGTTTTATCTACGCTTCGTCAAATGGGACTTTTTTACTCTGAACAAAATTAGAATTGGTCAGAAATATCAGATATTTTAGATATTTTGCCAATACTGTGCAGACCACGAGTACAAAGTGTTGTATCATTGCATTCCCTGTATTTGAGCAGTTTGATTCTCTGATCTGTTTTGGAGAATCGACAACTTTGCACAGTCCTCTGAGATAACTGCAGCTGTCGATTTGAATAGAACAAAGAAATGGTTGCAGTTTACTTGCTTTCTGATTTGAATATCTCCATTTGTAAAGCAGATCTTAAGTTTTGTGAACTGGGTGCAGCTCTGACTGCCACCCCCTCCACCTAGAAATGGATTAAGGGGAAGAAGATGGATGGCAAGATTTTAAATTTGCACATTTATTAGAGTTGTTTTTAGATGCAGGAGGGTCTAAGGGCAGTGTTGATGATCCAGACACTCAACATGCAATGACATTTATGGACATGGTTTATCTGCCCCTTATGGACTAATCTCTGTGTTTTTATTGTTGCGTTTCTTGTGTTTGTTTCTCTGATTTGCGTTGGCGAATCAAAAGTAAATTCCCTTCACCTGTGATGATGTAGAAGCTCCTCTCTCCGTGGGTGAAGCTGACGTCGTTGGGGATGAAGGCCGTGTCGGCGTCGGCCTCCATACAGGGGTGTCTGCACTGCACCAGCTCCATCCTCTGGGCTCCGTCTCGGTCCAGGAGGCGGGGCCTGACGTAGGGGACCGGAGCCGAGACAGAGGCCACGGAGAAACTGACCACGGCGTCCAACTGAGCGATGACGTCGCCGAGGGTCTGCAGAGGGTCCACGTATCCTGCAGGAGAGAGTGGTCCTCAGGGAATCATGACATAATAGACTACGGCAAGTTTATTGTTCTCATGAAGTGATATGAACTTTTACAAATACATTTCTCACAAGGACCACTTTATAAAGGAAAGAGCAGTGCGTACAAAAGCTCATCATTATGCAAAGTATTGTCACATGCTGTGTACTGTGTGCGTAGTTTTATAACTTCACCTGAATAACATGTAAACAACGGGATATTTTGTTTGGTTTTATAGTGTCTAAATGATTGTTTTGGTCACACAGATCACACCTCAGCAAAAAGACTAGGATGCGAGGCAGGTTAATTGTCAGACGGTTAATACACCAGCCTGTGACGCTCAGTTTGTAAAGAAAGGCAGTTTTGCCGATTCTTTTTGACCGGTGGGAATGAGGCTTCTATAAGACTTATTGGGAAACAGGACAAAACGCAGTCAAAAATATACTACTTTATTGGACTATTCCTTAAAAATGTCTGAGTTATGTGGACTGACTGTCCGTTGTTCAAATGCAAAAACAAGAATTACTGCAAAAAACAAGAACTTGGTCCCATTAGCCAGAGTTTGAGCTGTTTGAAAAGGGCTTTAGTGATTTAAGACTTTGCTCTTGTTTATCTACCAACCTCAAGTGTATTCAGGGAAAAAAGATAAAATAAATTAAAGCGGATGAACTAACCAGTTTTGATGGAGGATATTTCAAATTATTTATCAATTTCATTGAAAAGCCAAGTGCTAAGATAAAACAAGTATAATACAAGTAATACTATCAAGTAATTCCAAGTAATACTAATGAAGACAAAAATATATATCGTTTTAACAATCAGTTTTTGAATGATACAGTATATGACAGTACTACACTTTGAGTTTTAAAGTAAAGTCTCATAACATTAATTGAAAGACTCAATTAGGATATCTGCTTATCTGTACATTTCATTAATATAATCTAAAATGGTAAAGTGAGTGAATGAACAGTCTGAAAATACAGAGCCGCCCCGCCTTAGACTTGAGCTTCAGTAAGAATCACTAGAATAATAGAGATTTTGCAAAGAAGGTGACAGAAGGCGTGGAGGAGGTGAGGACCAGGGTTTGTGCCTAGGACCAAATCTTCTTCAAATACGTCTGGTCTAAAAAGACACATTTGTGCTTTGGCTTTTAACACCTACAGTTTCACATTCAATATATATTTGTGTATTTCATGCTTCACGTTTTTGTTTGTGTATGTGAAGCACTTTGGTTAGCTGCAAATGTGTTATACAAAGAAAGCTATTTTTCAATTACAAGAGTTTCTATGGAGGAAAAACAAAAAATATCTTTTCAAGCCAGATCAAACCAACACATTGAAAACAATAGAGATGAAAGTGTAGAGTATGCCAAAGTAGCAGATTTTCACAAGTTCAGTTGTAGTTTGGGTCAGATACGTAACTCTTTGATAATTTTTGTCAGTAGAAAGTTCAATGAGTCTAGATGATTTTGGCAGAGATTCCGAAATACTAGTAACAGACAATTTACGATTAAGTCTGCATCAACGTTTTAGGCGGAAAAAAATTGAAATACCATCTGATTAACAGCTGCCAAAAGCTGTGACATCAGAAGCAGTCCACAAGACCTGGGGGAGAATGTGCGTCCAATTGGTTAAAACAAAGGTCAGAAAAGAGTGTGCGTGAGAAATTGTGGATTATTCCGTCGGCGTGCGGAGCGACAGTGAGCTCCATGTGACGCCAACCTGAGGCGATGCCGATGATCTCCTTCACAATGGCGTTCTGGGCTTCCTCGTATTCTTCCCGGCACTTTGTGTAGTCCTCGTTCAGGGAGCTGAGTTTACTGCACAAAAACATGTGACAAAAAGGGGAGATGATTAACGAGACTTGATGGAGCTAGCTGACGAACCGCAACGAATAATACAACTGTTGGGGGTATTGTGACGAGGTGACGAAGAAATACAGTACAGACCCAAAGTTTGGACACACTTTCTCATTCAAGGAATTTCCTTTCTTTTCATTACTATTGACTGTAGATTCACACCAGGCTGTGTATGGGCTGTTTGACCAATAAGGTCAAATTTTCATGATTTATTTTTCATAATCATGAAAATAAAAAACTCTTTGAATGAGATAATGTGTCTAAACTTTTGGTCTGTACTATATAATAATAATAACAATAATAATAATAATAATGCATTGTTAGTGCTTTTTTGGACTCTCAACGACTCTTCACATGTCTATATTCAGTCGCTCCATACACGGTGGTGTTGAACTACCATCTAAAAGCCACAGCTGCCCTCAGGCCCCGCCCTGCTTAGCTTTAGTGGTATGGCCACAAACATAAGGTTTTCCACCAGAGCAGAGCAAGTGCTAGTTACAAGTGGTAGTCATAGCAGCATACTGTTTACTGTTAGCATTAGCCTTGTTTTTTCCGTGATATCAACCAGTTTTAGCACTTAAAAAAATGTGAGCAAAAGGTAAAAGAAATATTATAAATTACTTGCTTTTAATAATATGCTGGAAAGCTAAACAGTTTTGCGGGGCAACTTCCCAGAATTCAATGAGTTTTAATGGAAGCAGTCAAAAGGATCTGGGGTTCATATTTCTGTGAGCCCTAGCGTTAATGGAGGATGAGATTAGAACTGCCTCCATAAGAGTTTGGAAACGCTTTATGTATTGAATATTGAGTGCTGCTAACGGCGCATGAAACTGAAAACATTCTTGGATCCAATTCAAGAGACTTTCCGCTTCCTTTGAAACATCGTGTGTTTACAGTATTCAGCTGCACCTGTTTGTGAATCGCACTCCGTTCTTCTGAACGTCCAGCGTCGTGAATTTCTTGTTGTTCCTCAGACTTTTCTCCTCTTTGCAGGTGACGCGGAGGTAGAAGCCATGGAGCGCGTTGGACTCCAGCTTCACCGTTTTCCCAGCGTCCAGGCCTAAAACACAACAATATCATTTAAAGCTGGGATTTTATTTTGTTCCAACAGGAAGTAAAAGGTCGTGAACAAATCAGACCACAACATACAGTTAATAAAAAAAACATTATTTATGTATTTATTTATTTGTTTATTTGACAGGGACATTTGTGTAAATGCACCAGAATTAGCTAAAAGGCTATTTTTCATCTGAATTTTTCATTGTCAATGTTTCATTAAATCTTGTTTAAGTAAAAATTGTGCAAACAAGTTTCATTTAGTTTGTTAATTTCCAAGACCTGTATATCCTGTAGGAAAAAAAGAAAAAGAAAAGATGAGCCAGTAGAATAGAAATAAATCTTATTTCAAGAAACTGAAGAAAAGCTGTTCTAAGCTGTGAGACTTTAAAACATTACCAGAATGTCATTTTAAAAAATGTAAATACAACAGATGTATCAAAGTGAATGGAATATTCATAATTCCTCAAGAACAGCTGAAACTTCAAAAGTTTGTAAATAAAGGAAACATTGTTGTCGTATGTATGTCTTGTGGAAATAGTGTAAAATTAAAGATTTCACATGAACAAGATAGAATCTCAAAGCACCAGCCGCAAACAGAGGCCGCTTTGAGATCATGCTTTATTTGTGGATCTGAGGCCTCAAGACTTTTCCAGGGAAATATTGTGTGTTCTATGAAAGTAAACTAGGGCTGTCAAACGATTATTTTTTTTTAGTTGATTAATCGCATAGTAATGATGAGTTAACTCACGATTAATCACTTTTTTAACATTCTATTTTAAATCCACTCCAATTGAAGTTAAATGAGATTTTCAAATGTAATGACACATTATTATTCATACCAAATGTACTTCAATCTGTTTGACTTGCTCACAACCTTCTACTTTTGGGTACAACCAACAAGAGCTGTTAATGAAAGGAAAAATGTAGGTACCCCAGCTTTAATTTTACTGAGGGACGACGGATGCAAATTACCCCAAGGCTACAATCTGGACCAGTGAGTTAATTAACATGTACTGTCCCAACCAATTAAATAAGTAAACAAATAATCAATCAATAAATGCATTTCTTCAACATGACGACATGCATCTGTTAATATCTGTGTACATAATATATCCTGAACAAAAGAGATTATGTTTGAACCTTTTGAACATGTTTGCACACTTCCTGTCTAGTTGCAGAACCTGAGTGATTCTATCTATACCAAATGTGACATGTACATTGTTCCAATCGTGAGATCAATAAAGTTCATCTTATCTTCCTCTTCCTCCTCAGACTGAAACTCACTGAGATCTCGGGCGGCGCTGTTCAGGACGCTCTGCATGCTCTTCTCCAGATCGTCCATGCGGTCCCTGAGCTCACTGAGCCCCGGGTCGAACGACGGCTTCACCAGAAACTCATGGTGCTCTATCTGCGTCACACCATCATTAACATTAAGTGTAGGTTGAGAACATACACCTATATAGCCAACAACTACAACAATATCCAAGAACATAGAAAGAAAAATCACAACAATGTAAATTTCTCCTGTGTGAGATTAATAAAGTATATCTTATTGTTTTCCCACTGGTTTAGCTGCTGGTTGAGTAGGACTGTAACGATTCATAGATTGTAATTGAAAAAAAGCTCGACTCTCTTTTAGAAATCAATTAAAAACTTCTCTAAAAAAAGACCCCAACACATGGAAGAGTCAAACAGGAGTAACGACATAAGCAATGAAAATTACATTATACTGTTAGGCTTAAGTTTGTTTTATGTAAGGAGAATGTGCAGTTACATTAGAAAGATGGCTGCACCCGACTTGGCATACTCAAAGTATTAATTCCCCCCTATTTCACCCCAAATACACCTTCATTCATGCCTATTACTCCCTTATTCACGCTTATTACACTATTACACCCCTTACAGACCATAAGACTCTCATTACACCCCTATCTCTCCCCTAATAGACCCTTATCACACTCCATTAGTACTTACTAGATTAACAAATTATCAAAACAGTAGCGACTACCTACTGCCCTAAATCTAAGCATATTCAGCAATATTCAAAGCCATGAACAGACAAAAGCACCTTCTTTCTTGTTGAAGACACATTTACACAAATCGAGCTTCATCAAAATGGACTAAAGTTAACCGCCGGAACCAGGCAGAGTTCCAAAGGTGAGAAAAGAGAAACGTAGCAAAAAAACCCATTCAAAAGTTTATACCTGGTTCATGTCCAACGTAGTCTCAATCATTTCTTGAAATTTGGCAAAGTCGTTCTGCAGATCTCTGAGCGGAGTCAGAAACACGGCGTCCAGAAGAACCTGGTAACTCCCTGAAGAGAAACGAGGACGAGTCAAAAGACGCACAGTGAAGAATAGAAATTGTGACACATTTTGCTCAAATAAAAGTGACATTACACACAAGTCACATTTACGAAAGACAACTAAGTGGAATTCAAGCATTCGTGGACTCTGTAGTATCAATAAAAAATAAAGTTATTTTTTGAGTATTTTTGTATTGATTTTGATCCATTTCAGAACCAGTATCAAACATTGCGATACAGATAAAATCAATATAATATATGTTAAATATTACAGATTATTTTGCAAACAAATTTTTTTTTTTCAACTCAAAACTATTAGCAAATCTAAACTAATCTTTGTGGTATCAAAATAGGTATGGGTTTTTATGCATTAGTACCACGACACGGCAACCACACTACTGACTCCAACGTTAACTTAACACATGCACATACTTTAATATTGTTCGGTAAAGTTGTATTTGTACAGGTTTTTAAATCAACATCTTGATTGATTGATAAAAGTCTAATTCTACAGACTGTATTCCGCTCCTCCTCCTCTACCCGAGTTTCTCTCCAGAGCACTGATGACGTTGGGGACCTGGCCCACAGCTTGGTAAACCCTGTAGCAGTCCTGCAGCGTTGCCGAGTGGCGGTGGAACTTTTTGGCCAAACGATGAAGGTCCGGGACTCGCCGCAGCAGCTCGTCCTGAAGGGTCTGTCTGAGCTCCGAGTCGCACACCAAACTCTCCACCAGGTCCAACCTCAGAGGAGACCACAGACACACACACACTTTCAAACACACTAGGACTTTTTAGGAACACAGAAAACCCAGGGATGTAAAGCTTTAGTAACCTATTTTAATAAACCAGTTGATGTTTTCCTAGTCGACCAATTATTGGACCAGATAAAACAGTGTTACAATTAAATAGATGATTGCTAACAGATTAATGTAACGGTTGTACCTCTCCTCTATCTTCGACTTGTCCATCAGCGGCTGTTTGATCCACTGGTTCACGAGGCGCTGGCCCTGAGGAGTCCTGCATTTATTCAACAAACCGGCCAATGAGTGAGCGCCACTGGTGTCGTCGGGAGAGCCCTGGGAAAACCAAATATGAGAAACAAGTCACTGGCAAAGTAAAGTACAGCAATAGTTTTTGAAGTTTTATATAATAGTCAAACCGTGATAGTGATGGTCAAGTCGTAAAAATACCCAGGTACGGATAGCCTTTTTTAAACTGCAACATTTGATTCCCTGGTTGTGTCTCTTCAGTCCCGCCCCCTCCTCACCTGGAACAGATTGAGCGCCCTGACGGCTGCGTTGTCCAGCCTCATGTACTGGCCCAGCTCCAGCGGCGTCAGACTGAACGAGTTAAAGTTGGACTCGTCAGAAAGAAGCTCCAGAAAGCGCACCACAGCAGCGAGACACGACACGGCCACCTGCAAATACAGACAAGAGTTATACACAAGGATTTTAATATGTAAAAGCTTACTGTATATAGTAGATTTTAACTACTTTTAAGCATGCCTTTATATAACAATGTCTGCTTTGGGTTATGATAAGGACAAAACGCCATGAGACTTAAAAACAACATTTGGTTCTGCGATTATTGACCAATGCTCCAACTAACTTTTTTAAGGATGCATGTTTCTACTTCCGCCTCCGTCGAGCAAAGACGTGTCTCAGACGCTCCTGCTTCTGACTGCTTGCTATCTCCTGTTTTTGTCTTTTTCCTGGAGTTTTGCTACAGACAACCATTCGGAAGACGTATATATCTTTGGCATTTTGGTGGTGGGAATCCTCCTGTTTGGGTTTGGAGCGGTTCTCTTCTACCACAAATTCGGAGGCATGGCAGTTTGCAAGATTCACGACCTGCTGGCCAACAAAATTGATGGGATGTACAAGGAGCTTAACCGAGTCGTGGTTGAGAGTGCCGTGGCTGGACAACGGATCAAAGATCTCGCAGCTCGTTCACTCGATGGGCATAAAACTCTGGAATTGAGATTGAATGACATTGTTTGTCAGGCTTGAACTCTCTGACCCGGCTTGGATTTGCCCCTGTGTACGGAGGTCTGAGGGCGCCGCAATTCGGATTAATTGGATTTAATAGAATATCTGCCTGTTTTTGACTGCGACATTGCATATAACATTGTCCCTCTTCACAGGCGATGTGTTTTTCTCCAGCTGTGTCTTCTCTCCACTCTTATCTCACATTCCTCGGCCAAGGCCATAATAACAAGTCCGGACTATCTACAACAACTCACACTATTCAGTCTTCAGTCTCCAGCTTGGATCCCCTACCCCCGCCTCCCTCTATCCATCTTGCCCCCTCCCTCCCCTCCACTCCTCATTGTGTTTCCGACTCACCCCCTCCCTGACCCCGCCCCCCTCTGACAGCCACATTGGGCCGGCTGTCGGAGGTGCTCATCCCGAGAAAAAAATCCGTGGTTTATTCAAAGCACAATGTGTCTATCCAACGGTTTGTGTAATCTGTATGTTATTGCTCTCTGCTGTTTATTCTACTGTTTGTCGCATGGCGCCGGAAAGATGGCGCCGTGGCAAGAGCTCTGGTGTGTGTCGTCTTCTCTGTCTGGCGCACACCGGGGTAGTCTTGCACAGTTTTCCAATGTGGTTTTACTGCAAATGGCAAATAAATGAATCTGAATCTGATGTCGATACAACGCTATTTCAACAGTAACAAAGCTGCACCTGCTTGTCGAGCTCGGGGAGGGTGTTGCTGGCCACGGTTTGTCCCTTTTTGGACCTGAGCAGTCGGTTCAAATCCTGAACGATGTCTTTGCTGCTGAAATCTGCTTTTTTACGGTCAGAGACGAGAACTCCACCGCGCTGCACGACCTAAAGGAGAAACAGGGCAAAGAGAATGAGATCCCCAATGAACAGTTTGCTGTTTGAGCTTTGTGCGGAATGTTCCCACTTGTAATCAAAGAAAATAAGTCATAATTCTCAAAACTACAAATCCTCAGCTTCACAAAGAGTCCAGCCATTTGTTTGTACTGCAAAAGGTTTCCAAAACAGATTCAGTTATCACAAATTTAGAAAACAGACTGTAATGTTGCAGAGTTAACATTAACAATTCTAGTAGTTTTGTGATTCTGGGAGTCTTGGTGTCAAACACACCAAATCAATATTAAAAGTTGGAATAGAGTTTGGACCATTTAGTATTGGTTAATGCCTGTATAATTGTTGCAAGTTACAGAAAAATGTTTTGGTTGTAATTAGGGCTTCATTGTTGTTCTGAATTGTCATTGCGATCGGTTGTCATGCCTTAAAACAATACAAAACTATATAAACTTACAACAACAACAACAACAAAAAAGGAAAAGAGCCGGAAAAAATATGCTTGTGTCATAATATTAAAAGTGTGTATACATATATAAATGCACCTCTCGAAGTTTGCTGCCCTCGGAGCTGCAGTCCCCTTGAGGCAGCAGACATTCCTTGGCGCTGATGCGGACCAGCAGGGACTCCAGGTTGGAGAAGATCTCGTTGTCCGGGAACTCGCAGACTCCCAGGACCCTCTGAGCCGCGTCTACGAACCCGACTCCGACCACACGCTGTCCGTCTGCCCCCGTGGCAAAGCGCACCGCCACCACCCCCGCGCTGCCCTCTGCTCCGGCTGCACCCCCGAACAAGATGTCCTCGAACTGGGTCAGATTCCCCGGAGAGGCCTGGGGAGAAAGAACTGTTAGGATAGGATTCAGGAAGCTTAAAAAAGGCCCTCTGGTCTCGCTTTCCCTCTGGTCTCTGTCTCGCTTTCCCTCTGGTCTCGGTCTCGCTTTCCCTCTGGTCTCGGTCTCGCTTTCCCTCTGGTCTCGGTCTCGCTTTCCCTCTGGTCTCGGTCCTCGCTTTCCCTCTGGTCTCGGTCTCGCTTTCCCTCTGGTCTCGGTCTCGCTTTCCCTCTGGTCTCGGTCTCGCTTTCCCTCTGGTCTCGGTCTCGCTTTCCCTCTGGTCTCGGTCTCGCTTTCCCTCTGGTCTCGGTCTCGCTTTCCCTCTGGTCTCGGTCTCGCTTTCCCTCTGGTCTCGGTCTCGCTTTCCCTCTGGTCTCGGTCTCGCTTTCCCTCTGGTCTCGGTCTCGCTTTCCCTCTGGTCTCGGTCTCGCTTTCCCTCTGGTCTCGGTCTCGCTTTCCCTCTGGTCTCGGTCTCGCTTTCCCTCTGGTCTCGGTCTCGCTTTCCCTCTGGTCTCGGTCTCGCTTTCCCTCTGGTCTCGGTCTCGCTTTCCCTCTGGTCTCGGTCTCGCTTTCCCTCTGGTCTCGGTCTCGCTTTCCCTCTGGTCTCGGTCTCGCTTTCCCTCTGGTCTCGGTCTCGCTTTCCCTCTGGTCTCGGTCTCGCTTTCCCTCTGGTCTCGCTTTTGGCCATCATTTTACTTCTAAAATCTTTCTGTTGGAATAAACAAACTGAAGTATTTGTGAATGAAAAGATTAGGACCCCAAGCTTTAACTTTATTGTAACTTAAAAAGAAAATGACAGCTTCTATTGATTACTGATGCATGGGTTAGCTTAAGCTCTCAACCCAATACATATGAATATACTTTCTATGCAAAAATATGCAGGCGAGAATAATAAAGGACGGAAGATACAAGCGACTTTCAATTTCATAATATATCTGACAGGCAAAGTCTAAACACAGACGGAGAATCTTAAAAGGATGTGGAGCAGGAGAGACCTTGTACTCGAGTTTCCAGTCGTGCTCCTTGCTGTTCTTGCTCCGATTCTTGTAAACCTCAACCCTGTATTGCCTCACAAGCAGCAGGTCTTTCACAAAAGTCTCGAAGTTGAGTTTATTCAGCACCACGCTTTCCACTTTCCGGTTGCCTACAAACAAAAGAGATATTATTTCAAAAATACCTATAAAAAATAAACAAAGGAAAGGTCGATGTATGAGGTTATGTGATCACAGCAAGAACTGTTGAGCCTGTACATATGCTCTTCATGTTCACTGATCATTCACTAGTCACTTTACCTGATGCTATTATTACTATTCATTATTCTGGTCATATTCTATGCTGCTAAGTACAACATATCCCATCTGGAAATGTTAAACTTCTTGACTGCTAACTATATTAAGTTTCTATGAAGATTCTTTATTCATGGCTTCTATCACGTTTTCTTTAATAACTTGTTTCCACCATGAGCCAAAGCAAATTCCTAGTTTCTGACTCGTTCCCATAACTTACAGAAGGCAATAAAAAGGAGGGACAAATAAAGGTTATCAGATGTTATTAAAACAGAAGCAGTCAGTGTGAAAGGTTAATGGCATTACTTTTACAGTAGCATTCATTCAGATGGCATTTTGATTATTCATTATGTGTGAAAAGTCAAGGATAGAGTGAAAAGTCAGTGATAGTTCAACGACAGTGCTTTTGTAGCTGGATAAATAAGAGAGTTTAGAATTGTCCTGTTAATTTGCATGTGCACTGTAACGCAAAAGTAACAACATCCCCACATGTGTGTCCTTGCAGCACAGTGAGCACATTTATTAATTAGGACCTTCCAAGCCCCCCAAGTTGCCTCTACCTGCCTGCGTGGATGACCTCAGTATCTCCTGTCTACAATATGCTAATTTGTGTCCTTGTACACTTTAAAACAGGGGTCTCCAACCTGTAGCTGCCAGTACTCCCTGTCAAAGGACTTAGAAATTACCTTTATATGACTGATCATCCCACCTCTGCACCTTCTCCATCAACTCCCACTGATGACTTCTGTCGTTGTGTCCTTGGGCAAGACACTTAACCCCACTTTGCCCAAAGCCCCCACTGAAAGATCAAGGCTATGCTCACACTCAGAGAGCAGCCGTCCTCCTGTGGACTCACCACCTGCAGAGGGTCAGTGAGGGGCTGGTGCTATGAGACTTGGGTGGCATCTCTGATTGCCACCCCCCTGACCCAGAAATGGATTAAAGGGTAGAAAATGGATGGATGGATGGATGGATGGATGGATGGATGACTGATCATGCACTTGTTTTATAAAGAACTTTTTTACGCGGTGTACACAGTGGTGATAAACTACTACTGGGGAACACTGACAGAGTAAGCCATTGACCCCTCCCACCACACACACACACACCCACACACCAGACTCATTCTGATGTGGGTGAAGTGTCTTGCCTAAGGACACAATAACAGTTTGGCACTTTACAGTCAATCTCCAGAGGTCTCCCATCACAGTACTAACCAGGCCTGAGGTCTGGCTTTCACATGCAGGTGGGGCATTGTAATAAATGACGAATAATGCATGTGGTACTGTTGCTAGCAGGCCCGTCCCAAGGGGAGTGCGAGGCCCTGTGCGAACTCGAAACGCGAGGCCCTGCCCTGACACTTTTTTCCCAGATCTGAGGAAAGTTTTTCCTGTTATAATCTTTGACATGAATTCAGCACCACCTCGCGCGGTGCTTGACGAGATCAGCACGCGTGTAACCGAGTGTCTTCGCTCCTATGCAGCGTTTGGCGCGCGCACGTACACACGCACACACACTCTACGTGCAATATTGGTCGCGGTCTTTTTAGCTGACATGTCTCTTTCGTCCTGTGGCAAAATGGTAGAGCAACTCAAAAGATTGAACCAAAAGGAGTCTTTTTCTTCTAATAGTTAGATTTGGGCAAAATGCGCCAAAATGGCTATGAGGCGGAGTCAATATTATTTTTTTCTCATCAAATAACGTTTTTGCCATGCCTCCACACACTCTGACAACATACACTCCTCCTCCTCCACACTGACAACAACAAAATACTCTTCACCTCCTCCTCCACACACTCTGACCACAACAAAAACACTCCAGCTAGCTAAAGCTAGACATACAGTGTGTTTGCTAATGCTTTTAAAAATATGTTTTTGATGTGGATATTCGGACTAAACATTGGCAATAGCAGCGCTCACACACCTGTCACACCGCTGATCCTCCTCCTCCTCCTCTGCTCACACAAAGGGGTCTGCTCCTCTGCTCACACTTGTCTCACTGCTCCTCCTCCGCGAGTATCCATCTCTCCTACACTGCGATCATTCCCGTTACTTTCTTTGTATCTCACTCAGACACTGCTAAAGTTATCTGACAGTTTTTTCGGAGGACCCGTTGCATACATAGCTGCCCGCGCGCCTGCCTGTTTACAAATCGCTTTTGGTGAAAATTTGACTTTACTTGTAAAAATGTTCTTTTGATCAAACGAAATCAAAGAGGTCCAGAGAAAGGGGTTTAGGGTTCCAAATTTGGAGTGCAGTCTGCCCTTTGGGGACCCTTGAACTAGTGTATTTATAAAATAAAATAAAAGGAAGGAAGATTGCGAGGCCCCTGTGTGGTGCGAGGCCCTGTGCGACGGCACAGGTCGCACAGCCCTTAGGACGGGCCTGGTTGCTAGTATCCACATCTAAAGCTCTCGAACTTTAACGACCTATCCATTCCCCCCTGGATGCTCTAAAGGAGACACTTTTTTGTCAATTTTAGTCCAGAGAAAGTTGCTCTCTGGATGAGAAAGGTTGGAGACCCCTGCATTAAAATGAAAATAAAAGGGGTGGGTGTTTGTAATCTGTTAGTGTGTTATTACAGCGTTATTATTGCACATGCTAATTTTCATAGATGCCACTCTTTGCTTTGAAACAGCCCGTTACCTGAGCCCAGATACTTCAACACTCCATTGGTCTTGAACAGTTCTTTGGCGGCGAACGTGGCGTCTTTCCCGTGCACGGTGTAGTAGTCGTTACGGTCGAACACTCTGAACGTGGTGTCTGGTTTCTCGGGCATGCAGAAGTAGAAGCTGAGGAAGCCGCCCTCGGACGCACTGTCCAAGGAAAGAGTTTGTTTCTGCGCCGCCATGCTGCAATCTCCCGCGTCCGGAATCCCGGAAGTGGCAGAGCTAACTGTTTCCGCTCGTTTCCATGACGACGTAGTGCGCGGATGAGTGGATGCTGTGTAGCTTTTAGTTTTGGAAGTGTAAGTACTCATGGCATGTGCATTCTTAGATACACAAAATTATGAAGACCATCTTTACGTTGTTATTTTTTATGAAATATTTGACTTTTGAAATGCGAGTTCTGCCTTTTACTCATTTTCCACCGGAGAACAAATCCTAGTTACCTTAGCAACAGCATTCGCTTTTTTTGCTGTATTTCAGTTATAGTTAATTAAAAGTTAAAGACTTATCTCGCACTCATGTAATAGATCTAAATTGATGTTCACATTAGAGCATACAAATAGCTATACCGTTAAAAAAACATTAAGAGTTGTGCTTAATACTTAATATTCGCTTATAGTGTGCTAGTTTCAAAACTTAATGCAATGGTTTTATATAGTATTGGACACGCAAAGACTCCTCACAGAGGTATATAGTCACAGCTGTCCTGGGGCATATTGACTTGTAATGCAACACTACATTTCTCCATGGTGGGACATAAAGATTTCCCTTACTATTATAATGGGCCAAGTGGTTAGTACGGAGCAACTAAAGTCCCCCAAAAAAAAAAATTGTCCTGTGGGAACTAGATATCTTGTTCCCACAAGTTTTTTGTCCTTTCGGGAACTTTAGAGGCTCTGTAGGTTAGGGCTTGCGCATCACAGCAAGAAGATTCTGGGTTCCCATCCACCTTCTGTGTGGAGTAGGCTTGTTTCCTCCAGGTGCCCCTACAATTGGTCAGGATGTTATGATTGAGCAGATAGGACTCCCTTCTGGCATCACTGTGTGCAGCGAATGGAAAACTATCTGTACACTTTGTGTGACCTTTGTGAATTGCAGACGTTAGTTATGCTCTAAAAGGAGGATAATTAGCGTTCAAGATTTCACAGACAATGGCAAGACGGACGTTCCAGATGCTGATCCAAGTTACCTTTATGCAACATGTGAGTGCATTTCATTTCCTGCCATTTTAAACATAGCAAGCATTGTCTGTTGTGCTGCATATTTGACTATATACCTACACAATCCAGCTTTAAAAACAGCCTAGAAACAATCCGCGAGGGAAACAAGCTTAAGAACACAATTTTATTGATACAGTTTGCAACATGTGCCCTTAAAAACCATTGTCTCTAATATCCATCACAAATCATTAAAAACGACAGTGCATTCTGCCTTCATCTTTTATTAACAAACAAGGGGTATATTAATCAATTGAGTTTTTATGTTAAAAAAGGTGAGAGAAAACTGAAATGTCATGTCCTATAAAAATATACCACTATATTTGCAACTGGATTGATGATAAAAGCCAAAAGCGTACAATAAAATACGATCATTTGAAAAGTTTCATAAAATAAGGTTCGGCGACGATGGCAACACACAGAATGACCACCAGGATGAACAAAGCCAGTCCACGGCGAATGAGCAGCTGTTTTGAGGGAAGGTCAGATCCTGGAATCACCTCGACTTCAGCTTCATCCAACTGGTTAGAATCTAAAAGGAAAATTGTAATTCGTAAAAGGCATTAAAAAATTGTAGTCCAGTTCCACCATTGACATGATTAAATAAATCCATCTCGTTTCTTGCTCTAAATACAGTTCCATTCCATTACTAGTTTTGCACATGCCTATTTGTTGAATGTTAGCTCCCTAGCTTCACTCCATAACAAATACCATAGTGTAATATATCCAATATTTGGTTAAAGAAATATTACTGTAACTGGTGATGCAACACTGAAATTTCCCCACTGTAGGACAAATAAAAGATGAATAGTCAATGTAAAATCGTCACCTTGAGTTTGTTCTGCCGTTCGCTCACTCGAGATCCTGGCCTCTTCCTCTTTAGACTGATTGGCCAATGCTTCCTCCCCTTTAGATCCATCAGCGTACGGGTCTTCCACTTTAGATCCATTGGCCCGTACCTCTCCAGATCCGTCCGATGTCTCTCTAGCTTCATCTACCTCTGCATCTTCTGCATTAGATCCTTCCGGCTCACCGTCCTCCTCTCCAACTTGGTCTATCACCGTTTCTTCCACAGATCCCTCAGCCACCGTCTGCTCCTCTCTGACCTGAACTCCAGATCTCTCTTGGGCCTAAAGGGAAAAACAAGAACCAGTCCATTCAGCACAAAGCCTGAATAAACAGTCGGGCAAAAAAGTATTTAGTCAGCCACCGATTGTGCAAGTTCTCCCACTTAAAATAGTGACAGAGGTCTGTAATTTTCATCATGGGTACACTTCAACTGTGAGAGACAGAATGTGAAAAATTTATTTGTAAATTATGGTGGAAAATAAGTATTTGGTCACTTCAAACAAGGACGATCTCTGGCTCTCACAGACCTGTAACTTATTTAAGAAGCTCTTCTGTCCTCCACTTGTTACCTGTATTAAATGGCACCTGTTTGAACTCTTTATCAGTATAAAAGACACCTGTCCACAGCCTCAAACAGTCAGACTCCAAAACTCCACTATGGCCAAGAGCTGTCGAAGGACACCAGGAAAAAAATTGTAGACCTGCACCAGACTGGGAAGAGTGAATCTACAATAGGCAACCAGCTTGGTGTGAACAAATCAACTGTGGGAGAAATTATCAGAAAATGGAAAACATACAAGACCACTGATAATCTCCCTCGATCTGGGGCTCCACGCAAGATCTCATGGGGTCCCGTGGGGTCAAAATGATCAAAAATCCCAGAACCACACGGGGGGACCTGGTGAGTGACCTGCAGAGAGCTGGGACCAAAGTAACAAAGGGGACCATCAGTAACACACTACGGCGACAGGGAATCAAATCCTGCAGTGCCAGACGTGTCCCCCTGCTGAGGCCAGTGCATGTCCAGGCCCGTCTGAAGTTTGCCAGAGAGCACATGGATGATAGAGCAGAGGATTGGGAGAATGTCACGTGGTCAGATGAAACCAAAGTAGAATTGTTTGGTATAAACTCAACTCGTCGTGTTGGAGGAATAAGAATACTGAGTTGCATCCCAAGCACACCATACCTACTGTGAAGCATGGGGCTGTTTTTCTGCTTAGGGGACAGGACGACTGGTTTGTGTTAAGAAAAGAATGAATGGGGCCATGTATCGTGAGATTTTGAGCCAAAACCTCCTTCCATCAGTGAGAGCTTTGAAGATGAAACGTGGCTGGGTCTTCCAGCATGACAATGATCCCAAACACACTGCCCGTGCAACGAAGGAGTGGCTCCGTAAGAAGCATTTGAAAGTCCTGGAGTGGCCTAGCCAGTCTCCAGAACTCAACACCATTGAAAATCTGTGGAGGGATTTGAAAGTCTGTGTTGCTCGGCGACAGCCCTAAAACATCACGGCTCTCGAGAAGATCTGCATGGAGGAATGGGCCAAAATACCAGCTATTGTGTGTGCAAACATGGTAAAGACCTATAGTAATCGTTATTGCCAACAAAGGTTATATTACAAAGTATTGAGTTGAATTTGTTATTGACCAAATACCTATTTTCCACCGTAATTTACAAATAAATTCTTTAAAAATCCTACAATGTGAATTCCTGGATTTTTTTTCACATTCTGTCTCAAAGTTGAAGTGTACCTATGATGAAAATTACAGACCTCTGTCAATATTTTAAGTGAGAGAACTTGCACAATTGGTGACTGACTAAATACTTTTTTGCCCCACTGTAGATATGAACTCACTTTTTGTGCCGCCTTTTGCCAATCCACTCTCCAGATGATGACGCCATAAGCGAGACACTGCAAAACCACACAGACCGTGATGCCGATTCCAAGTCCTGAAATGTAAAGAGATTCACTTTGGTTGGACAAATGTGCAGCAGCGTCTGGCCCAGATCTAAACCTGCCTCCAGCTTGGATTCAATTTGGAATCTGCAGGAGTCTGGAAGATTCCATTGTCAATTGTAACATTTCTGAATGTATTGCAATAGTGATGAACAGACTATACCAAGATGAGCTTTTTGAGATGTCATTTGTCAAAAACAAATTGTACTTTTTAAATCAATTGAATTATTTTTTTGTACAGCCCTAAATCACAGCAGCAGTAGTCTCTGGGTTGGTTGGTGATCTCTAGTTGAATTGACAACTTTGTACAGTTCTTTTGAACACAGCAAATGCAGTAACAAAAACATCAGGCATTGGTCCATAGGGAACAGGATAACCAATGTCTAAATGTTTTATGCCATTTTGCCTTCGTTTTTATTTTATTTTTATTTATTTTTAAAAGGTGGCTCAAAAATAGGGGGGGCTGGTGCGCTGTGTTCTGGGTGCAGCTCTGACTGCCACCCACCCCGACCCAGTAATGGATTAAGGGGAAGAAAATGGATGGTTGGCTCAAAAATATTCATGAAGTGGTCAGGTAACATAAAACATTGAGCAAGTACAAATACGTTATTTTTTAACCAGTGAGTTGTTTTGATACTAGTCATTCTTACCGTAAATGCCGAGCTTTGCAGCAAACATTAAGCTGACACCAACTGGGAGACCAATAAGATAGTATCCCACCAAGTTACACACTGCTCCCAGCTTCTGCTCCCCGACTCCTCTCAGAACTCCTCCAGTCACACCCTGCAACAAACACACTTTAGCTCAAGGCATACAAATAAAAATATAGACCGATTAGAATCCTACCGCTACAGCGTCAGCCCCGTACAGGAAACTATAGAGTAAAGAAACTTCTGAAACCCTTCGGATGATGTTCCTTAAAAATCAAATGGGATGTTAGATTGAATGAATGCAATAAGGCTGGGACCCTTATAAAATTATTTGGGATGTAATGTTTTTCTGTGAATTTTAGACATTTATCACATTTTCTCGCTAAAGTCTGGGGCCGATGAGCGATTAGGATGGCCTTTGTTATGCACCATAAAAAGATAGCAACTTTGAGGATGAATTGCCATATGGGGATAAATAAAGTGCACCTTTTCCCCTTCCCCTTTGTAGCCACAGCTGGCATTCCACTGAGTACTAAAAAAAAGTACTGTATTAAGCTACAAACTACTCACAGATATTTGGTGAAGATGTATCCCAAGTAGTCCCTCAGGAGCATCATGAGTATTCCAATAAGGATGCCCATTATGCCTAATGTCCACATGGAGAGAAATGTCTCATCACAACGGCACGAGTACAAAGTTGGACATTAATGTATGTATTTTATGCATTTACATCCAGCAATGACCGAGACTTTGGAAGCCCGCTTTGCCTCCTGTACGTCACCAGCCCCAAGAGAGCTCCCCACACGGACACTGGCAGCAGCAGAGAGTCCGAGGGGGATCTGTGGAAAAGGATTGACTTGTGTTATATTAACGGCGGAGGAGAGACAGCGATACAACGTACATTTACTGCCTCTGTGACCCTACTCTGAGTCTGAGGCCAGGATTCCCTTTAAAGATTCTGGGAAAAAATAATTGGCAAATATCAAATATGACTGGCATTTGTAAAATGTCTTAAATGAAATGAGAATGGCAGGATTAACATGGGATTTTAACACTAACAACCGCTTTTAACTCCAAGATGGTAGAATAATCCTAGAACCAAGTCATGAAGGTGAAGACAAAAACAAAAGAATTGAGCAATACATTGTTGTACATCTTTACCATTATAAAAGAAACTTAGCAGAGATGCCCAAAACACATCTAGTGGTTTGAGCTAATGATTAAAGATTGATTTAATGACTGGGAGAAATGTTTATATTTAAATAAGAGGCAGAAGCTCCTGATAATAGCATAGACACTGCTAATAACTCCAGGTATGATATTCTTGTGGAAATATGGTTGTATCCTGGTTATGATGTTGCTACAGGTCGATTTCACAGAGAGTACTCTAGATTATAATGTGTAAAACAGACTGAATTTTAGAGTGTGGAAATTTGGGGGACATAAAATGCTATCCCATCTACCTCAGAACCACTATTAAGAGACTGTCCGTGTAGGCATGTATACATTTATGACATTACTATAAAATTGATGCCGATGAGGTTATAGATGATGCCCTGTGCTCCCAGCTCCTCATCGCTGATCATTCCGGCTAAAAAGGATCCGAGCTCGAACACCCAGAACTCCAGGCAAAACATCAGCAAACTGGGAATGGCCATGACGAGGAAAGACTTCCAGTCCTGAAGACAGTCCCAGGACCAGCCTACAACACAGAAAATCTTTTATGTCTTTCTTAGGGAATGTCTTGGAGCAGCTGAATACTTTAACATCCTCCTACATTTATTTTTATTTAGTCATTGACATTTGTCCATCCGTTACACACCATTTCACGTTATAAGTTTAATCACAGTAGTAAATGGACTTTTGAACAATATTCAAAGTTTCACCTATGACATTGAATGGGATTAGGTGTAGCCCTTAATTTCAGAAAAGTATTATCCAATTTATGTAACAAAAGCTAAGTAACTAGTTTCACAAAACCGTTTGCATCACTAGTCTTCTCATGCATGTACTTTTGGCCTCGGTCACAGAACACCCTTCACTCAGCCAATCAGCTCTCAGTATGTACATTTTCTAAAAACTTTTAGTCTGACGTGTTCTAAAAAATTTTGCTTAAACCAATGTTCAGGACAAGGCTAGAGGAACACAATGTACCTAACATTCAATTTGTTTCGAGTTTCTCTTAATCCCGTGTCAGACATTATGGCACAAATTGCAACAACGATTTGCCATGTTGGCTCTTTGTTGCAACAATCTCTGCTTTTCTTCCATCTGACCATAGAGTTACCGGCTCATATTTAACTCTACTCACCGGACCATGTCGCCTTGTGGAGCCCCTTTATGTAGATGTAAGTAAATAAAACCACAGCCATTATGTACTGAGTGAGAGTATTGGCTAAAGCGGAGCCACTGTTAAAAAAAAAAAAATTAAAAAAAAATTAGAAATAACATTGGCGAAGATAAATGAGATGAATATTAAGACACTTACGCCACGCCCATTTCAAGACCAAATATTAGAATGCAGTTTAATAAGGCGTTCATGGCGTTGCCGGCGGCTCCAGTCACGGCCTGAGGCCACATAATTCCCTGTGGACAAAATTCAGAATTGCAAGACAATAGATTCACTTCAATTTATTTTTCCTATAGCCCTAAAACAGCTATCAGAGGACTTTACAAAACGGCTTGATTCTCTGATCTGTGTTTGTGAATTCAACAATTCAAATAAAAGAAATGCAGTGATAAAAGAAACTACGGTCACTGGTCCATAAAGGGCAGGTGACCAATGTCAAACGTTTTTAAATTTCTCCTCTGTGAGATAAATAAAGCACATCTTATATTTTAGATCAAATGGGAAAAGAATATGGTTTTCAGAACAAATGTGTCACATGAGTTCAAAAATCAGAGTTTGACTACCAAAGAACAAGATTGGTTTAGCAGCAAAAACAGTCCAATACCAATCTTGATACTTTGGCTTTAATAGACTCAAGAGGGCTCAGATCTGAGGAGAGACTTATTACCAATTGGTCCAATGGAGTTTTGAATTAGATGTTGAACCTGTAAGACACGGTGGAACTACTATGAGGAAACTAAGCAGAACAAGCTTCACACACTGAAACAAAGAAATAACTTTTGACTCAGAGTTATAATCCATCAGTTTATACCAATTTTTCTGAACATGCAAAGACGACACTTGCAATGTGGGTGATGCGTCTTGCTTAGGGACACAACAGTGGGGCCGGCCCCTGGTGGCCCCTGAGGTCTCCCATCACAGTATCAACAAGCTGCACCAGTGGGTATGCGTAATCTAGTTGACAATTATCAATATACCATTACCCAGTTTTTTTGTCAACACCTGAAATAGGAAGCAATTATTATCTACCAATTGTAATTGCAGAAGCAGCACCTCGCTTTTGTTTGACTGATGATGTTAGGCCCAATTATTACATACAATTAAATCATGAACCAGTTCAACAGGCACTGCATTGACACAATCACAAAGTGAAGAATGCAAACCATTTCTTATTAGGACATCACCTGGTTCTGAAGATACCGCCCTTGAAGCTGAAACATGAAGCAAGCCTGGAAACGAGAAACTTAATAAAAAAAAAAAAAAAAGATTTGTACAAACTTTATACAAATAAGAACCAGGGAGACAAAAACGATCAACATGTGAAAATATAGCACAATAAATGACAAATACTATCAGATACTTTATTGATCACCCCGTAGGAGAAATTCAGGTATCCAGCAGCAGAAGACTTTTTTTTAGTACAGTCAGGTTTGTTGTACAGTCGGACAGCCAGAGGAACAAAGGATCTCTTGAGCCGGTTGCTTCGATGACTCCTCTGAGCGGCCATAATGTCATGCAGAGGGTGTCTGGAGTTACCCAGAATGCCCTGCATTAGAGCCCTCATCCTTCTCTCCAGCACAGCTCCCACAGAGTCCACACTTCGCCCCATCACAGAGACACGTTTCCTGATCAGCCTGTCGAGCTGGTTACTCTCGAGGTCAGACTGCCGCCCCAACACACAACCCCGAAGAACACGGCACTAGTTGCCACAGACTGGTAAAAAGTGTGCAACATCTCACTGCTCCATCAAAGGACCTCAGTCTACTCAGAAAGAAAAGTCTGCTCTGACCTTTCTTGTAGATGGCATTAGCCTGAGCTGACGAATCCAGTCTGTGGTCCAGGTGGACTCCCAGATATTTATAGTGAACCACTTCAATGTCCTGTCCATTCACCGTGACCGGTCGATAGGAAGGGCTCCTGTAAAAGTTGATGATCATGTCCTTGGTCTTGGACTTGTTGAGAATCAGTCCATTTCTTTCACTCCAGTCAGTGATCTCCAAGCACTGCTCTCCTGCTCTGGAATATCTTTTCATTCATTGTAAACCATATTACTCCCCGCGGGAAATTGTTTCATTCATTCTTGCCTCTGTTTACATACCGCCATGCGCGGACGCGCGCGAGGCTCAGCGCGCACTCGCAGAGCAAGTACTGTGTATGGAACGCTTATACCCGGACTCTCTGATTATTATCCTGGGGGATTTTAATAAGGGAAACTTGAGCCAGGAATTACCCAAATACAGACAGTTTATCAAATGCCCGACCAGAGAGGAGAACACTCTGGATCACTGTTACACCACCGTGCGCGGAGCTTTTCGCGCTGTTCCCAAGCCAGCCCTCGGCTTCTCAGATCACTCCATGATACATCTGGTTCCTGCTTACAGACAGAGACTAAAGCTCTCGAAACCTGCAGTGAGGAGCTCCAAAGTGTGGTCTGATGAAGCTGTGGAAGAGCTGCGCGCATGCATGGAATCTACAGACTGGGACCTTTTCAGAGCTGCCACAGACAGCTTGGATGAATATACGGACACTGTGACGTCATACATCCACTTCTGTGAGGATAGCATCATTCCAACAAGGACCAGGGTCATCTATAACAACGACAAACCCTGGTTCACTGCTAAACTCCGGCAGCTCAGGAAAGCAAAGGAGTCTGCTTTCAGGGAGGGGGACCGCAGCGGCTACAAAGCAGCTAAATATCAGTTCAGGAAAGAACTGAAAGCAGCCAAGTCCCGGCACAGAGAACGACTACAGGAGCGTTTTGGTAACAACGATACTGCTTCTGTCTGGAGGGGCCTACGGGAGATCACCAACTACAAACCCAAAGCCCCCCCCTGTGCTGATGACCACAAGCTAGCTGACGATCTGAACTTATTTTTCAGTCGCTTTGATGCTGCCCCTGACACCTCTCCCTCCCCCACCCCCCACTACGCTAACGACCCACCCATCAGCCCTGCCCCCAGCCTAACAATAGCCGCTAAAGAGATTAAACAACTCTTCCTGAGGCTGCACCCCCGCAAAGCTCCTGGCCCGGACCACGTGTCTCCGGCCACTCTGAGACACTGCGCCAGTGAGCTTACTCCTGTGTTCACGGACATTTTCAACACCTCTCTGCAGTCCTGCCATGTCCCGGCCTGCTTCAAATCCTCCATCATTGTCCCCGTCCCGAAGAAGCCCAGGATCACAGGACTCAATGACTACAGACCTGTAGCACTTACGTCTGTCGTCATGAAGTCATTTGAACGCCTGGTTCTCTCCCATCTCAAGTCCCTCACCTCCCCCCTCCTGGACCCCCTGCAGTTCGCCTACAGAGCCAACAGATCTGTAGACGACGCCATTAACCTGGCCCTCCACCACATCCTACAGCACCTGGACTCCCCGGGGACGTACGCCAGGGTCCTGTTCGTGGACTTCAGCTCTGCCTTCAACACAATCCTGCCATCCCTGCTCCAGGACAAGCTCTCCCAGCTCAACGTGCCCGATTCCACCTGCAGGTGGATCACTGACTTCCTGACGGACAGGAAGCAGCGAGTGCGTCTGGGGAAGAATGTCTCGGACTCTCGGATTATAAATACAGGAGCCCCACAGGGCTGTGTTCTTTCTCCCCTGCTCTTCTCCCTGTACACCAACCACTGCACCTCCAGCCACAACTCCGTGAAGCTGATCAAGTTCGCGGACGACACCACCCTCATTGGACTCATCTCCAACAACGATGAGTCCGCCTACAGGAGGGAGGTGGACCGGCTGGTGTCCTGGTGCAGTGGTAACAACCTGGAGCTGAACGCCCAGAAGACAGTGGAGATGATTGTGGACTTCAGGAAGAGCACTGCCCCCCGCCCCCACCCTCCGTGATGGACTCCCCCATCACCTCTGTGGAGTCCTTCCGTTTCCTGGGCACCACCATCACCCAGGACCTCAAGTGGGAGCCGACCATCAGCTCCCTCATCAAGAAGGCCCAGCAGAGGATGTACTTCCTGCGGCAGCTCAGGAAAGCCAAGCTGCCTGCACAGATGTTGGTGCAGTTCTACACGGCCATCATCGAGTCCATCCTCACCTCCTCCATCACCGTGTGGTTCGCTGGAGCCACAGTCAGGGACAAACAGAGACTACAGCGCATTGTGCGCTCTGCAGAGGAAGTGATCGGCCGCAGCCTTCCATCGCTGCAGGACCTGTACGTCGCCCGAGCTCGAGGCCGGGCTGGTCGTATCACAGCCGACCCCTCTCACCCTGCACATGGACTATTCCAACCACTCCCCTCAGGCAGGAGGCTGCGGTCCATCAGGACTAGAACCTCCCGCCACAAGAACAGTTTCTTCCCCTCTGCTGTTGGACTCTTGAACACTTCTTAACCTGTCCCCCCGCCCTTTATAAAGTCACTTTACTGCCCATCATACGTCACTTTACTTCACTGTACTGCTGTCACCTTACATTGTGTGCACCATGTGCACTTGTATATTGTAAATAGTAACTGTAACTCTATTTTAAATTTAAATTTATTCTTTAGAAGTGTTTTTTATTCTTATTTTTATTATCTCTTTTTGACTGTTGCACTGAGCCAAAGCAATTTCCAAGTCTGTGACCTCCCGTTACTTACGTTGGCAATAAAAATGATTCTGATTCTGATTCTGAGAAGGCAGCCACTACCTCCCTGTACTCTGCTTCCCTCCAGTTGATTTACACTTGATCTGCTTGTTTTCAACCGTGCATCCTCTTTGCTCTGATCAGTGTGAAACCATAAACAATGTACTGGAAAAAAATTAATCTACAGCTAGAAAAAGTAAGACAAATAACGATTTTAGAGAGAGAACAATATCTCCAGAACTGCTAGGACGTGCTGCCGTTTTCCAGCGCCTTCAAAATCATACATTTAAGTTTGTTATAGGTAAACCATTATTGTTCCATTGGCAAATCTTGAGTTAAAAAAATTAAAGATTAAAACTAGTGATCATGTCCCCTTTCCTGTAACGTTCCCTGCATGATGTTTGAGAGAACCAGTCTCTCAGGACAAAGTTAACAAAGTAGGCCATTACCCTCCCACCATTGAATAAGCAATCTTACTGGAAGGGCGGGCATGAAGATCTTGACATACACCTGAGCAAGACTGCAGCATAAAGAAAAAGAGTGGGTTAGTTCTGGCATAGCCTGGTCGTACCTAGCCTGGCTCTGCCAGACCCTAGTAGTTCCGCCATGCTCCACCAGAGGCGTTTGGCTGAACGTGCAGCGAACTACATGGGTCTGGCGAGAGTCAGGCTAGGTCATACAAATTACATTTCCTATTAGGGTCTTGAGGTGTTCCATTGAGCTCCGTTTACAGTTAGGAGGGGTTAACTCCTTTTGCAGATTGAAACGATTGGATCCGAGTTTACCGTGACGTATGTAGTGCACCTGAGTCTGTTGTTAGCATTTAGCCTAGCCATCTCCTTTGCCGCTAACGGAGCCCGTGGGGAGTAGCACCACAATTTTTTCTAGCGATTACATTTGCTGAACATTCCTATTGCTCCGGCTTAAATTTCGTGATTAGAACCAGACCGGATTACTTTACTATCGCATTTAACTACGACCTTCCCGTTCGACACAAACTCTTGCCGTCACCCACACTAACTACAACCGCCTTCCGCGCTCTCTGAATGGTCGGTCGAAATTCAACCGATTGTATTCGCTAACACGGACCAGACCCAGACGTTACATTCAATGAAATGATGATTGAGCAGAGTGTACGGATGGCTAAGGCCAGGCTAGGCTAGTTCTGGCATATAAGTTAAGAGTGAAGTTGATTAAATGTTTTTTTTTTTTTTTAATGCATTATTGATATTTTATGACCCTTTTGAAGTAACAAAAAAGTTTTGCAGAAGTCAGTGATTTTCCACTTGATGTTTTGGTTATCTGAATGTTGAAGCCAACATGCTATGCAGATGCTAAGAGGATGATCTCAATTTGTCTGGTTTAAAAGTCACATGCACGCTGCAGAACTCTGGTCATGTCTCTTTCAAACAAACAATGTCTTCTGCTGTCCATGACCACCACATTCTTTATCATTTTCTTCACATTTATACTTAAAAAGAAAAAGGCCACTAAATCAAACATGCAAAATAGAGTTGGGACCTGGACACTTCTGGCTTCTGCCGCACCAGCAGCAGCAGAGGCTCGGTGTTGATGAGAATGGCCCAACAGGGGAAACAGGCCAAGAGCATGATGAGCACCCCCCTCTGCAGGATCACCCCCACACGCTTCAGGTTCCCACTGCCGTACGTCTGCGAGCAAAGCACAAGAGTTTGAGAGACTTGGGGGGAAAACCAAGAACTATCATTATGTTTTGCATATGAATGGCAGTAATAGTTGCATGAGAAGCAGTGGAAAAAATGTGTAGACCAAGGTGTGGATGGATTGACATGAAGAAGAGTTGAATGTTAGTGGTTTGACAGTGGAAGACAATGCCATAAAAGAACATGAGACTGTCTGGAGTTTGTGAATGTTTCGATTAAGAACTGTTCACATGAGTTTGTGCCCAAAATGTTGATGTGATTTGTCCTGTCACTTACCTGCGATATGAGCGTATCACAGGTCATAGCCAAACCATTTCCAATGGAAATACCAGTGACATTCACCACCTGCTCAACAAACAGACATAAGAGACGCACAGAGACAGACACACTCAGACACAGACAGACAGGTGCATAATTACCGCAGTTGCCAAAGATGCACTTGTGAGTTCCAGTTTGCCGCGGTGACCACAAAACATCATACTGACGAAACCAATCATAAATATCATAGCCTGAGAGATCGCCTGAAAGAACAAAAACATGTTATTCGACTAAATGCAATTATTATGATTATTTTTTACTTACATAGACTTAAAACACACTGATAATTCTATGACAACTGCGGAATAAAATGAAAATGTTCTTTAAGTATTTTTAATCAAACAACCCAATGTGTAACTCGTCGTTAATCAAATAAAGGACAAGAATCACTGGATCAGTCTCTACCCATTAATGCTGTAAAAATACAACTAAGTTACATTTTTGTAATAGATCAAGTAATTTTCAAAATTGAAATTACATTTTGATGAATTGCACATTTCTAATAAGAGTAGTCCAAATAATATGAACTGGATATCAGGGCTGTTGTAGTAGAGCAAAGAAATCCTTGGTCACAATCGATTGGTCAATTAAAAAGAGGGCGTGGAACATGCTCAATATAAACATGTAGCAACAACGGATGTAAAAGCATAGACATGTTAAATAAGAGAATAGAAACTTTGCTCTGGTTTGAATATTGAAGTAAATACAAAAATGAATTCGTTTTGTACAGAGTTTTTTTTTTTGGTGATTGGCCCGGTCTGTGTTGGGCCTCGCTGTGTCCATTCAATAGGGGCAACAGCGCTGCTGCGGGATTGGCGGCTGGTGTCGGCGGCTTGGGCCAGCCCGTGCGCTTTAAAGTAGGCTTTTCTAATTACAATTTTTATGAGTGTTTGACAATGTATAAAAAATAAAGGAAATTTAATTTAAATGAAACCATGGCCTGTCTGATTGCTTATCTGTGTTCCCTTTAACTAAAATAGGGTGGCGTTGTTGCAACCATCAGTTTAATTCAGAAGTTACCCCAAACTACAACCAGCTAAGGGTCGGTACCACGACACATGGTGACGGGACTATACCTCAACCTTATATTTTCACCTTTTTGGAGACAAACAATCGACCAACTAATCGAACATACAAGGCCCAGTAATAGGTGGGTGGAGTCCTTACCACGGGTCCGGACAGTTTGGTCAGCTGCCAGACCTCAGAGGTCCATCCTGCAGTGATGCGCCTAGTGGCTCTCAACAGCCGCCGCGCTGGGCCGGTCTGCCCCTCCACCACCGTCGTCGTGGTCGTGTCCACCTCCATTATTCTGATTGATGCACAAGACGTCGCACTTTTGGACTTTGAAAACACATCTGTCCCTTACTACAGGTGCGTGTGTGCGTGCGTGATGTGGGGTGTAGAGCGTCTCACCAGGGTCAAGACCAAAGACACCGCGGCCGAAAACAGAGGCCAACAGGCGGGTCCAGATCACCCTGTGCCCACGGGTGGAAGGACTGGTCTGGATGAATTGAGTAGAATAAAATTGCAACTGAAATTCTGATTATCGCATGAAGGCGCAATCCATCACACCTGCGCTCATCCTTAACTGTGTTGCATTTGGCGCCATCTACTGGATGTATGAGAATATAGTACGCTCATAACTGCAGTACCTATATTCTTGAATTTGTTTTGTTTGTCCCAACAGAAAGAGTTTTGTTAAAGATACTTGTTGTGAACTAATCAGACCGCTCCGCACTGTCTCTATCTTATTAGAAAACATTGTATCTGTTGCGGCTGAGAGCTGATTGGCTGAGTGAGGCTGGTCATCTATTTCCACTGAGAATGCTGCTACTAAGATATGACAGTGGTCAAAAATGCATGCATATTTTGAGGTCAAGGAACTAGTGAGATTTGATTGCATCTACATTTTTCACCCCTACACAATATACACAAAAAAGTACCCTTTGCCGTACAATCAAATGGCTGGAATCTTTGTGGCTCTGTAGTTTTATTGAACATTACAGTTTGCAACATGTGCCAGTAAAATCCATTGTCTAATATCCATCACAAATCATAAAAAAAGGTCAGTGCATAGTGCCTTTGTCTTTAACAAACAAGGGGTGTATTCATCAATTGGTTTGCATGGAAAAGACGATTATCAACCTATTGCCATTGATGAAAACTGAATTGCCATGTCCTATAGAAATATGCCACTATAACTGCATCTGAATTGATGAAAATACCCCAAAGTGTACAATAAAATGTAATCATTTCACAAGTTTCAGGAGATGAGGTTCGGCGACGATGGCAGCACACAGAATGACCACCAGGATGAACAAAGCCAGTCCACGGCGAATGAGCAGCTGTTTTGAGGGAAGGTCAGATCCAGGAACCACCTCGACTTCAGCTTCATCCAACTGGTTAGAATCTAAAAAGAAAATGGTAATTATAGTGAATGTAAAACTACTGTAAAGTAACCAAAAAAATTCAGTGTAATCCCATTAGCATGATATTGTGCCATCCTTGGGTCAAATTGACAAAATTTAGGTGATGTTCCATAAGTTGACCAGCCCTGCATCTACTTTTAATCACTGTGACAGATCGTTTTGACCTGAGAATAGCACAAGGGTTAAACCAAAAATCCATCTCCTCAGTTTCTTGATTTCTATTCCATCACTCAGTTGCACATCACATCACTCTGTCAGCTTTTCCAGAGTGAGGGTGGTCCTCCATTGGCTCTAAATGTGTTGAATAGTGACATAACCTTTTTAATAGTAAGTATTACATTAGTTATGTGTGTTAGCTTCACTTAAAATGCTTTGTACAAAAAATATTGTACAAAGCATTTTCTGAAGTTCATTGACACATTTCTTTACCTTGAGTTTGTTCTGCCGTTCGCTCTTCCACTCGAGATCCATTGGCCTCTTCCTCTTTAGACTGATTGGCCAATGCTTCCTCCCCTTTAGATCCATCAGCAAACGAGTCTTCCACTTTAGATCCATTGGCCCGTACCTCTCCAGATCCGTCCGATGTCTCTTTAGCTTCATCTACCTCTGCATCTTCTGCTTTAGATCCTTCCGGCTCACCGTCCTCCTCTCCAACTTGGTCTATCACCGTTGTTTCCACAGATCCCTCGGTCACTGTCGGCTCCTCTCTGACCTGAACTCCAGATCTCTCTTGGGCCTAAAAGGGAAAAACAATAACCAGTCCATTCAGCACAAAGCCTGATTATAGATATGAACTCACTTTTTGTGCCGCCTTTTGCCAATCCACTCTCCAGATGATGACGCCATAAGCGAGACACTGCAAAACCACACAGACCGTGATGCCGATTCCAAGTCCTGAAATGTAAAGAGATTCACTTTGGTTGGACAAATGTGCAGCGTCTGGCCCAGATCTAAAACTTTGCGATTGGATTCTGACTGGACATATCTTTTTGAGATGTTACTTTTCACATTAAACTAAATAAAAAAATCCTTTTTAATCAATTTATTCGTGTATAGCAGTTGCCTACAATTGATAAGAATCAAACAGTTGGAACACACAGTAGGAAATGCAATAGCACATAGGAGGCAAGACATGACTATTGGACATTGGTCATCTTGCTCCCTATGGACCGATATTCGTAAATGTTTTATGATGCCATTTTTATTACCCCAGTTTTTCAAATTTAGTTTAACACTTATAAAGCTGGCTCAAAATAATTTATAATGTGGTCAGAGAATATAAAACATCCCATTTTTGTAAAGAAAAACAAAGGTTTTATTGATGATTGACTTGCTCAATTGTGAGAGTGGATTCCTCTTTCAATGTGAGGTTTCTCACTTCTTCCCAGTGGGTTTTTGAGTTATTCCTTGTCGATGCAGTGATGATCCAGGACATTTATGGACATCAGTCATTCCGCGCCCTATTGACCAATGGCTTCTATGTGTTTGTTATTACATTTCCCATGTTCAAACTGTTTGATTCTCTGACCTGTTGAGGAATTGACTCCTTGTAAAGTCCTGAGAGACAACTGCTGTTGTGATTTAGGGCAATACAAAAATGAATCTATTAAGTATCTAACTTCATACAAACAAACTGCCACAATCAGTGGATTCTGTAAAGATTGGAACGCAAATAGAATGCAAACCAACTCCAAGCAAAATCAGTTTTGATCTCGGCCTCTCGTGGTGCTGCTACACATGTTCTTACCGTAAATACCGAGCTTTGCAGCAAACATTAAGCTGACACCAACTGGGAGACCAATAAGATAGTATCCCACCAAGTTACACACGGCTCCCAGCTTCTGCTCCCCGACTCCTCTCAGAACTCCTCCAGTCACACCCTGCAACAAACACACTTTAGCTCAAGGCATACAAAAAAAAAATATATAGACCAATTAGAATCCTACCGCTACAGCGTCAGCCCCGTACAGAAACGCATAGAGAAAAGAAACTTCTGAAACCCTTCGAATGATGTTCCTTAAAAGCAAATGGGACAGGTGAATCTTTGCCCCAGCCTAAATTCTCCTTCTGACTTCGGCAGGTTTCCCTCAATAATGTCCTTGTATTTGGCTCCATCCATCTTCCCAGCTATTTATAACCTTCTTTTCCTTTGTCAAAGATTATACACCATAATAAGCTCTGGTCAATTTGAACATAAGTAAATCTGCTCATGCTCAAAGGAGAAAGTCTATAGCCATTTCAAACCAATATCTTTCATGTTGAAAAACCCTTCAAATTCAATTCAATTTAGTTTTAGGTCACTTCATCCTCTCTGGTAAATACAGCTTATACTGAACTCAAGAAGGTGAGACATTGTATCCCAGCCTTAGTATCAATCAATCAATGTTTATTTCTATAGCACAGTTCATACAGAATGCAACCCAAAGTGCTTCACATCGGCAACATTTAAAGCAATTTAAAAACAATTTAAAAATACACTGTAAAAACAAATACAAAAGACAGTTTAAGGAAATATATACATCAAAAATAAATGTATGATTCGATTTCTTGATGATCAGTCGTAGGCACGGCTGAAAAGAACCGTTTTCAGCCTGGACTTGAACATAGCTAAAGAAGGAGCCTGTACTCAAGTTAAGTCTTCCATGATCAATGCTTTGTAGCCCTATACAGATATTGCAAAATCCCTGTTGAGAACAGACTACTCACAGATCTTTGGTGAAGATGTATCCCACGTAGTCCCTCAGGAGCATCATGATTATTCCAATAAGGATGCCTATTATACCTAACGTCCACATGAAAAGAAATGTCTTGTTTGTATGCCATTTTGCTTCGTGTTTTTTTATTTTTATTTATTTTTAAAAGGTGTGCTCAAAAATGGGGGGGTGGCTGGTGCGCTGTGTCTGGGTGCAGCTCTTGACTTGCCACCCACCCCGACCCAGAGTAATGGTTTAAGGGGAAGAAAATGGAATGGTTGGCTCAAAAATATTCATGAAGTGGTCAGGGCTAACATAAAACAGTTGAGGCAAAGTCAAATACGTTTTTTTTTAACCGGGTGTGGTTTGTTACTAGTCATTCTTACACGTAAATGCGAGAGTGCAGAAACATTAGCTGACTCCAAATGGGCGGACCAATAAGATAGTTATCCCACCAAGTTACACACTGCTCCCAGCTTCTGCTCCCGACTCCTCTCAGAACTCCTCCAGTCACACCCTGCAACAAAACACTTTAGCTAAAGGGCATACAAATAAAAATTATAGGACCCGGATTAGAATCCTACCGCTTACAGCTGTCAGACCCTGTTAAAAACCACTGGGGGGGGGGGTATACTATAGAGTAAAGAAACTTATGTAAAACCCTTCGGATGATGTTCCTTAAAAATCAAATGGGATGTTAGATGAATGAATGCAATAGGCCTGGGACCTTATAAAATTATTTGGGATGTTATGTTTTTCTGTGAATTGTATCCATTTGTGATATGACTCTATCATTAAAAGTAATAAGCTGCAACTAAAATAAAGGTAATTTGTAAAATAATAAAGCAACAATTTGTTAAATGTCAATTAATACAAAAACTGTATTAACAATATTTTAACGCTCAACGATGACTCACTATAGTATTGTGACAAGAAGAGATGACCAAAACACATCTAAGGAGCTAACTTGCATTCTGCTGTTGAAATTGAAATTTATTGTTAGCTAATGCCTAGAGCTGAAACAACTAATCGATTTAATCGATTAAAATCGATTATTAAAATAGTTGTCAACTAATTTAGTCATCGATTAGTTGCTAAATAACTTTTATTTTGCCGTAAGCGGCTCATTTCGTGCATATTTTAACTCTGCGGGTGACCAAATGGTGGCAGTAATGAGCCACCGGAGGTTTTACAGCAGGAGAAGTAGCGAATAGCCAATAGCTGGCCTCCTTTTATGTCACATGCTTCGCGCACAGCTTCTCTTCAGCATACAGCAAGATGGCGGAGGCAAGCGGAGTAAGCTCGAGAAAAAAAAGGAAAAAAGCAGAAGACAAACCTAATCGAACGAAGTCATCCAAAGTGTGGGAGCACTTTACTTTGAACCTTCAAAAAAGAAGAGTAACCTGTAAACTCTGCGCTACTGACTTGGCCTGGCACGGGAGTACTACGTCTCTGCGTGAGCACCTTAAACCATCTCTCTGCAGTACTGACTGTTTGCAAAAGATGGCGCCACACTCACTGTTTTAGGCATAAAGTTGAGCTTTCAAATAATTTGCACAAAGATGTAAAAAAAAAAAAACATTTATCAGTTTATCAACTTAAATAAGCCTTGTTCGGGATTTTAAACTACTTCAGAAGCCCTAAGGATTTTCATGGTGAAAACATTATTGGAAATCTCCTTGTGAAATTTGCTAGAGTATGTAACGGTCAGTGTTTTGTTTTGATGGTCAACATTGAGTTCACTAAAGGATTACAAAGACATAATAAACAGCTCCAGTTAAGTTTTTGATGTGGATATGAATATGTAAAATGGTTAAAATCTCTAAAAAGTCTATGTTGAATGATGAAGGCCCTTTGTTAACAATTTACTTGGAAAAAAATTGGCAAAACTAAAATATAAGTACATAAACCGATTAATCGATTAATCGTAAAAATAATCGCCTGATTAATCGATTATCTAAATAATCGTTAGTTGCAGCCCTACTAATGCCACAAATGTAAATGAGAGGCAGAAGCTCCTGACTTTAGCATGGATTGGACTAATCATTCCAGGTATGATATTCATAAGGGAATTCAGTTGTATCCTTGTTAGTGTGCAATTCTATGAAATTTAGGGCACATAAAATGCTATCCCATCTACCCCAGAACAACCAATAAAAGACGCTAAAACATAATGTATAAAATTACATGTACTATAAAACTGATGCTGATGAGGTTATAGATGATGCCCTGTGCTCCCAGCTCCTCTTCACTGATCATTCCGGCTAAAAAGCATCCAAGCTCGAACACCCAGAACTCCAGACACAGCATCAGCAAACTGGGAATGGCCATGATGAGGAAAGACTTCCAGTCCCGAAGACAGTCCCAGGACCAGCCTACAACACAGGGGATCTTTTAGAACCTGAATCCAACCCTCTAGCAACCTGGCTTTTCTTATACTTTCCAACGTCTATCTTAGTTCATTTCTGTCATTGACATTTGTCCATCTCCTTTACACAGTTTTACAAATTAAAATAATGTAATTAATTAATTAATTAAATAATACAAATTACAATAGTTGAAAAAAGAACATAGACATGCAGCTTATGGATAGAGGAGAGTCCCCCCACCACCCAGAAATGGACTAATAAAGGGGATGAAAATCCTTTTCAATAAAGTCCCGGAGTCTTGAATAGGGACAAAGATATCCTTTGTTGCAAAAATCTCTGCTTTTCTTCCATCTGACCATAGAGTTACCGGCTCATATTTAACTGAACTCACCGGACCACGTCGCCTTGTGGAGCCCCTTTATGTAGATGTAAATAAATAAAACCACAGCCATAATGTACTGAGTGAGAGTATTGGCTAAAGCGGAGCCACTGTTAAAAAACACAACATTAGAAAAAACATTGCCAAAGATCAATCAAATTAATATTAAAAGACACTTACGCCACGCCCATTTCAAGACTGAACATTAGAATGTAGTTTAAGAAAATGTTTATGGCGTTGCCGACGGCTCCGGTCACGACCTGAGGCCACATAATTCCCTGTGGACAAATTTAGAATCATAAAACAATAGAAAATGTTTTCACTGCTCTGAATTTTGTTCATTTTGAGTTCAATGTACCTCAAACATTATTATCAAATGTCAGTCAGAATGTTCTATTAATATTCTGACTGACAGTGTTCAGTTCAGTGTTAACATTAACACTCATTAACAATGTTTCTAAATAATACTGTACATGATTCCAACTCAAAAAATAGTGGGAGGAAGAAAAAAACATATACTGTAGATTCCCACCCCTGTGAATGTCTTATTTACTTGTTGCACAAACATGTTGGCAAAATCAGCAGAATGACCCCAGCAGGGCAGCAAGAAACCATCAACGCACCAAAGGCCCGAGCCAGAACCTTTCCCCATTGATGTCACATTCAGTCATTACCACAATTTGTAGTTTGGGTTTTACCAGCCAGTACCATACTTTCACTATGTCAAATTAATAGTATTTAACATTCAAATTGTACTGTATAAGAGGCCAACCACATCACCAGCCTGTTGCCACTCCAGCACAGGACAGAAGCGAGGCCACAATATGTGCCATTGTCCCCTCTGTCCACCACCAACACTCACCAGACCTATTCTAGGCAATGTGGGTGAAGTTTGGCACAATTTCACCGCTCCATTGTGGCACCTGTTGTTCCCATAGGTGTCCCATAAGATAAACAGGAGGCTGTGTTACAGTTGATTAAAGTAGCAATATGTAAGATTTCCATGTCAAGTCATCAGTAAATGACCCTAATCTGTCATCACACATAACCCATGCTCTTTTCAAATACTTCTTTAACTGATAACAGTTTTTCTGCCGAGAGATTTTAGTTTTTAAAAATTTCAGCCCCGCTCTCCACCGTTTTACCAATCAGAAAGTCTGTGATCCAGGTTGCTAGAACTCACTGCGTTGAGCTAATCTCACTGGTAAAGTAACATGTCTTGTAACAGGCCTTTGTGAAAATAGATAGGTTTGGTTATAGATTTGTTGTTGACAAAATTCTTGTCTATTCAGTTATTATAGTCCCGGATGGATTCGTCTGCAAATCTGGCAACCTGAGTCAGGGAGAGCGCAGCACCACTTTTCGCCAGATTTTTACATATTGCTGCTTTAAAATATAATTACTATGTTTTTTTGTGAGTCAATACCAGAAATAAGAATAGCAATTATTGTTTTCAACTGTAATGGAATCAGCTAGCAGCAGTCTTGCTTTTGTTCCTTTTGTGACGTTAAGTCCTGTATATACATATAATTACCACAACCAGGTTTACCTGGTTTTGAAGATACCGCCCTTGAAGCTGGTACATAAAAGAAGCCTGAAAATTAAACGATAAGAGACTTGAGTAATTACATAATGAGCAGCCAATGGCACAACATATGACATACCAAACTATGACACATTTATGTTGCCACTCTTTATGGCTGCATAAATTGAGAAACTAAACAAGATGTCATTCTATTGGCAAATCGTGTTTTGAGTACATCTAAGGAAAAGATTGAAAACAATCTAAGCTTTTATGTTTACGTACATTTGACTCATTATTTATTAACTTGCCTGCTGTCAGGATGTTGTGGGAGAAAACCATCCTCTCTCCGGACAAAGTAAACTACCCACCCACTTGTACAACTAAATAAGGAATCTTACTGGAAGGGCGGGCATGAAGATCTTGACATACACCTGAGCAAGACTGCAGCATAAAGAAAAAGAGTGGGTTAGTTCTGGCCTTTTGAACGATAGGTGCATGAGTTTTTAAAATCAAGAGTAGTAAATAAAGAGTTGGGACCTGGACACTTCTGGCTTCTGCCGCACCAGCAGCAGCAGAGGCTCGGTGTTGATGAGAATGGCCCAACAGGGAAAACAGGCCAAGAGCATGATGAGCACCCCCCTCTGCAGGATCACCCCCACACGCTTCAGGTTCCCACTGCCGTACGTCTGCGAGCAAAGCACAAGAGTTTGAGAGACTTTGAGGAAAACTAAGAACTACCTTGGAACTTTTGGTAGTTCCTATATATACTATACTATATATGAAAGGTATAGTGGAGCGAGAGGTTGGCTGGAATGATGGCGTGAAGAGAGCATCCCAAACAGATGCTCAAGCCACCTCACTCACTCCACACAGAGATAAGAGGGGGGCGTACAGAATACGCTTGCCAGACACGAGCAGAACATGCAAACTTCACACAGAAAGCTCTGGAGGTACAATCGAACCCAGGACCATCCTGGTGTGAGGAACAAGCACTAACCACTGCACCACCGAGATTGCTCGGTGAATCAATTATGTGGCAGATGCTAGCAAAAATGCTAGTGTCTGTCTGCAGTCTATGGGGAGGACGATGCCATGAGATGCAACATGAGATGGTCTCCAGACCAATGTGTTTGTGGCCAAAATGTTGATGTGATTTGTCCTGTCGCTTACCTGCGATATGAGCGTATCACAGGTCATAGCCAAACCAATTCCAATGGAAATACCAGTGACATTCACCACCTGCTCAACAAACACAGTTAGAGGCCGATAGAGAGACAGACACAGAGACACAAACAGAGAGAGAGAGAGAGAAAGACATTTGCATAATTACCGCAGTTGCCAAAGATGCACTTGTGAGTTCCAGTTTGCCGCGGTGACCACAAAACACCATACTGACGAAACCAATCAAAAATGTCAGTAACTGAGAGAGCGCCTGAAACAACAAACACAAAACATTGTGTCAGGGCTGTCACAAGTTAATGGATTGATCATAACTATCAAACTAGTCTTTTTAATATTTGATAAATTATGTCAGCTGTTACAGAAGTGGAGCAAGAATCAAAAAAGGGGGAGAAACTCTCTAAAAATATTTCACATCTGACCCAAACAACATGCACAAAGCGTATTTAATTTAACAATTGTTTATGTGTAAAATGTGTTTATCAAAACAATATTGGTTAAATGAGAGAATTGAACGTTTTTTTTCTGGTTTGAAATAAATACAATAAATCAAAACATAAATAATGCATAGGTTTTACATAGCGCTTACTACATACACAATAGTGATAAACTACTGTTGTAGCCGCAGCTGCCCTGGGGCACACTGACAGAGCGAAGCAAACAGTGTACCAATGTGGGTTAAGTGTCTTGCCTAAAGACACAACAGTTTGACACGTTTCAGCTCCCATCACAGTACTAACCACGCCCTGTTTAGCTTCAGAGGTCTGATGGAATCTGTCTTTCACATCCTGGTGTAGCCACAAATCTAGCCTTTCACATGAAAAAAAAATCTTGTATTTGAAAAAGAATAGTCAAGGAATACAAACAATCGACAAAATAATACAAGGCTGAGTAATTGACGGGTTGAGTTCTTACCACCGGTCCGGCCAGTTTGATCAGCTGGCAGACCTCAGACATCCATCCTGCAGAGACTGGGCTGATCTGTCCCTGCACCACCGCCGTGTCCACCTCCATTATTCTGATTGATTACACAACTTTAACTTTTGAACAAACATGCAGACGGCGAGTGCACACCTGTCACTGTGTGTGTGCGATGGAGGATGTAGAGCGCCTCAGGGGCAAGACCAAAGACACCACAGCCGAGAACAGGGGCCAAGAGGCGTGTCAAGAGTGTCTTATGCCATCAACTTCGCAATCAACACACACTTATTTACTTCTGAATGAGCTGGAAACGTCAGCAAGTCCTAAGTAGCTCTGAAACTGTTGTTGTTTTGTGCTTTACAATTGTAAGTAAGTAAGTAATCTTTATTTATATACCGCCTTTTCACTGCAGATCTGAGTCTCAAAGCGGTTTACAATTGTTAATTTTGGGCATTTGTCTCTCACTCCACACAGAGATGGGAGCGGGGCCAGTACAGGAGGCGCATGTTAGAACTGTTGTTAGGGGAAACCGGAGTACCCGGAGGAAACCTACGCAGACACGGGGAGAACATGCAAACTCCACTCAGAAAGGCCCTGGTCCGACCGGGATTCGAACCCAGGACCTTCTTGCTGAGAGGCAAGAGTGCTATCCACTCAGCCACCTGAGATGATGCTGCAGTACAGTGTTCATGGTTTTGCACTGGTCCAGACCAGAGCGGAGAGAGTTCATGGTCCGAACCAAGCGAATCAGCCGAAGGAGGGCAACCTTTTTGAAAAATGCTAATGAATCATTCAGCCTTTTACTTTGGACTAGAGCCGAGAAAATGGTCCAAACCCAGTGGCTATTCCACCTCTGCTGCTGTGACCTGAAGGGCTGAAGGAAAGAAGACGCCATGCAAAAGCATTGGATAATTCTTATTCTAGGTCCACCCCCACCGGCCCAAAGTGAGATTGCAAGCACTGCCCCCACTGCTCAAACCAAACCACTTAAGTGCACCCCTACAGACTGTATGGTAAACACACCGAGATAGAAGACGGCTGCAAATAGTTACAATATGATCCTACACTGATTTGGAGTCAATAGAGCACATGACCTGGAAGCTATTTAGCCAAAATGCTAATATCTACATATAAATAATAATAATAAATATGCACTGATTTAAAATGTAAAAAGAACAGGTGTATGCCGCACCACTCCACATGAGGTCCTCAAGTTTATGAATACCTTATCTTAACCGGCCACTGGACTAACCAGTGGAAACAAAATGTAATTATTTTAATGTTGCCAAGTGCTAGCATCATCATGACTGAGACACGACCTCAGAATGTTTGACAGACTCAGAATCAGAGCCCATCCCGTTTATGCAGCAGGAGAACAACATTCCTGCACGGCTGAGTAAAGAGCTAATCAGATCTCACTCAGTTCTTCACCCCTGAAGCAACACCCGGGGCAGATAGTGTAATGACTTCTGACTTTCGTATAAGTTCATTTGAATGAGTTTTGGTATGTTTATGTTACAAACTAATTTTATTTTGGTTATTAGCAGGCAGTCATTTATTCACAATGTGAAATAAATCACAAGAAAGAAGTTATTAATTATAGTTATGATAAATTCTTGCTGGGCTAAACGTAAACAAATATATATGTAATTAATAGAATAGCCAAGAAAATAACTTAATAAGGATGCATAAAGTGAAGTTGAGGCCTTGTAGTTTTGGACTCTTAATTTACTTGAATTATAAGTGATCTTCTTGCTGAATATCAAATCATATTGAGTTGAAAGTCCTCTGTATTGAGATGGATAATCTGATATCACCAAGTAATCAATGTCAAAGTTGCTTGCCCAGATCAATGTTTCATTAGGTTAGGGTTTGAGTTTTGCCTTGCCGATCCAGAACGATGATGATCCGGGTCATTTAAGGAAATCTATGGACATTTATTTAATAGTCATCTTGCTCCCCATGGCCCCTGTAGTTAGTTTGTTATTATTGCATATCCGACATCAGATTCACTCCTCTGTTATTGAGGAATCGACAATGTTGTAAAGTCTGCTGTAAAGAAAAAATCATAAAAAAACCAGTGGGAAAAAGTGAGAAACCTTGGGGAGACCCAGTTGAGAAAGGGATCCGCTCCTCCGGACGGACAGGCTAATGATCCAGGACCTAAGCTGCTACAGAACGTGGACCAGTGGCCGCTGAACGTGGACAGGTCCGGTGCAGGACTGAAGCACTCCCAGGTGGGTCGGACAGGGCAGTCCGCAGGTGTAGTTGGAGGAGGCCAGGCTCAGAGATCCCATCATCGTACTATGAAACAGACAATGGGACAACGGGTGAATAGCAATGAACAAACTACAGTCAAAATCCTAAAAATGCTAAACAGGTAAAGTAGGAAGGAGGAGAGGATAGTGCTCAAGTTATCATACTTCTCCCAGCAAACTGACTCCCTATGCAGCTTGACTGACAGTCTGAGGAGTTTAGCCTTCCCTGAGTCGTACCTTCCTAGCCATATGCTAAACTAAAGAGGACTGTTTTAAGCCTACAGCCCACGTTGTGCCCGCGGATGGACCCGATCGTCCATTACGCGACACGTGAGTGGCCAAAGCCCCTAGCAGCCAAGAGGCCTGCTCTGGGGTACGGCATGTATTGCAGCGTGCAGGACTGGTCCTGGACCGGCGGTGTCCCGGACATCAAGGATTCGGTCCGCATGGCCCTGCAGCCCTCCGCATCCGTGTGGCCCAGCACCAGACCTCTCCTTCCCTCCGAGCGGGACAGGATGTCTTTGGCTATGCTGGATAGATGTTATGCCAATGCGGCACAGATCGTTGCATTGGCAAACAACATGGCATTCATCACGGGGGCCCTGGATAGGTCGCTCTCCTCTGGCCAGGCGCTCAGTGGAGACCTCCTATTGCAGGCGAGGACCGCCTCGGCGGCGATCCTGCGCATGTGCCAGGCGCTAGCCGTGGATGGCGGCCGCTCCATGGCAGCAGCCCAAGTCGGGGCCAGGCACCTTTGGCTTGGGCTAGCTAACATCAGGGAGGCGGAGAAGAGGCAGCTGCTGGACCTGCCCGTTTCCCAGACGTCCCTCTTCGGCCCGGACATGCAGGCCCTGGTGGCTAGACTGGAGGCTGCAGCCAACGACTCGGCTAGGCTAGCCCCGCACCTAGCACCGAGGCGCGAGGCCCGCCCACCATCACGGAGCCGGGACAGAGGCAGAGAGCGTTCGCCCGGGAGGCGTCCTGACCCGTATCCGCGCTCTGTGGTCCATCGTCCCCCCTTGACGAGGCCCCCGGGTCCAGACAGACCCACGGGTGGCTCGCGGGAGCAACGCACCCGCCGCCGGCCTCCCTATGGCAGAGGAGGTCGGGGTGGAAAGAATTCTTTCAATAAAGGCCGACCGGCATTTCATCAGTACTCGCCTGTGAGACAGGCCTCCTCTCTGACAATGTTTAAAACCAGGTTAAAGACAGTTCTGTTTAGCTGTGCATACAACTGAGGAATTTTATATTTTTATCTTTCTTTTTAATGTTCTGTGATTATTTATGATTTTAATGCTTTCTTGTTTTGTTCAGCACTTTGAGTTGCCTTGTGTATGAATTGTGCTATATAAATAAACTTGCCTTGCCTTGCCTTGCCTTGCCTTGCCTTCGTTGTCTGAGTCTCATTTGGGGGTACGTAACATGTCTAATGTGAAATCTGATTGTGTTACTTCCCGGGCACATAACGTTGCTTCGCTAGGCCTGCAGCCCCCAGAACAGGGTGTGCAGTGCGCTACGCGAGCTACGAGCTCCGGTTCTCTGATCCATGCTATGCCCTCCCAGAGAGAGGTCAGGCGGAGGGATCTGGTGAGTAGTGATGTGTGTGCTTCGGCCGAACGCGTGTTAGCCCCTCTGAGCTACAAGGCTAACACGGGGTTTCCCACTCCAGGGGCTCGCCCCCCCTCCATGAGGCAAGAGCAAGGGGGGGGGGGGGACAGCAGTCGAGTCACGTGGTATGAGCAGACCCGTACTTATGACGTCGGGCCTGCAGGACACGTGACCGCCCCCGGCGCACACGGTATGACGCAGGGGCCCCCCCTGCCCTTTCGTCCACCCCCCCTCCCTGCTAGGAACACCAGGAGAGGGCGGGGCCGTGACGTCTCGTGTTCCAGCTCCCGTTCCGCCCCTCACAGACTTCTACAGCATCTGGAGGGAGCAGGGATTGCTGACGGATCCATGGCTGGAGAAGACATTGCGCAGGGGTTACGCACTGCAATTCTCCCGAAAGCCACCACCATTCCGAGGCGTACGGGCAGCACGCTCTCAGGTACGGGGATCATTAGTGGCACTACAAGCGGAGGTCTCCTCTCTGCTGAGTCGAGGCGCAGCAGTGGAGGTAGACCCACAGGACGCCACCAGGGGGCTGTACTCCCCTTACTTCTTGGTGCCAAAGAAGTCAGGCGGGGTGCGTCCCATTTTGGATCTGCGCGTTCTGAACGAGTGCATTTCCGCTTACTTTCACGTGCCGATAGTTCCGGAACACAGGAGGTTCCTGCGCTTCGCAGTGGGAGAGAGGAGTTAGCGCCTGGGCTTTGTGGTGAACAGGGAGAAAAGCAGGCTGCAGCCGGCTCAGCGCATGATCTATCTCGGCCTGCAGCTAGACTCTGTGACATTCCGTGCTGCATTGTCCGAGGACAGACGGAGGAACATTACCCGTCTGGCCAGGGAGGTTCTGGCGAGCCCCAGGGTCCCCGCTCGGCGCTCAGGTCCCTGCTGGGGATGATGGCGGCGGCTCATGCTGTGGTGCGGCTAGGCCTTCTCCACATGAGGAATTTTTTGGTTCTCACGCCTCAGGCTTCACCCCTCCCGGGACGGAGGGAGGCTTATCTGGGTTCCCCAAGTGGCAGCATTGGACATCAGGTTTTGGCTCACTCCGGGTCTATTGCGGGACGGAGTGACTCTGGCCTGCGCCGTGTCTCACGTGGAGGTGTTCACGGACGCGTCACTCGAGGGTTGGGGAGGGGTCCTCGGCCAGAGCTCTGTAGGAGGCTGCTGGTCGGACTCAGCCCGCCACATCAACCTTCTGGAGATGGAGGCAGTAAACAGGGTACTGCT